AGACAGTACGCGTATACTGCACATACCGTGCATAGGCCTATTTGCACACAAAAAACCTAGGTGGGTAAAACGCGGAACTCTCATTTTAAAAGGTCTTCCCGGGTGAATTTCCGAAAGAAAAAAATCACAGGAGTTGTTGAGAATATAATACATTCATCCAGATTAAAATTAAAACATTGTGACGATTTTTAATGTTGGTTCTGCAGAGATAAAGATGCCCCCTCCTACGGCATCGGAGCCAGTACGCGTATACTGCACATACCGTGCATAGGCCTATTTGCACAAAAAAACCTAGGTGGGTAAAACGCGGAACTCTCATTTTAAAAGATCTTCCCGGTTGAATTTCCAAAAGAAAAAAATCACAGGAGTTGTTGAAAATATAATACACTTATCCAGATTAAAATTAAAACATTGTGACGATTTTTAATGTTGGTTCTGCAGAGATAAAGATGCCCCCTCCTACGGCATCGGAGCCAGTACGCGTATACTGCACATACCGTGCAATAGACCTATTTGCACAAAAAACATGGGTGGGTAAAACGCGGAACTCTCATTTTAAAAGGTCTTCCCGGGTGAATTTTGGAAAGAAAAAAAATCACAGGAGTTGTTGAGGATATAATACACTTATCCAGATTAAAATCAAAACATTGTGACGATTTTTAATGTTGGTTCTGCAGCGATAAACATGCCCCCTCCTACAGCATCGGAGCACGTACGCGTATACTGAACATACCGTGCAATAGGCCAATTTGGACAAGAAAAAACAGGGTGGGTAAAACGCGGAACTCTCATTTTAAAAGGTCTTCCCGGGTGAATTTCCGAAAGATAAAAATCACGGCATCGGAGCCAGTACGCGTATAATGCACATACCGTGCCGTCGTATATTAATAATTGTGTGTAGTATTTGCAGAACAGTGCAGAACACATGCTGTACAGGGATACATGCCGTTTACAAACCAAGGGTGCAGCTTTGACTCAGTGCTCTGTGAAGCACATGTTTTAAACAGTTGATAGGGGGATAATGTACCGCTGCAGAACGAATTCTGCCGAAGTAACATTATGGAATGATCGTAATGTTTTATTTGCAATGTCGGCAAGTGTCTTATATCCTCCACAAGTTCATGGGAAGGCCCTCTGTATTTAATAGTTCCATGTTTTACCCAGGCAACGCGATCAATGGGTGCGGGCCTCCGAGAGTTTCGCCTTTTACACAGGCAGAATCAAAATTAAAAATCATCACAATGTTTTAATTTTAATCTGGATAAGTGTATTATATTCTCAACAACTCCTGTGATTTTTTTCTTTCGGAAATTCACCTGGGAAGACCTTTTAAAATGAGAGTTCCGCGTTTTACCCACCCTGTTTTTTTTTGTGCAAATAGGCCTATTTCACGGTATGTTCAGTATACGCTAGCCCGACTGCGTCTGGCCGTACAGTACTATCGCAAGCTCTGTAGTACGGCCAGACGCCCGATGCTTCCACAGAGACGGAATTTTGTTGGCCGCCGATGTAGCGATTTTGCTACATCTTTCGATCGCGATTATCTTTTCATCCAGGACACAAATTTCCAAAGTTAAGGTTCGTAGTGGTAGAGCAACTCATACCTTTTCGAAAAAACGTTGTTTGGTCTCAATATTTTCATCCATCTGGCCACAAGACGAATTTCAGTCATCAGATTCCACAAATATCGTCCCCCATGCGATCCCCCATGCGATTTCAAAATGGCGGCCGCGCTGTAATGTATGCAATATGCAGGCGCGCCCGCGCAAACTCATGAATATGCATAACAGTCTGTGACGTATGACCTCGTGTTTTTGGACGTGCGTGCGGCGGGGCCGTACGTCCAAAAACACGAGGTCATACGTCACAGACTGTTTATGCATATTCATGAGTTTGTGCGGGCGCGCCTGCATATTGCATACATTACAGCACGGCCGCCATTTTGAAATCGCATGGGGGATCGCATGGGGGACGATATTTGTGGAATCTGATGACTGAAATTCGTCTTGTGGCCAGATGGATGAAAATATTGAGACTAAACAACGTTTTTTCGAAAAGGTATGAGTTGCTCTACGACTACGAACCTTAACTTTGGAAATTTGTGTCCTGGATGAAAAGATAATCGCGATCGAAAGATGTAGCAAAATCGCTACATCGGCGGCCAACAAAATTCAGTCTCTGTGGAAGCATCGGGCGTCTGGCCGTACTACAGAGCTTGCGATAGTACTGTACGGCCAGACGCAGTCGGGCTAAGTATACGCGTACGTGCTCCGATGCTGTAGGAGGGGGCATGTTTATCGCTGCAGAACCAACATTAAAAATCGTCACAATGTTTTGATTTTAATCTGGATAAGTGTATTATATCCTCAACAACTCCTGTGATTTTTTTTCTTTCCAAAATTCACCCGGGAAGACCTTTTAAAATGAGAGTTCCGCGTTTTACCCACCCATGTTTTTTGTGCAAATAGGCCTATTGCACGGTATGTGCAGTATACGCGTACGTGCTCCGATGCTGTAGGAGGGGGCATCTTTATCTCTGCAGAACCAACATTAAAAATCGTCACAATGTTTTCATTTTAATCTGGATGAATGTATTATATTCTCAACAACTCCTGTGATTTTTTTCTTTCGGAAATTCACCCGGGAAGATCTTTTAAAATGAGAGTTCCGCGTTTTACCCACCTAGGTTTTTTGTGCAAATAGGCCTATGCACGGTATGTGCATTATACGCGTACTGGCTCCGATGCCGTAGGAGGGGCATCTTTATCGCTGCAGAACCAACATTAAAAATCGTCACAATATTTTAATTTTAATCTGGATGAGTGTATTATATTCTCAACAACTCCTGTGATTTTTATCTTTCGGAAATTCACCCGGGAAGACCTTTTAAAATGAGAGTTCCGCGTTTTACCCACCTAGGTTTTTTTGTCCAAATTGGCCTATTGCACGGTATGTGCAGTATACGCGTACTGGCACCGATGCCGTAGGAGGGGGCATCTTTATCGCTGCAGACCCAACATTAAAAATCGTCACAATATTTTAATTTTAATCTGGATAAATGTATTATATTCTCAACAACTCCTGTGATTTTTTTCTTTCCGAAATTCACCCGGGAAGACCTTTTAAAATGAGAGTTCCGCGTTTTACCCACCTAGGTTTTTTGTGCAAATTGGCCTATTGCACGGTATGTGCAGTATACGCGTACTGGCTCCGATGCTGTACGAGGGGGCATCTTTATCGCTGCAGAACCAACATTAAAAATCGTCACAATGTTTTCATTTTAATCTGGATAAGTGTATTATATTCTCAACAACTCCTGTGATTTTTTTCTTTCCAAAATTCACCCGGGAAGACCTTTTAAAATGAGAGTTCCGCGTTTTACCCACCCATGTTTTTTGTGCAAATAGGCCTATTGCACGGTATGTGCAGTATACGCGTACTGGCTCCGATGCCGTAGAAGGGGGCATCTTTATCGCTGCAGAACCAACATTAAAAATCGTCACAATGTTTTAATTTTAATCTGGATAAGTGTATTATATTTTCAACAACTCCTGTGATTTTTTTCTTTTGGAAATTCAACCGGGAAGATCTTTTAAAATGAGAGTTCCGCGTTTTACCCACCTAGGTTTTTTTGTGCAAATAGGCCTATGCACGGTATGTGCAGTATACGCGTACTGGCTCCGATGCCGTAGGAGGGGGCATCTTTATCTCTGCAGAACCAACATTAAAAATCGTCACAATGTTTTAATTTTAATCTGGATGAATGTATTATATTCTCAACAACTCCTGTGATTTTTTTCTTTCGGAAATTCACCCGGGAAGACCTTTTAAAATGAGAGTTCCGCGTTTTACCCACCTAGGTTTTTTGTGTGCAAATAGGCCTATGCACGGTATGTGCAGTATACGCGTACTGTCTCCGATGCCGTAGGAGGGGGCATCTTTATCGCTGCAGAACCAACATTAAAAATCGTCACAATGCTTTAGTTTTAATCTGGATAAATGTATTATATTCTCAACAACTCCTGTGATTTTTTTCTTTTGATCCAGTCCGATATTTTAATTAATTCGGAATTTGCAGTATTAATTAGAACATCAATATCTTTATGAAATTTGAGTCATCAGCAAATAAAATGTATTAAAAAGTACGCGGCTAAGAACGCGGCTAGGTTTTGGGCCCATAACGCGGCTAAGTTTAGTTTGGTATGACCTTGGCCACGCTGAAATGTAACTGCCTGGTACCCAAGCTCCTGCCTTGAAGTATCTTGGGTATACAAAATGGGACCAACGCCACTTGCGTACTCTCTAGGTCACTAACAAATTGCCCGCAAAAATGAAATCACCCCAAAGGTATGCGACAAAGGTATGCAATAAAATTCACGACATTGCAAACAAAATCGCATGTCCCTTCAGGGCCACCATACATCTCGAAACCAAACTAAAACCCTTTCACAGTCGATCGTACGAATTCCTATGATGTATATATGCATTGCGAAACTTGACTTAGGAATGGCTATAGCATGCCTACGCGTTTGACTAATCCACGACACATATTTAATGTTTGTTTTTATTTTGAAGGTTTAGGCCCCCTGAAATTGATTTGTGTATACATGCTTCTTGGGACCTACAATTGTATTGAATTATTCCAGCTGGGTTGTTTTGTATTCCTAAAACCTCAAAATAAATTTTAAAACAATTCTGGATTTCATTATTTGTGGGTCATGACCTTTTATCAATGGAAAACAATCCTAGACCCAAAGCCAAACCAGATAGCCTATGGGGTCCGTGCACAAGTATCCTATCAACGGCCAGAAAAGGAGAGTTGGGGGTGATCTAGACTGCATCCCGATCCATCCACTGCGTATTTCAAATGTATAAACGTTTATTGGAGGCGGGGACTAGTCTCGGAGACCATTGCAAGTTGAATTTAAACGTATTCGCTTGCCGACAACGCCTGATGCTCACGCGAAGACGCGGTGGCTATAACTTTTGCACATTCAGGAAGTTGTGTGTATTTCACGTGCGGAACAGTTCATTGACTAAGTCACAACTCTGCCTTCCACCTTGGCTTGGGGTCCCCAGTTCGAATCCTACCTGGTCAACATGTGAATTAGGTTATTAGTCCCTAACCCAGTTTATTACAGGGTTTCTCTCCCAATGCTTAAACAAAAACATTCACATCTGTCCCCCCCCCTCCCCTATTGAGCCAAACCTCGATCCCTCCCTGCATGTTGCCACTACACGTCATTCTACAACTTTAATAGCTATATTCTGATTCAATGTAAGGCTTGCTTTCTCTAGTTTTGATTGTATTTGGCCTTTCGTTTTTTTTAAAATTGTTTTCCCCTCTTTGATTCAGGGACGAGGAATTGTTGTTGAACTATATGGCCACGACGTCGAGTTAGGCTCCACGCCTAGCCGTGTGGTCGGGTCACAAACCACACCTCCATCGCCGCACCTTTCCACATCACTCTGGAGCATTTCGGATCGGCCGAACCAACACCACCAGACAAAGACAAGGAGTCCGAGGATTCCTAAAAGAGGTATAGTGAGCATTTCCCCCTTTATGGTGAGGGTTTAACGTATTAGTCCGTGTAAGTTAACGCCCTAAACCAAACAAACCCCAGCTATCCCTATTGATATCAGCTTGTGTTACCCACCAAGTAGGGGTAAAGTGCCTTGCCCAAGGACATAACGTACAGTCAGCAGTGAGATTAATGACTGTCTATCTTGAGCAAAGAACCCTATCCATATCGATATCAGTTTGTGGCTGTGCTAATACCCACTTATTAAGAGAGGCAAATAGGTGTAAAGTGTCTTGCCCAAGGACGCAGCATATGGTACGTCAGTGGTGCCGGTGGGATTCAAACCCTGGACTCTCTGATAAAAGGCAAAGGTAAAACAAACTCCTTTTGTCTATTTTACAGGTGTGGCTTGCTGAATCGCACGCCCAACCTGGCCAATCCGCAGATGACCCCATCCTACCTGGACTTTGGCACGTGTCTGGTGTCGCAGCAGCGGGAGCTGGAAGTGACCATCAGCAATCCGACGGGCTCGGCCAGCTTCTGGACGGTCATTTCTGGTGAGACTGGACTTTTACGAAACATTGCCCAGTGGCGTAACTCCACTTACGCATAATTTACGTGGCGCAAACTGGCATAGCATTTCCATTGCGCAAGATTTCAGTTGTGAAACATTTCACGAAAGTGACTTACACCGTGACTTAAACTTCCAAGTTTATCTGTGACGGGAAAGCCAGAAATCTCTTTATTCAGAACAAATTGTCCAAAATTCACTAGAAAAGGTAGTCAATGCAGATCTGTCATTGAATGGGCCCTAATGTAAGACTGTCAGCCATTTCATACTAAGCAATGAATGGGTTCCAACAAGTATATGGGTTCATATCGTTCAACTCTTTCGCTACGGCGAGCCGCTGACAGCGGCACACAAAAACTGTACATGTCGTACGGCAAGCCGCTGGCAGGGGCTCGGTGACATCACTGTAAATAAACAGGGTAATCCCCATGGTGTGTGCCTCATTTACATAATTTATATCGTATAACCTCCGACCCTAGTTTGAGCCGCTCGACCAACGGCTCTCCGTCTCGCCTAGCTGGAGTTACCCAGCCCTGATAAAACTCAGGGCTGGGTAACTCCAGCTACGTCTCGCCGGGGTCTGCTGCAGGTTATTTTGAGCAGGTTGTTTACAGAGAGACATTTAAAGATGGCGGCGTCCACATCGACACACGGCGGAATTTCCAGAGATTTATTACGTACAAACGTGAAAAAAATCGGGAAATTAAATTCAGTAGCGAAAGAGTTAAGTTACAAAAATTTCCTTTTTTGAAATATTTTATTTCCATTCCTCCCCAAAACAGATCCCCAGAAGCAAGCGGAGGAATTGTTCCGCGTTGTGCCGTCATCCGGCTTTCTGAAAGCGCATGTCACCCACGTTTCTCGCAGCAAAATGATCCACAAAGTTCACTTCACCGCCAGGCAAGCTACTTGGTTATTGTTCATAAATAAATAACAACTGAACACCGGTCACTTACTGTACATCTTGGATATTGTTCTCAAAGTTCCATAAATATTGTACACAATAGTCCAAAGTTGCCTTTCTTTTTTACAAGCAGTTTATTCCAGATTTGCTTTTAGTTGCTCACTGTTACATATACATGTAGGATAGATATGCTTGTCAAGGCCCCTACACACAAACTTCAGTCGACTCTCGTTAATACAAACTCAGCAAGGCCTAGCAAAATGTTTGGCATTTCAGAATTTTGTATTAAGTGGAGCATCGGTCCCATATAAGTCTTTATGTTCTCTAGTAAACCAGAATTTGTTTTAACAGAGCTTGTTTTAACGGAAGTCGACTGTAACCATACTTCTGCAACCATGTTTTCTTGATACAGTTTTCTAAACAAAAACATAAGTATTTTTAAATTTTTTTGATGTGTTACTTGAAAAGCATGATACAGGGCAGTAATTACAGTAATGACATCCAATTACTCCAAAAATATAATTATAGCAAAAAATATAATCTTCCTTTCTTTTCGGTCATTTTTGTTTTCAAAACAGGCACAACGTGGCCTACAGGGGCAAGTTTATCTTCCAAGGCATGCTGGGGGAAACACCTCAGGAGCTAGAGGTCAGAGGTCAAGGGTCATACGACAGCCGCCACGAAGCCTTGGTCGACGTGTGACCAGATTCTTTAAGTTCCTTGAAGGGGATGGACACCATGCAAATATTCAAAAATGAAACTGTCAAAAAATTGTGAATTATCCGTCTTGATTGCAAGTAAATGATAGGATCAAGCACCTTGTGAAATTGTTGCGCATGGTATGCTGTAAGTTTTGCGCATGGTAAGAGGAATTAACCATTATTTCCTTGTGATGGTTAGGGCCAAACCACTGTGCTTTCAACGGAAACCTGCTCTTTGTGTCAAGAAAAATAAAGATGCATTTTCAGTTTTCTCAAAAAGTATATCTAATAAGCTGCTTCTGATTCACTGTATTGTTGTTAATAAAATCAGCAAAAATACAAACAAAAAAATTGGAAATGGTGTCCATAACTTTTAACAAGGAAGCTTCTTATATCACTGGACATGAACTTGGCGTCAACCACATGAACATAAAATTATCCGACCAATATGTAGAATGCTGGCCAAAAATGTATTATTAAAATAATTGAGGAAAAATTTCTGCATTATATGCCTCATATGTTTGGATTTTATCAGTTAATTTCTATATATATTTTAAGCAGTTTGACTTCATTGTAAAGTCTTTGCAAATTTATAAATATAGGTCATCAACTGTATATAGTTAAGGCAAATAATAAACATGTACTGCAGAATTTTTTTTAAAGTACTGAGTACACGTATTGTCACAATATTGGAAACTGAAGCATATTTATTTCGCTTTCATTTTTTTTTTTTGAAAATCATTTGTATTACATGTAACTTTGAGAATTGTTTTATTTGATTTATTTTCCCCCTATTTTGGAAGACAGTAAGAATTTGAAAAATGAAAATCAAAAACTTGACAAAAAATTCTATGCATAAGGTCCAACTGGGCATTTGATGCCTTGAATCTTATTATCGCACAGGTTCCAATATTGCTGATACGATGAAAAAAAAATTCATTAATTACTTAAAGGGAATAACGGCCTGGAATGCACCCAATTGGGCTACAAAACACGTTTGAAATGAAATGATATTAATTGGAAAGAGCATTTAAAAGTTGAATATGAACGTCCACACAACCATCCGTTATAAACTGGGCGTTTTTCTGTTATATTTGCAAGAACCATGCGAGAACGAATTTCAGGGGTCACTATTTTGACATTTTGAAAAAATCGAATTGTTGAGTGCTAGTTGTGAATCCAGTCGCACGGTATTGCATTCTGCGGACGTCCAGAAATAACATTTTGTGTATCAGTGCTGTGTGTATTCACATATACACACACAGAACGTGTACGAAACATTGAATAGATACAACTTGAAATATGTATATATACTTGAGTGTGTCAAAAAATATTTGTTGCGTCCGATGTGAGCAACCGGGCATTTTCGTCTTTGCTCGGAAACAAAAAGATATTAGGGTAGTTTCCTTTCAACCAGACCTTTGAAATATGGTAAGTAAACAATCGAAATCATGAACTTTTCGGGATTTCAGGCCGTAATGCCCCTTTGAATAAGCTCTACATAGCTGCACATAATTTTATATTATACAGTTAAGGCCAAAAAAAAAAATATCCGGTCTCTGGTCAGACCGAAGTTCCGAAATTGATGCGGCGACGCGCTTTTTTTTGGGGGGGGGGGGGGGGTTGGCTTTTTTTTTTTTCAAGCTTGAATTATACAGACAAGGTGGGTAGGCCTACTATTTTGCTTTTGTGTGTCCTCATTATACATTGATGTCCTCCATAATTTGCCTTGGTGCCCTTTCATTTGCCTTGGTGCAATTTCCCCATTCCTTGGTGCTCCTTGGTACAAAAATTTGAGGCACGGCAATAGAGGGTGCTATTGTAGCTTCCGTGTTAATTTGAAGAAAAAAAAAAGGTTAACGCGCATGATTAAAATCAACGCGCGCGCTGACCAGAGACCGAGTACTTTTTTTTTGCCTAATGGTAGTACTTGAAAAAATTCACCCGAATGCAGCGTACATACGGTTATCTAAACTAAAGCGCTTTTAGCTCTATAATCCATTTAAAACAATCTTCATGCAATTTTTATGTAGATGCAAGACACTGGTATCAGTAAAAGAAGACAAGGCATGCCTGGTAAAGCAGGTCCTAGAGTGCACAAAATTCTGTATAATTGATTTAGAATGGTTAAACCTTTCACAGTGTAAGCTGAAAAATGCTAAAAAAAGCCAATTTTGCATCCACATAAACTGAGGACTCTTGACTTAATATTTCCTACAAATAGAAGTATATGAAACCATGGAGGAATAAAAACACATTCCTCCATGATGAAACACACGGTGCCAGACTAAAGGCACATGTGGTGTAGATGCCACACGGGTGCTGGGATCAAGAACAAAAAAATCTTTGGTCGTGGAACCATGGTCTAAAAAACTAGAGAAGAGGAGTTCTCAACTTGGACAGATGTTGCTCCAATCCAAACATTGCTGATTTCGTTTTGCGTCCAATGAGACCCTCACTGTTAAAAACACAAAGGAAAGAAAGCAATTTTTGTTTAAACTTTGTTCTTTTTTTTAACAAGATTTACAGAAAAAAAGTGACTTTTTTTAACAGCAATATCTATACTCGGTTATTTTTATTTTTATATTCACAGAATATGTGACTTATTAACAGCAATATCTTTGCACTGTTCTGGTTTTTATTGGTAGCTGTCCTTTACCAAACGGATCTCATATACCCAAGGGCCAGCCTCAGCCAATCGACAGGTCTCCTATACCCTTGGCAACCCACCCCTCTGCTTCCCCAGTCCATACTGACACACACCACCGACATGTCATTTGAAATGGGATTCATCATTTCAGAAAAGCCTACAGTAAACAAATAATGAATGTTTATGAGAGCAATGGTTCCATTGTCACTAAGTGAAATTATTCTTTGCATTGCACAAATTAGAAACAACACCTGAATAAATCCTCGTCATATGATTGGTCAGAGCCACGAATAGTGTGACCGTGCAATGGAAGTTTCATTTACCGATGAATAGAACTTGGGGGGGGGGGGGGGGTGGCGGTGCGGCCAGACCTTCGGTTGAGATGAATAATTCAATGACGTGATCCAGCAACCTACTAATAAGATATTTGGGATTTATTCGGGCATTGTAAAATATGTACGAAAAGAGAAATAACCAATAAAAGTCAGCAATTTCTTTGCACGTTCTAATTTCAGCAAACCACTGGGCAGTTACTACATGTAAAGTTTTGCCTTTATTCCCCCCCCCCCCAAGCATTAGTATTTTCTTTTTTACCAGCATGTGAAAAGGGGCCATGGTCTTCAGTCTGGGAATATTGCTTAAACCAGCAATTGTAATACAAAACGCTTACCACTTTTTCCCGGCTGGAGACTTAGACGGAGCTGTTATTGCCCTTCCCAAGCTTGTCAAAGGCATCTTGTTGGGATGCCATAGCTGCGGCTTTTATCTCAGCCAGGGCCCTTGCTCCTTTGTCCTCTTCAGCACCTGTTGCTTCTGGGCGAGGCGAAGGGCAGGACTCGGGATGCTCGCCTCCAATGCGGACACTTGCCAAACCTTCCTCAAGGCTCTCATCTCTGGAACGCAACGGCCCCGGTGCAGCATCGCCTGCCGCGTCAGTCGAACCATCCATGCTTGACACGCCATTGCCCGCTGCGTAACGATGTGGAATAATAATAACTATTATTCATTTGTATAGTGCATATTCCATCATAATAATGTTCAAAGAGGCTTTTCATTTTACAATTCTTTAAAAATACACAAATAAAGATGATGCAGGAAGAGCCTTCATCATCTTTATCTCTTTTTCTAGCTCTTTTATATGATCACTGAAAGATTTCTTCGCCAAGAACTACGCAGCTTTTTTACTCCTTTAAGTCTTGGTTGCTGCCGATCCTTGTCGAAATTTTCTTTGGAGATAATTCAAGGTGTAACACTAGCGTTTGCAACAACAGATCATGGATTCCTCCATGAACAGATTAATCTGAAATTCGGAACATACTTGAGGGCCATTCAAATTGTTCCATGTTTTTAAATTTTGATTTTCTATTGAAAATGTGGGTGGATGGGTCAAATTAATTTATTGAAATTTTTGTTAAAGAAATTCACTTTTTTCAATTAAAAAGATAGAAAGTAGCTCTTTTGACTGGCCAATACTACTCTCTGCGTTCCGACTGATTCGTACATCCTTTCGCTCGTAACCCCCCCCCCCTTTCCATTCCCACCCTGGGACGCTGGGATACTCTGATAAATTCACGCTCTGATTATACGGTTGAGTTGTCTCAACGGTCGACTTGTCCCGAGTCGAGTTGTCTCAACGGTCGACTTGTCCCAAGTCAAGTTGTCTCAACGGTCGACTTGTCTGACCCCCCTGCGATAAAGTACTGTACGGCATGCAGTCGGGCTGTTGTGCGCTTTCTTGTGATTTGCACAATCATAAGAATGCGCATGCACATTCTTGTGACTGCGCAACCGGACCCTTGCGCAATCTTCGCAAAAAAAAACCTCTTTCAGATTAAAGGGACACTAGGTCCTGGAACAGCCCAATTGGGCTACAAAACGCGCTTTGAATGAGATGATGATAATCGGAAATAACTTTTAAAAGTAGGATATAAACATCCACACAACTATCCTTTCAAAACTGGGCGTTTTTGTGTTATTCCTGTATTATGCTTGCGAGAACGAATTTCGGGGTCCACTTTTGCGACCCCATAAATTCGAGCTGTTTGGATGCTAGTTGTGATTTCATTCGTACTATGCTACGCCGATAACCGGCCACAGCTGTAACCGGCCACCGCGAGAGGGCGCTATCACGACCAACCAATATCACCCACGATATCCATGTTCTGCGACAGGTATCAGAAGTGACGGTCGATTACATACCATGCACAGCGCGCTGGTGCACAGCGCGCATGACGTCACGCGGAAGCGTAATACCCGATGACTGTTTTATGCACCGACATGAGGTTTACCACTCGCATCACGGCTGCGGTACTGGAACGGCAACCGATAGTGCATAAAACAGTCATCGGGTGTTACGCTTCCGCATGTCGGACATAAATCACGGCTGTGATTGGTCAGAATACCATGGGGCGGTGTTTACTGGATCGGTCCCATTCATCGCCACGTGCCAGATGTTATTCTTGCTGTTCTAATTCTGGTGTCGGCCCGTTTGTTATTGGAGCTAGCTATGCTATTTTTAGGGAGAGTGACGCGTGCGCAACGCAACACAACACAGTACCCGCGAACTGACTTAAGTAGGCGCACTCCAACCAGGGTCTTGCTCAAACAAGTAGCTCCATGGGTATCCTGACCATTTTGCTGTTTTTCAAAGTTATTTGTGTAAAACAAAAATCATTGATCCTTATGCTGTAGTGAATTTTGCTAAACTGATAAAACGGAAGAACCGTTTATTTATTATTTATCTTAATACCGTTTGACCGTTTTACAAAAATGTAAAACGACGTTTTCTTTTTTGTTTTTGAGGAAATCCAAAACGGTGCAACGAAATAACGGTGTGTACCGGGATTGTCCGGCCCTTTCTGAAAGTTATCTAAGTTTCCGTGTCAATTATTGAGTTCAAGCATGCAACTTTTCCTCGGATCAGCTGATTTCCTCTGTGTTACTTCCCATGTGTGCCATTGAAAATAGAAAAACACCGTACAAAGTCTGGGAAAAATTTGAATTTCCTTCTTTTTTTGGTGATTTCCCAGTTGCATGCCTGTGAGTGTGAGTTGTAAAGTCACCCCAAGATTATTAATCTTGGGGCGACTTTACAAAAACACAATAGAAACAAATCTTATTTACCGTCCGGCCCATATGATTTTGTATTCATGAAAAAATAAGTGAAGAAGAATACAAAGGTAAAAGGGGGTAAGAAACACCTGCACAATGACCGGCAACTACGGCACACACCATGGGCCGCCTCTGATGCTCTATTGCCATCAATAATTTTAAGATTGTGAGGTTGACTGATCTATTTTGTATTTAAATGTTGTTAAATGTGTCCAAAATAAATTTCAAAAAATAAAATAAGGATGAGTCAACTATTCTATTTAAATATTTCACAAGTTCAAGCTAAATCAACTTTAAATAAAAAAGAAATAACATGAAATAATCTCCGTGGCATGGAAGTGATGAACAACAGTAGCGCTAGCACAACTTACCCGAAAAAACGTATCGAGATGGATACTCGGGATGTGTCAGCTCGAAGTGGACTATATCCAAGGAGGGGCGAAACTTGATGGCACAGCTCACTCGTTGATCTCTCGACACAGAGATAGGAAGAGAATCCGATGAAGCCTCTGATGATGCGAGCTTGATCTGAAGTCTTTCCATCCCCCCTTGGTATAAGCCCGGGCATATATCCGCTAATACCTCCGACCACGTTTTTTCAGGCGATATTTCCATCAATTCGTTTTGCACCATGTCTTTTCGAATTTGAGTGTTTTCTCGAAGACGCTCACTAGAAACGTTTTTGTACCTTTTCCATCCATAATGCAATTAGTAAAAAGGAATATGTTGAATTGTTGAAGACCACTAGCACTATCGATAAGAGCATGTTTGCGCTATTCTTCTTATTTGTGACTGGCTCCACAAAAAGGGCATTAAGTCACGCTGTGCATTATTGTGCAATGGCCCGCTCAACATAGAGAGGGTGAAAATTTTGTCAAAATGTGATTTTCATTTTTTGTCATGATTGACATCTTTAATACCTAGAGTTTCAGGTTTCATTCACAGAAATGTTGATTTTGATGAACAAAGTGGAAAAAACAACCAGTTTGTGTGCATCGTTCTGTTGTTCTACAACAAAGCCAGCTATTTCAAAGCCTGTTTTCTCAGTTGTGTAATTTGAACTCCAAGGAAGTACATGTACTTAATATGCAAAAATACGTCATATCTCCAGAACAGAATGGGCTATGGAGCTCTATTATATACCAAATGAAAGCTTACATTGTGGGCTTTCCAACAAAATATATAACTCAATTTCACTTTTTTGCAACATAATACCCTTTTTGGTGGAGCCGGTCACATTTTGGTCGAATCCATTTCTTAATGGCAGGGCGGTGCAAGTTTTTGGAGGGGCACTTTATTCGCTGTGTTTTGAATTTATAAGATATACATTTCGACTTCGTAACGCGTGCTGTCTGGTATATGATTAAGTCCTTAAGTCATTTTGCATGATCGGAATATAAGCACCCCTTGTGGTAAGTGGTTGGAGTCCCCATACCTTATTTCCCAATGTTTGTAAAACCATGGACAAATAAAACACAATGCATGCATTATGACTAAGGCCAGGGTTTTTAAAACCCTAGCTACTGCATAATGCATGCATTGTGTAGTAGGGTTTTGTGGTTTTCGAGGGTTTTGTGGTTTTCGAATTGCGATGTTTGCGCAATTCGAGGGAACTTTGATTGTTTGTATGCACTGCGTAATTTGGCTCTGTGCATATAAGTTAATTCCTTCCTCCAACCGTCCAATCAGTTACCGTTTGAAAATCGTCACAAGATTATAATACTAAAATAGGGTAAACGGTAAAGGGTTCGTTTTTTCATTTTTCTTTTGACAATTTTCAAAAGGAATATACATCATTTGCTTTTGCTGTAATTTTCAGAAATGGATGGAATTGGGGGTTTGGAAATATAAAGCAAATATAGCTACATTGAATTTGTGGAGGTTTTGGGTTCGAAAATGCTATAAAAACCAAGAAAAACGATCATTTTCCTGTAGTCTGGTTCCCTGACTCCATATAAGAAGAAACAGAGCAGTTTACATACATTGGGGAATTGTAAGGTCAGGGAACCAGTCTAGCTGGCTCGTACCCGTTCATAGGTTTGTAATCGATTGCAAACAAGTGCAATGGTCAATTGGGGTCAGTATTTGAAAAAAAGCCAGTTGTTTCCAACGCTGATCGGCCGATCAGCGTTGGAAATTGATACAAAAATAACACTTTTCTTGAAAATGACAGTATACCAGGTGCCATAATTTTACAGGATGCTTTAGACTGTCATTTACCAACATCCTATTAAGGTATTTCGCAAAAACTTGGTAGCTTTATTTTTCGATGTTTGCAAATGTTGTATATTCCCTTTAACTGATTGGACGCTAGCTCTATGTGTACATGGACCAAGTTTGCCTGTGTTTCTGTTGTTCGTCCCATCGATCCCTAGTTAATGTCGTTGATTGTTGCATGCATGGAGGAATAAAAACGTAGTCTAGGCGATCGTGTAGTGTCGGGCCCCTGTTTTGTTTTGATTAAATAAGAGTAAAAAATGTTTTTTATTGCTCAAAAATCACCTTTACAATCAAAAGCAGACTTTTCTCAATTCTAATGACACACGTTTTGCAGTTTTGAACAGTTTCTTGGTGTAGAAATCACGATTTCCCTGCGCGGTTTGTGCCTTGCGATTCAGCGCGCCGTGCATTTGTGTGACTCACACCGTGACGGTCATGACGGTACAACTACAAGTACATCGGCCGGTGATTCGCCATCTTTATTTTCGTGTTGTGTGCCGTGGCCTAGCCCCATACTATAAATGTGGCCAATTTACTGGACTACCTCCGTAAACATAGGCCACACTTAGTTCCACATGTACAAAAACGTGTCGCACTTTGTCAAATTTTGATTTTCACATTTAGGCTTAGTTTGTTGGGGTTTTTTGCTTTAGAAGCATACTCATAGCCTCTTTAGGCATTGATAGGCTAATCAGAAAGTGCTGCCTTTTTCAGATGTCTAATTTTTGTGAAATTTCATGTTGAAATTTTGATACGCAAACGTGTGCAAATGAATCTGGAATTTTCACTAAAATTAGACATTTGAAAAAGGCAGCACTTTCTGATTAGCCTATAAAGAGGGTGAGTATGCTTCTTAGTTCTAAAGCAAAAACAAACTACAAACTAGGCCTAAGCCTAAATATGAAAATAAAAATTTGACAATGTTCGACATGTTTTTGTACATGGTGGAAGTGTGGCCTTTATTTACGGAGGTAGTCCAGTAAAATTGCTGTGTGGAGTGTTGTCGCCGCGCTGTCATCGTCATTTTACCCCCAAATTTCCCCTCAAAAATCTATGACATACCTGTTTATTGAGAATGTCGCCAACTAGTTTTGGTCTAATAATTTTACAGTGGATTTTGTTCAACCGGGCCCTACACTACACGATCGTGTAGTTACGGGCCCGGTTCCCTAAGACAGAGAGAACAAAATCATTAGAATTGAGAGAAGTCAGCTTTAGGTTGAAAAGGTCAATTTTGAATGATTAAGTTAAAAACACCCTCGACTCTTTTGATCAAAACTGAATTACATGCTAAAGAGGGGCTCGCAAACTGCACAATCGCTGAAATCATTTCAGGAAAGAACGAGGAAGCCACTCCATTTTGAAAGTATTTTCATAACAAACTTTTGTGGAATGTTGGAAATTCCACTACTGCAATTTCAATCCAAGGTATTAACCAATTATTGTATCTCATCAAGTGTTATTCTTTCCTGTTATTTCTATACTGCAACCACATGCCTTCTTATTAAAGTTTAGCTCTGCCCACGTTGATGGGTCATATAATCCCTCAACTTCAACTGTACCCTCAATTACAAGCAAGATTACAAGCAAGATTTTGCTCTCTAGCAAAGCACTCGAGAGGCGAAAAATCAAGTGCGCAACAGTCAACTGAGTCAAGAGAAACATCTGGTACTGGTCTCTATTTTTGAACATCGCTCCATAGTCTGCTACCAGAGAGGTCAGTCTTTTCAAACAGTTGGACATGTACCACTCTAGTCTTTAAGGCTTCAAATTGAAATCACTTGGTTTCACTTAGCATGTAGAAGTAGATCTGTGGCTTTGCGGTGCCCCATAGTTCTAGGGGTAGGCTTTACTCTCTCCAATGTTGAATGCGGAGGGTGCAGAAGAGGCCCCCCCCCCCCCACCCTTCGTCCCCCTTTTGATTTGTCACATTTTGATTTTTTTTATCCATATTAACAGGAAATGCTTGACGATGTGAAGATTCCGTGTTTTGTCGAGGGAATGGCCAACCCACTCGTCCACTTAATTCATGTATTGTGAGCGGCCTTATATGCCTAGTGACTATCGAGACCCCGAACCCTAACTGGGAACATGGGTAAGCTTAGCGAATATCCTCTGGTAAATTCTTCCTTGGTAGATGGGAGGGGCTTTAGTAAAAAAAAAACGAAGTAAGGTAGACGCAGTGGAATTTCACTTGCCTTCCACCTTGACTTGGGGGGCCCCAGTTCGAATCCTACCTGGTCAACATGTGAATTAGGTTATAAGTCCCTAATCCAGTTTATTGAATATCATTGCAGGGTTTCTCTCACACCGCTTAAACAAAAACATTCACATCTCCCCCCCCCCCCCCCCCCCCCCTATTGAGCCAAACTTAGATCAACCCCTGCATGTTACCGCTACAGTTTATTCTTCAAACTTTTTTGCTATTTCGGTTCGGTTGAAGGCTTGCTTTCTCTAGTTTTGATTGTATTTGGCTTTTCTTTTAATTTAATTTTTTTTTCCCTCTTTGATTCAGGGACGAGGAATTGTTGTTGGACTATATGGCCATGATGTCGAGCTAGGCTCCACCGACCCCTAGCCATGTGGTCCAGGTCTCAAACCACACCGCCATCGCCGCACCCTTCGAATCCACATCACCCTGGAACATTTCGGATCGGCCAAACCCCCGACACCACCAGACAAAGACAAGGAGTCCAAGGATTCCTCAAAGCGGTATAGTGATACATTTCCCCCTTTACAGTGAGGGTTTAACGTATTAGTCCGTGTAACGCCCGAAACCAAACAAACCCCAGCTATCCCTATTGATATCAGCTTGTGTTACCCACTTTTTCTCCTGGGAGAATGATTAAAGAGAGACAAGTAGGGGTAAAGTGCCTTGCCCAAGGACATAACGTACAGCCAGCTGTGAGATTAAACCACTGATCTCTATATAAAGACTGGATGGCGGATACCCATACACGAGTCACAGGCTTGAATTTACATTTTGACCAGATCGCCCCAGGTCTTTCAAAAATGGCCGCGTATATATACAAACGTTCTGCGCGTGCATACAGCGCGCGCTGTATCATGAGTAAACGCGCATTTTGATCACGTACACGTATTGTGATGATCTAAAAAAGGGACAAATTTCTGTCGTGATTATATTTACAAACGTAAAAAGTGAACTGCGGCATTCAAAAGTAAACCACAACATTTGACAAGTTGTGAAACGTGGTCAGTGGCGGTGGACAAAACGTAAACCACGCGAACTACGCATGGGCGTCGCCAGGATTTTTTCTAGAGGGGGGCAAAAAAAGTTTTTGCCAAATAATGTTTGTATTTCTCAACACATTCTCGATTTATCAGTTTGAGAGGGGGGCAGGGACATTTTGCCCCCCCCCCAACTTATTAAATTTACACCACTTTGTCTTCGCGCCTCTTTTTCTTTTCTTTTTTTTTCTTCTTTTTTTTGTGTTGTTGTTGCTTTTCCGGGGGGGGGGGGGGGGGGGGCAAGTGCCCTCCCTTGCCTCCCCTCGCTACGCCCATGGAACTACGATGTTACAAAGACGGCAACTTGTCCTTCATAGATCACCAGCCGGTCTCACCACTATGGCGTCAAATGAATTCATTGTGCGGTTCTTTATCCGCTATCCAGTCTTTATATGGAGATCAGTGGATTAAACCCTTGTCTGATCCTGAGCAAAGATTAACCCTATCCATATCGATATCAGTTTGTGGCTGCGCCGATACCCACTTATTAAGAGAGGCAAATAGATGTAAAGTGTCTTGCCCAAGGACGCAGCAAATGGTACGTCAGTGGTGCCGGTGGGATTCAAACCCTGGACTCTCTGATAAAAGGCAAAGGTAAAACGAACTCCTTTTTTCTATTTTACAGGCGTGGCTTGCGGAATCGCACGCCCAACCTGGCCAATCCGCAGATGACCCCATCCTACCCGGACTTTGGCACGTGCCTGGTGTCGCAGCAGCGGGAGCTGGAATTGACCATCAGCAATCCGACGGGCTCGGCCAGCTTCTGGACGGTCATTTCTGGTGAGTCTGGACTTCAGCAACCAATGGACCGATCCAGTAAGCACTGCCCCATGGTATTCTGACCAATCACAGCCGTGATTTATGTCCGACATGCGTGCACAAAAGTCCGACATGCGTGCACGCGCGTATGATGCGCGCGGCAGGGAAATGCAGTGCGGCATTGGAGAGGAGCACGTGTTAATTTGCCCACGTGCGCAGTGGGAGGAGCTTACTGGATCGGTCCATTTTACGAAACATTGCCCAGTGGCGTAACTCCACTTACGCATAATTTACGTGGCGCAAACTGGCATAGCATTTCCATTGCGCAAGATTTCAGTCGTGAAACATTTCACGAAAGTGACTTACACCGTGACTTAAACTTCCAAGTTTATCTGTGACGGAAAAGTCAGAAATCTCTTTATTCGGGACAAATTGTCCAAAATTCACTAGAAAAGGTAGTCAATGCAGATCTGTCATTGAATGGGCCCTAATGTAAGACTGTCAGCCATTTCATACTAAGCAATGAATGGGTTCCAACAAGTATATGGGTTCATATCGTTCAACTCTTTCGCTACGGCGAGCCGCTGACAGCAGCACACAAAAACTGTACATGTCGCACGGCAAGCCGCTGGCAGGGGCCCGGTGACGTCACTGTAAATAAACAGGGTAATCCCCATGATGTGTGCCTCATTTACATAATTTATATCGTATAACCTCCGACCCTAGTTTGAGCCGCTCGACCAACGGCTCTCCGTCTCGCCTAGCTGGAGTTACCCAGCCCTGAGTTTTATCATTGGGTTGTCTATAGACAACCCAATGATAAAACTCAGGGCTGGGTAACTCCAGCTACGTCTCGCCGGGGTCTGCTGCAGGTTATTTTGAGCAGGTTGTTTACAGAGAGACATTTAAAGATGGCGGCGTCCACATCGACACACGGCGGAATTTCCAGAGATTTATTACGTACAAACGTGAAAAAATCGGGAAATTAAATTCAGTAGCGAAAGAGTTAAGTTACAAAAATTTCCTTTTTTGAAATATTTTATTTCCATTCCTCCCCAAAACAGATCCCCAGCAGCAAGCAGAGGAATTGTTCCGTGTTGTGCCGTCATCCGGCTTTCTGGAAGCACAGGTCACCCACGTTTCTTGCAGCAAAGTGATCCTCAAAGTTCACTTCACCGCCAGGCAAGAACTTGATTTTTGTTCACACAAAAAAAAAAACCCAGTCATTTACTGTTTATCATCGATATTGTGCTCAAAGTTTCATATATTGCAGTGTTGTACACATTTTATTGCTCAGAATGTAGTCATCCAGAAATTTCTATTATGATCTGACATAAAGTTCACATCACTAAAAAAGAAATTATAGGACTAGAGAAAACTTGGACCTAAATTAGACACCTCAATCCCACTCCGGATGTCTCAGTCTGTAAATGAAATCTGCACACCGTGGCACTAAGATTTCTTTATTGTTTATAAGCAGTTTATTTCAGATTTGTTTTCGAGTTGTTCATTGTAACATGTAGGATGCTTATGCTCGTCTAGCATGAACCATACACACAACTACACACAAAATTCGGTCAGCTCTCATTAATACAAACTCACCACCAAAATCTTTATATCAGAATTTTGTATTAAGAGGAGCATGGCTCCCATGGACATAAATTCACAGTGAGGACCAAAACTTTATGTTCTCTATAACCAGAATTTGTATTAAGGCCAAAAAAAAAATACTCGGTCTCTGGTCAGTGCGCGATTTTAATCATGCGCGTCAACCTTTTTTTTTCTTCAAATTAACACGGAAGCTACAACAGCGCCCCCTATTGCCGAACCACCTCAAATTTTTGTACCAAGGAGCACCAAGGAATGGGGAAATTGCACCAAGGCAAATGATAAAGGCACCAAGGCAAATTATGGAACAAAAAAAAAAAGCCACCCCCCAAAAAAAACCGCGTCGCCGCATCAATTCGGTCTGACCAGAGACCGAATATTTTTTTTTTTGTGGCCAAGCAGAGTTTGTTTAAACAAGAGTCAACTGTAACACCATACTTCTGCAAGCAGTTTTCTTGATACAGCATTCTAAAAAATAAATCAGACCTTTTCTTTAAAGTCTACACATTTTTAACGAAAACAAAAGTAGTTTCCCTTTTTGACTTGTTACTTTAAAAGCATGATACAGGGCAGTAATTATAGTAATGACATCCAATTACTCCAAAAATACAATTATAGCAAAAAATGTAATCTTCCTTTCTTTTCGGTCATTTTTTGTTGTTTTTAAAACAGGCACAACGTGGCTTACAGGGGCAAGTTTATCTTCCAAGGCATGCTGGGGGAAACACCTCAGGCGCTTGAGGTTAGAGGTCAAGGGTCGTACGACAACCGACACGAAGCCTTGGTCGACGTGTGATTGTAAAGGTTGGAAGGGGATGGACACCATTTGCAAACAATAAAAAAAAAACATCAAAAAATTGTGAAACATCCTATAAAATCATTGTGTGTGGTAAGCTGTCATTTTTGTTTAGAAAATGAGGACTTGCCATGTTTTCTGCACAGTGGTTAGCACCAAACCAAAGTGCTTTGACTGGAAACCTGTTCTTTGTGTCGAGACAAAACAAGATACTATTTCACCCTTTTTCCTAAAAAAAAGGTATGATGTCAACCTCGTCCCCGGGGTGTCAAGCAGTACGCGCCCATCACTACCTGCTCTCTCACCCTGGTATTGGATCATTTGCATGTGCAAGATTTTTGAACACGTATGCAAATGAGGAATAGTCTGGTGCCTGCATGTGCGTTACATTAGTGTTTGTTTTTGTATCCAGTGTCTGGGGTAAAAACAGAGTCGATTCGTGGCAGCGCGAGCATGGCTCGAGTTACGAAAACACGATTTATTTAAGTAAACTGTTACGATTTTATCGAGACATCATGCAGTATCATATTTCATATTAATATGAACAAATTGGAAAGGAAATGAGTATTTTCGAGAAGGCATAGACAAATAACACAGAAAATACATACTGCACGTTGTGAATAACACCAAGTACACGATAAAAATCCATTACCAGCCAATTGCGGTATCAAATCAGGATACAAAAAGAAAGTTTCCTATCCAGGGCTTACTCTTGGGAAACAGGTTTGGAAATAAAGTAAGCACAGGGGACGAGGTTGGTATGATGGCTACTTAGCTGAAATTTTGACACGGTTAGTTTTTTAATTCCTGCTTCAGATTTATTGTATTTTGTTCCTTGAATTGGCAAAAATACATATTGTTTTGCAAATGACGTCCATTAACTTTAACAGAAAAGGTTCTTATATCACTGGGCATGGAAGTGGCTTCAACCACATGAACATAGGACCATCAGACCTATATGTAAAGTGCTGGCCAAAATTTCTAATTAAAACAATCGAGGAAACCATTCAGTATTACGTCTCGTTTTATGTTAAGAGTTCATCACAGATAACCTTTCACTTCATACTTGGAAAGAATTTGCATAAGTTGTTACATATTTTTACAGAATATAAACTGTTTTAAAAACAGTGCATCTTGTTTATACATGTTAATAAATTTGATAAAACAAATGAATATACCAGAACTCATCGTACTAAAGATTTTTATTACAATTACCGAGTACATAATATTGTCACAATATTGGAAACTGCAGCATATTATCCTCCCCCCCCCCTCCCTCGGCCTTTTTGAAAAGCACTTGTATTAATGTCAGTTTCAGAATTGCCATCTTTTATTTCCTTTTTTGGAAGACATTAAGAAATTGAAAAACAACGAAATCTTACAAACTTGACAGACAATGCTATGCATGATGTTCTACCGGACATTTTGTTTCGCAGGTTCCAATATTGCTGATCACGATTAAAACCAAAAATCTTCAATAACAAACTATGCATGGGTGCATATACGGGAATAATAATGAGGGAGAGCATTTGTAAACATCTGGGTTCAAACTGGTTAGTTGCCTGGATGCCAATAATGAGCCCGAGCCGAATACTGGCGATGAGGCCCTACACCAGTTTTAACGAAACGTTTAAAACTGCTCCACCACACACTATAACTCCCATCATGAATACCTTTTTGGTCAAAAGTTCATAAATGTCAAAAAAACTGACGAAGTTCCGACGATGTTTCGGTTCAACGTTTTACTCCATGTTCAGGCCACTTTTATGGTGCATGTCGCGTTCCGACGTGTAGTTTGCTAAACGTCTCATTCTCCTTATAAGGAGATCATATCAGTGGATTTGAAGCAGCAGGATGTAGCTGGCATGTGCGGTGCGCACAACACCCATGCGACATGGAACGCTGTTTTAAGCATCGGTCTTTAACGGCAGTATAAGACCACCCATGTGATGGGCTCTCAACCAATGGGAATGGCAAAACTGCCCCAGGTATTTATGAATATACATTTAAGAGATGTTACAGGTTACGTTCAACAATGCACAACTGTAATCTGCTAAACTAAAGCGTTTTTATCTCTATAATCCATTTTTAAACAATCTTCATGCACATTTTAAGTTCATGTTGATTACATTGAACAAAATCAGCTACTCTTTTTAACAGTGAAGCAAAAAAACCCCCCAAAAAACCACAATTTCAATATACAAGATAACTACGCACAAAAGTATACCATTAAACTCAACAACTGGATTAAAACCTTCAAGGTCTTCTATATTTTCTCTTTTGCAATCAATTGAGCCCTTTTTTTATACCACAGATTATATTTCTTGTGTCTGTACATATTTGTTAGTCGTGATGCTTGTAAACAATTTTCATAAGGTACTACAAATATTTATAGAATAAACAATTTGTTTTTACAGCAGTGATGTTTATACTGTTTATAACAGTTTCTTTTTTTCTTTTCGTTTTTTTTTTTTTGTTGGCCATGTTCCTATTGACCAGTTCAATTAAACCAGCTCCAGTTACTTATGAGATGTAAAACACAATGGAATGCGATCAACACCAATTTTTGGAAAGAATTTAAAAACTACAGATATTTATCTCTGCTTTTCAAAAAAGCACAGGTATACTATGTACACGTTATATAAACACCTGACATGCTTATGACATCCCTTCTTAGAATTTACATTGAATAAAATCTAGCTTCTCGTTAACGGTGAAGCCAAACAAAAGACGTAATTTCAATCACGAATCCTGTTTAAATACAGAATAACTGTGCACAAAGCCGTAACTCCTGTAAGTTTTGTCGCATTCAGCACGAATTTAATGTATCTAAACATATGTCGTTTTGTATTACGTTATCAAACATGCAAAATTTTGCATGAGATACGGCCTACTATCTTTGAAATGGGAGGCCGTACGGACTTCAGCGTTCGTTGGATGGAAACAGTTGCCTCCGTAATTCCAAAAATTGACCGTATCTCAAAAAGTCCAAAATTCAAATTACAGTTGGATGTGCAACATACAAGTCACCTTATGTACACAAAACGCCATCTTGGAATCGCTTTAAGGAACGACCGCTAAACAAGACAATCTATTTTTTGCTACAGCAGTGTTCTACCTAACTTAATTATTCCAAGACCTTTGCTATATCCAGGCGTCCGTTCTCCACCAGCCACGAATAGAGGGCGCCCACTTTGGCTTGGGTGGTGGTCTCCCAGACTTGTAAGACACTCTTGGCGCCCTTGCGTGGGTCAGGGTCGTTCTCCCAAAGTCGTATCTTGTTCTTGGTGACCGGCTGAAAGACGCTCTGGTGCTGCTTCCTCAGCCAATCGGCTAGATCCTTCCAGTTGCGCACACCTGGCATACACAGACATGATAAACGGCAATTCAAGGGTTCATACCAGGCTTGCATGGATGCTTTTTCAGTCGCTTAAAGGCACATCCGAACATTGGTACGATTATGAAACTACACATTAAAGGCAAAAACTTCAAGCTCAAATTGGAGAAAAAATTCCTTGCAACTTGTAGCAAGGCAGGAAGCATATCTCACTCTCTCTCTTTTAAAATGACCACATACAAAAAAGTGCCTTCCCTTTAATACGTTTACATGATTGAAACCACTCAGATTGGTAGAGAGTGAAATTCTTGTACCAATGGAGTGGACTGCATCAATGATCAAACATTGAAGTAAAACAACTAAGGAAAAAGTAGATGACGAATGGTGTTACCATCCATGCAACCTTCCATTCACCCACTTCTTTGATCCCGCAAACAAGTGTTATTCAAGTTGTTTATTGACTGTTGTTCCATTTGTTGCTTTGTGATTTCCTGATGTGAAAAGTTTTTCACTTCACTTGATGATTCCTACCAGGTCCCTGTTAAAACTTACACGTGACTAGTCGGCATTACTATTGGCACAGGTCTGATGCTGTGAACGTACCTGGAGCTTTACGCTTCATCAAATTCAAGGCTAGCGATCTATTCTCCTCTGCTGGAAAAAAATCTTTTCATGAGCCCCCACACTGTATACACAATTTTTCTATACAGCTCTATTGTTACAAGCGTGATTTGTGATGGGTTCATTGGCTCCATTCAGTAAACTGACGCACGAGATGTTTTGTGAAAGCATCCATGTGCGTAGGCGAAAATGAGACATACAATTGTGAAAAGGACTGGTAACCTTGCCGTTGGCCCGGAACAAAATAAAATGTCTCAGAGTTATTCAGGAATCGGAATGTATGCTTTGTCGGACTTGTCCCACAATTATTAAACTTCAACTGAGAAGGGACTTCAACTGTGAAATGAATCCGTCTGAAATGGTATCACTTGGAAGAAAACAATCATTAAAGGTGGTTTGAAAAAAGTGTGCCAACAGACACACTTCACAAATTTGTTATTTATTAAAACAAATTTGTTATTTATTAATTACTGCAAAATTGCGTTCCAGTGGGAATCTTCGTCACATATACTAACTGACTGAATGAAAAATCATGTTCCGAGTGCTGATTTAAGAAATGTACATTTATGAGAGTACGTGAACAAACGAAACAGTATCTTTGGAATCTGAAGTGCTAGCAACGGAATCCTCTTACCCCCCCCTCCCCCCCCCCAAAAAAAAGGGCATAGATTTCTCTCTGTTTCCCAAAATGTATAGAATCTAGTCAACTTAAAATTCAAGAAGTTAGTTGCCAGGACCCAAACTCTACAATAGCCCCAAAACACCCACCGTCAGTGTAGCTCAGCATCTCCTCAATGTCTTGAATCGTTGAGTAGGGCAAATTGCCAATCTTGGCATCATCTCCCGCAGCAGGGCCTGTGTCAAAGAGGAACAGAAAGCTGAAAGCCAACTTTGAAGATGAATGGACAAGATAAGTTTGCGGTAGCACCATGTGAATAAATCTCTTTTGTGAGTATGTGTGGTTCTGAAAAGAACCGGAGGGACTCAACGTTTCAAGCAGTATGCTCTGCCCGTCGTTGGGAGAAGAATGGAAAAAAACAAATCTGTGCTTAATAAATTGCTCTTTTAAGAATGAAGCCGAGCCGTTCCATTTTTTTTGCAGATACCAGAGGGCTAGCCTAGCGTCCTGCTTTAACCTTTCTCACTCACTGACTGGACTGGTGACTGATTGTAGACTGGTAAGGAGAATTGGGAAGTGCTATTGTATAGGAGCACCTCATAACACCAATGAATGAGTATTTCTTGAAGGTATCTCGTACGTCCTCTCTGCAGTTCTGGAGAAACTTCTGAAGTGCCCAGTGTTTGAGGAGAACCAGGCAGTGCTATTGTATAGGGGCACCCCATAATGCCAATGAATAGGCGGAACTGTTTATTTTTTATTCATGTTACCTATCACTCCTCCCTGGTTGACGTGTTTCTTGAAGATAGCTCGTACTTCTTTTCCCCAGTTCTGGAGAAACTTCCGAAGCGCCCAGCGTTTGTCCAACTCGCTGTCCGAGTTATTCTTCTTGTAATACGTAGAACTCCAGTCCTCCATGACAGTGTCAAGTCGGCCGTTTCCCTAATGCAGAAATAAATACAGTATATTGTATGTGCACAGTTAAATGCTCAGTAAGATGGGGGTGGGGCATCTTTTTTGTACAGTCCATATTGGGATTAGGCTGCCATTTGGGGCATATTGGGCTAATAGGGGTGCCAATGGGTGCATTGGGGGTGGGGTACATTTTTGTACAGTCAATGGGCGTATAGGTATTATTGGGCAGCCATTTTGGGCGTATTGGGTATATAGGACTGCCAACAGGTGTATTTGGGGAGGGGTACTAATTTTGTCCAGTCAGTGGGCGTATTGGGATTTGGCTGCCATTTAGTACAGTCAACGGGTGTATTGGGGGTAAGGTACCATTTTTGTACAGTCAATGGGTGCATTGTGGGTGGGGTACTGTTTTTGTACAGTCGACTGGCATGTCAGGCTGTTGATGATGTTTTCTCAGACACGGATATGCCTGTGACATTTTGCCCTGTGGATGTCCCATGGGTAGTCAGTCACAGACTGCTTCGTTGGTAGGTTCAACTTACCTCTTGCGATCGGTATCCGATCTTGAGGCACTGCCCTGGAGAAATTCTGGGGCCATTGTGCAGGTCTTGCTTAAGGGCGTCGAAGTCAGCCACAAATGGATCCAAGAACCTCTCCAGGTTACTTAAGAAATTCCCTGTGAAAAAACAACAAAACAAACAAACAAAACAAATGAACAAGCAACAGCTTTTTGACTTTTTTATTAGAGAGAACAGAAAACACACTCATTTTCTGGATTCAAACCCCAAACAAAATCACGATGACAATTTTAGCGCGGAACCAGCCTATTGCAAAATAGCAGCAACGTGCAATTTTTGCGGTGATGAGCTTAAATTTTCGCTAAATTCGAAAGTATCTCTGGACACTATCAATAAAGAGAGATACACTACTTTTCACAATTTGAAACCTATCATGACTCTGCAGTTGAAACGCTTGAAAGTTGCCTACGTGGAGACACTGGCAATTTTGCCTATTAGTTATGGTATGGAGATCAGTTTTTTGATAGACATGTTTTCAAATTTCATCTACGCACAATGCTGCAAAAATTGTATTTAAAAAGAAATAATGTCGCGCATGCGCAGAGCTGAGCTGCTTTGAATGGGAACTAGCAACCGGTCCTCATATTTTAAGGGGGGCGGAGACCAGTCTAGCATGGAGCCACGCAAACTCCGTCGTCAGACTCACTCGTGAGCTCAGGTGTAGACTCTCGCTTGGTTTCAACAGGGGAGCTCTCCGCAGGGAACTCCTTGCAGAAATCCCTGGCCAGCTGATGCAGCGACTTCGCACGGATGGCGGTCAGCAAGGTGGGGACTGTGGCTGATCTGGAGTGCGTCTTACGCCAGTGCAGCAAACACTGGTAGCGTTGCTCCACTACGTGTGGGTGGCCAAAACTTGCATTCCCGATCTCGACGTCCGTAAGTCCCAGCTTTCGCATCAACGGTTTCCAGTCAGCAAGGGTGAGATTTTCCGAGAGCCATTCCATCATTTCTGTACTGACGGGACACTCGGTCTGATTTATGGTAGAAATATAATTTAATGAAAAAGAAGCAAGGAAACGTAATAAATGGAAAATCATGTGGGATCCATCTTTTAAAAAAAAAGTCTAGTGTATACCAACATGAGTGGAATAGTAAGAATAATTTGACAGATGGAACGTTTTGCCTCATGGATTTCATCTGTCACCCAGTTTTTCATTGCACGAATTAGAAACATGCTTAGACAACACGTGAATGAAACATAAACTTCTATTCACAGTGGAATAAAAGTTCTTTTCATTTTGCAATGTGCCCGGGTCGTGGATTGGGACGAATAACTTAATGACTTGTCATCAACAACCTACCAATCAGATGACCCGGATTCATTCAGGCGTTGTATAAAATGTGCTGAAAAAAGTCATATGCAACAGAATTCGGTAATTTCTTTGCATGTTTTATTTGTCCCCAAAGCATTAATACTATTTCCTTTTTTAACAGCATGTGAAACTGGGCGAAGGTATTCAGTCTGAGAATGCACTTGGACCAGCAATCATGATAGTCGCTTACCACTTTTTCCTTGCTGGAGACTTGGACGAAGCTGTAACTTCCGCTCTCAAGCTTGTCAAAGGCGCCTTGTTGGGAGGCCATAGCTGCGGCTTTGGTCTCAGCCGAGACTGCCGCTCTTCCTGCCGGTACTTTGCCTCCTCCTGCAGCTGTTGTTTCTGTCTGCGGAACGTCGGATCCGGCCTGCAGTGCTGGCTTCACATGGGTGTTGGGCAAGTCGGTCATCTGGCCATCTGTTTCCACAAGATGCTCCGAGCAGACGGGCGAAGGGCAAGACTCGGGATGCTCACCTCCAATCCGGACACTTGCCATGCCTTTCTCAAGGCTCTCAACTCTGGAAAGCAGCGGCCCCGGTGCAGCATCGCCTCTGCCATCAGTCGACACGCCCATGCTTGACACACCCATGCTTGACACACCCATGCTTGACACGCCTGCTGCTGGACGCCGTTGAAGATCCTGCAGCATCTTCAACTCTCTGTCAAGCTTCTCTACACGATCACTGAGAGATTTCTTCTCCAACATGTCCAAGAACCACGTGGCTTTTTGACTTTTCAAGTCCAAATTTTCACTCTCAGCCGCTGCAAGTTGAGCTTTCAACTCCTTGATTTCTGCATCTTTGCTGGAAGCATAAACCGCGACTGCTTGCACAATGCTCTCTGATGTAGGGGTCGCCATTTCAGAGGATTCATTTGGATCTTTAGCAGGGTTGGTACTTGCCATAGTCAAACAATTGTACGAATCTGTAAAAGAGTATCATATAGGAATACGTAATAATCAATGTCAGCTCTTTTGACCTCAAAGAAAACTAATGAGAAGTTGCGCATTGACTGAACTTTTGTATTGTCCTTGTTGTCTTGTCCTGATTGTTTTATTCATTTGTGTGATTTTTGTTAATGTAAAGTTAGTCGTACTTCATTTCTTCATTTTTTACAACTGTTGGTCAGATTTGAATTATAATGTATGTTTTATCCAAACATTGTCTGTATAGTACCGCATGTGTAATTGATCTGGTATTATGATTTTAGGAATTTACTTTTAACCACTGTAATTTTATGAATATATCATTGTCCTAGGCCTGTGCATCCGCGGGTAGTAGAGGAATTGCTTCGGTCTGTATCCCGGACCAGCCGCATTGCTAACCTGCATGAATGGAGCCAAAGACAGAGCCGAAGCCGGGGTTAAAGAAAAAAAACCAAGAGGGCGTCCTCCAGCACAACGACAGGTCTCCGAATTGAATGGACAATTTCTCTTTTCTTCCCGAACGTAAGTGAACCTAACCACCACCAGTTTAATTTCAAATTCCCACAAAAGCCTGTTAGGGGCACATAAGACAGTTTCAGGACCTTTTTTTGTGGTGAAATCTGAAGATTTTGATTAAGGGTATGATGAGTGTTACTGATTTGATTAATAGTACACACAGTGATTAAGGGATGATCCTAAGACTCTAGCCAGACGATGTCAAAATGTTAAAAAAAAAAACGATTTGAAGAGTCTACTATATAATCGGACTAGTCTCCCTATGTCAGTTAAATTAGGCAGTGCTGTTTTTTCTTATGCGGTCAAAAAACCAATACCATATTTTTACCAGTATTAAGTACAGTGGGAGTATTCAACTGGATGCAGACCATATTAAGGTTAATGCTAGTCTGAGTAACTTGTCGCCTTTTTAACGTACATGCGCGGATGCGGGGAGGGCATGGAGTAAATTTTAATCAATAGAGGGCACATTATTGGAAGCCTGGATGCACGGATGCGGGGTGGGCATGAAGTAAATTTTAATCAATAGAGGGCGCTTTATTGGATGCCTGGATGCACATGTGAATGAATATGGAGCATGTCAGCTGGAGTTACTCAAGCTAAGTCAACCCCAGACAGGGCTCCGGAGTGCTCTGAAATGTGCAAAACTAAATACGGCCCACTTTACTCACAGTTTAGCCAAGAATTCCACTGGAGCAAAAAAATGTCCTCAGACTTCACCAACCAAGTTTGCAGACTGAATTCAATTTTTAAAGGAGACTTTTCTTCAATATTTTGCACATGAGAGGGAAGTCAAGTGATTTCAAAATGATTGACCTCTTCATTCAGTCTCAATAGTCTGGTGGCTTGACTATGGAGAAATGTGTAGTAAATTGAGACTAGTTCCCGCTTCATGCTTCTTTAATTCTTTTGGCATGGTTGATTGATGCAGTACTGAAGCTGTGTTGGACTGGTTGTTTGAATGTTGGACACTTCGCCCCATTTCCACGTCGCCCCATGTCACTTCGCCCCTAACCACTTCGCCCCATCCCCACTTCGCCCCATCCCCACTTCGCCCCATTCCCACTTCGCCCCATCCCCACTTCGCCCCATCCCCACTTCGCCCCATTCCCACCTCGCCCCATTCCCACTTCGCCCCATCCCCACTTCGCCCCATCCCCACTTCGCCCCAGCCGTTACATGTAAAAAAAAATCTCATCTATTTTTTTGGCTTAAAAAAAAAATTCAACAGATTTACTCATTGCTAACCAACGGAAAGAATTAGCCCATCACCAAATGAAACAATTCATAACCAACCTCTCAAGCTAGGCTCTCCCCTACCGACAAAAAAGCTTGAAGTAAAAGATCCAACTTTGTTCCCAACCCGGCTATACCAACCCGTCTCCCACTTATCTGAGAACGACAATACCTTTGACATCCTAATTTCATTCTTGGAGAGTGAACGGACTTGAACATTTTCCTCAAGGCAGTGAGTTCCTTCACTGACCCATGCCTACGGATTCTTTTGAATCCATCGGCTGATGATTTTATTCACAAGCCAATAGGAGAGGCGTCTCTGAATGGGATAGAGCCATCATTTCTCTCATCTGTGTCTCGAGCACCTCATCAGAGAGTTTGTATTTTTCCTAAGTTTCTAGAATTGGGAGCATTTATTATCTGGGGTCTTTTGCAGTTTATTTGGTCTGCACCCCAAGCCTTCACCTTTTTCATACTACATGGGGCGAAGTGGGGATGGGGCGAAGTGGGGATGGGGCGAAGCGGGGATGGGGCGAAGTGGGGATGGGGCGAAGCGGAGATGGGGCGATGTGGGGATGGGGCGAAGTGGGGATGGGGCGAAGTGGTTAGGGGCGAAGTGACATGGGGCGACGTGGAAATGGGGCGAAGCGTCCGACAACCGGTTGTTTTAGGTGCCGGTCTATTTTCTTGTTTTGCATGTTTTCAATACCTTCTCATAGTACACAGTATTGAACATGTTGAATGAGACTAGTCCCAAATTTTGGACTAAGTCAACCCCAAACCAAACAACCGAACAACATTGACCAAACAACATGAACATGACTGACATGACCTGATGACTGATGAACAACATTGACCAAAACCACACGAAAATACGAACCGATTTTCCTTCCTGGCTATGAACAGTTCTCTAGGGAAGATTGTCACATAATTTCGGTCGTAACCATGGTAACTGGTAAATGTATTACAAAGCTACGGAAAAGTTTAATGCTTCAAGCATTTCGTTCGCAACGTCCACAGCTTTCAGTCACACTCAATCAAGATTTTTTATGGAAGGGAATTCCCTAACTTCGACAGACAAGCGCCACCAACGTTGAAATCTATATTATCTTTGCACATGCCGTGTTGTACATGTAGCGTGAATATCCTATTCAATGAAATATGGACTCATTGTAATGGTAGTATTGCAAATGCGTAAGTACGATAATATGCTATTTTTAGGATCATTATGGGAGATTTACCTGTCACGTGCGAGGGATTAGCCTATAAATAGGGACAAGGAGTCGGATTTTCATATGACAATGTGTCAAAATTCAAGTCCTTTGACCGGCTGCCAAAACTCATGTCACAATGTCAATAGCGGCATTCTTGCATATTTACGTGCATAATCACAATACTATACTATTGAACTAGTTTTGCACGCGGGCGACTTCACACACAATATGGGGACGGGAATCAGGCTCTGCATGCCGGCTAGTAGGGCGGCAAGCGTGCCACGAGTATCAGGGCGAATTGAACACCACCAGGCACCAGCTGAATAAGTTTTGACGGCGTTTTGAGATTTCTGTAATTTTCTGTTCATTTGGGGGGGGGGGGGGGGGGGGCGTAAATCGTGCCAGTTCGGGTGACTGCAAACTAAACACGGCCGGGAAGGGGGGGGGGGGGGGGGGGGGGGGGCTCGAGTGACAACCATCCGGACCGTCAATAAATCAACATGCATTTATACCAATCCGTCTAATGAATTCAAAACAGTAAAAGAAAACTTTGCCGCGCCGCTTGCAAAACCGAGTCTTTACTTATTTGCCGGGATGGGTTGGACGGGCAAGGGCTGCTGCTTCAGAAAACTCAAGTTGTGGGCGGGGATAATAGTACCTAATAATATTAATTAATTACATGGGGCTCACGGATGTGTCCAACTTATGGCATAATTTTGGACCTTGTGAATGACCACAATACATACCCACTAACTGGGGCGCTAAAACTCCTTTTTTGACATTTGGGATTTTGGTTTGCGGTCGTACCATGTTTTATTTCTCCATGGTCGTACCACGACAGACCAAAATCCCAAATGTCAAAAAAGGAGTTCTAGCGCCCCAACAGTTAGTTGGTCTAGCCACAATAAATTTGGCAAGGAGGTAGGCCCTATATGCTTTTTTATGTCCAAGTTGTTAAAATTAAGTATAATTATGTAGAAACACTTGTGAAGAGTACCAGTTTTATCCAGCTAGGGAAGGGGATGGAGCCCCTCCCCCCCCCCCGCACGAAATAAAAAAAAAGAGTGTTTTCTTCAAACAAAACTACAAGTATCTAAAACCGGATATTTACAGGCTTCGTGGTTTGATTGACAGAGTAGTACGACTTACCCGTACCAGGAAAAACGGTTCGAGATGGAAGACCAATTATTTTCCAGCAAGACTCAGGGTATGTCAACTCGAAATGGACAACATTCAAGGAGGGGCGAAATTCAAGGGCGTATTTCACTTGTTGATCTCTCTTCACAGAGATAAGCGATTCCGAAGGAGCGGTCGGTGATGAGGCGAGCTGGATGCTAAGTCTTGGCCCGCCACCTAGCTCCATCTGACGATGTAACGTCGGACACGCATCCAAGAACACCTCCGACCAAGTTTTGGTAAGTGGTACTTCCATTAATTCGTTTTTACTCCAGATTTTTTCGAATTTGTGTATTTTTTCTGACACGTTGACCAGAAACGTCTTCGCATCTTTTCCATTCATGGTGCAAATAGTACCAAAAAAATGTTGCTCGATGATTTAATTTTGATCTTGATAACACCGAAATGCGATGATATACAACTGCGCACCGGCGACCCGTGAGTGACTCTATACTCGAACATGCTCGTTTACCGTGCGTGCGATTTATTCCCGATAATGATCAAACCAACGGCCGCCGGGTATGTTAGAAAACTGGCAGGCGCTAGGGGCCTTTACTGAGGATCTTTAGTATGTACCGCCGTGATTATATTATGCAAATGCATGATACTTTTCAATGCACTGTAATGTCAGATACACTTGGCTGTCCTATTTTAGACCAATAAAATTACAGTATCCTATAGACACACCTTCTGCTGATCTACAGCGCCGGGTAAAAACAAGCAAATTGCCGCCCACATTTTGTACCCACCCGTACTGCGCCATTCATAAAAACGAATCCCCGCCTCTTTTCGCTCAACGTACAATGTACATGTTTTTTTTTGTATTGTACATGTACAATGGCGGGGATTCGTCACAGTGCTTTTCCCGGCGCGGCGCGGTACGTGCTTCGCTCACTGTGTGTCAACCGGACGTTTTCTCAGGCATACTTGCTCTGTATAGGTAAAAAATTTTGATTGATTGAAAACGCATGTATATTTCGTCGTTGTGTGACGAATTGATTCTATTTTTACTCCAGACACCGCATACAAAAGCAAACGCAAATGTAACGCACCAGACTACTCCTAATTTGCATAAGGGAATAACAGTGTGAGGAGCCGATCTTAATTCACTGCGTGTTATGCATGACGGGACTTTTTCGGAAAAAAATGCGCAGCCCGTACAAAATGGCACTCAATCTTTACTAACAGGGGTGTGTGACTACAAATTTGTATCCTTGTGGAGACACACACACAATAGGGAACAAAACATTGTAAAGGTCTCCACAGGGCAATTTCTATAGATGAATAGGTCTCCACAAGGTTTTCACGAAATAGATATATGGGTTTTACTCAAAAACTAGGAATTTCCAAGGTGGGTTGATCCGTCGCAAATGAAAGAGTTTTAGAAAAGGGATATTAAGTCCAAATTTCAGCCAAGGAAACTAATTCTGGTTAAAATAAGAGCATTTTGAAACTTCACTTTCAAAATTGAACACTTTACTACACGAGAACAAAGGAATGTCTCCACAAGGATACAAATTTGAGAATGTGTGTGTAGGCTGTGTGATCTTGTTATACTTTACGACTGAGGACTTATTGATGGGACAGTAAGGTGTATTTCTTCTTTTTTTTTCGTTTAACGTGTGCACACCGACTTAATGTACGGTTTGGTTTATAAATGTTATGAACTATTGATTTGTATTTTGTGTATTGTCCAATTTTTTATGCAACACGGCCCCTTGAAAAACCACCTTGGTTGAATGGGTTATACACAAGTTTAAATAAATAAATGAATACGGGATTATCAATAACCGCTAGGACCCAAGCCAAGTCCTCGGAAAGTGTTCGTGTACAACCTTATGGGACGTGTTGAGAAAAAGTTACAGTAGAAACAACGGGAACAAAAGAAGGGAACAATATGAGGTCCTCATAAGTATAGGATAACACGACTGTGTGTATTTTTTTGGGGGGGGGGCTGAAAAATATTGTCTTATGATGATATTATTAACCCTTTCATGCACGCTCAAGCCATATATCGCGCATGCTTTGGTTATTACCTATAGAGCTAATTAAAATATAGCTCTATGTTATTACCACACTAATGACATGCCAGTTCTTGACCACAGGTTTTGGACGAGTTTTAGTAAACATCGCCCTCACAGGACAATGCTATGAAAGGCATCTCTTTACTTAACTTGTGGTGTGACGTAAAATACACCCAGGTCCATGGAAATGTATGTTTAAATAAATAAATTATTAACACAATTATGGCCTCTGAGGGGGATAACACTCTCTGGTGGTTTCACTAAATTAATAATGGCACAGACTTGTAAAATGAGTTTTATCGTTGGGTGCATGCAGTTAAAAAGTTAAAATGACGCTGAATTTAAAGGTATTTTTTTAATGCAAGCAATGAATATTAACCTTTTAAAAAAAATTTAAACACTCGCGGAAACGGGAGGCATTCCTCCCGTTTTTTAACGTGCCGTGGCGGTAACCTGACCGTGAGATTCATCAGAATTAGAATATTATGGGAATCAGATTAGCATTCTGTAAACCAGACTGCAATAATGAACTTCGGTCATAAAAACACCATCTATTTTTAGTTTCGTTCAAGTGTATAGGCTGAAAAAGAGGCACTCAGCCTCTAAACAAACAGGGCCTATGTGTTACCGTTTTGGCATGCAGCCTAACTTTTAATCTATTTTTTTTTAAATAAATATGAAAAAAAAAACATATTCCATGCAAAAACCGATGTGGGCGCGAAAATGATAACCTATAGTATTTAATTTTTTATGGGACCTTACTGCATGATGTTTCCCAAACGGCATATTTCGGACCCTGTGAATGGCCACAACATTTTTGGGGGCTACTACATGATTTGTGATACGTACATGTATGAACTTGTTGATTAAAATCTCGAGGTTACCCTAAAACCGAACAGACCTTTAGAATAGATCTCGATGGCATAAAGAGATCAACGGACTAAGAAGTCGCACGACTTTAATACCCGGCAAAACGTTTTGAGAGGGAAGACACATTTTCGAAGACTCACCGTTTGTCAACTCGAAGTGGACAACTCTCAAGGAGGGGCTAAACTGGAGAGCGCATTTCACTTGTTGATCTCTCGTCACAGAGATAATTGATTCCGAAGGAGCGGTCGGTGATGAGGCGAGCTGGATGCTAATTCGCGGCCCACTAGGACCCAGCTCTATCTGACGGTATAAGGTTGGGCACGCATCCGCTAATACCTCCGACCAAGTTTGGTTAAGCGATACTTTCATCAATTCGTTTTTCCTCCAGATTTTTTCGAATTAGTGCGTTTTGTCTGACACGTTGACCACCAGAAACATTTTTGTGTCTGTTCCATGTAATGAGTGCAAAAAAAGCGTTGCTCGATAGTTTTGCACTTGCAAGTGTATAATTCATATCGAAATAAATGGCATATGCAATTATCGCCGCGGCACAAATGGGGAAGTATGGTAAAACCCGACAGGTCACACAAATCAGGAAATGCTGGGGCGATCCATATTCATAATGGGGGCCGCGCGCGGCAAAACGTTTGAGTTATGATCCGTCTCGATTTAAACAAAATGTGCGTGGCCCCCCCCCCCCCATTATGAATATGGATCGCCCCAGCATTTCCTGGTTTGTGTGACCTGTCGGGTTTTTTTGTCTGGTGGTGACAAAAAACCCAAGTATGACGTCATTCGACGGAATGTTATGCTATGCTAAATTCCGCGTCCAGAAAGTCACTGCATTGTAATATTATTACAACGCAATGACTCTCTGGACTCGGAATACAAAAAATGTAGCATATCTGTTATTGGACAAAAGAACGAATTTTGCACGATGTGTCCCGGCCGCGGTGCGGGGAACCGTTGCTCTCTATTCAACCTTGGAGCTATATCTGAGAAATTTAGGAATTTCGTTACACAAGAAAAATAATAGAGATTGAAAAAAAAAAACAATTCACCGATGGACCGGATTCGGAGCGACCCCAGCTAAAACCGGTTTTGTGCGTATACACGGTAAACACTAATACAGTCATGTGAAGCAAAAGAGACTACTTTACCCTGTGGGTTTTAGGAACAAAAGTACACTCTTAAACAAAATTAATTGATTATGATCGACCAATATCAGAAGGTTTTAACCAATTTTATTGGGCAATAATTATGTGTCCAGCCGACTTTTTGGTCAAAATGATTAAGAGACCTTTAGTAGCTTTTTACCAAAGTATTTAAAACCGAAAATTACAGGCTTCGTGGTTTGACTGACAGAGTAGTACGACTTACCCGTACCAGGAAAAACGGTTCGAGATGGAAGACCAATTATTTTCCAGCAAGACTCAGGGTATGTCAACTCGAAATGGACAACATTCAAGGAGGGGCGAAATTCAAGGGCGTATTTCACTTGTTGATCTCTCTTCAGAGAGATAAGCGATTTTGAAGGAGTGCTCAGTGATGAGGCGAGCTTAATTGATGCTAAGTCTTGGCCCGCCACCTAGCTCCATCTGACGGTATAAGGTCGGACTGGCATCCAAGAACACCTCCGACCAACTTTTGGTAAGTGGTACTTCCATTAATTCGTTTTTCCTCCCGATTTTTTCGAATTTGTGTATTTTCTCTGACACGTTGACCAGGAACGTCTTTGCATCTTTTCCATCCCTGGTGCAATTGGTACAAAAAAAAATCGTTGCTCGATAAATTAATGTTGATCTTGGAAACGTTAAATACCACTAGAATGCAATGCTATACAACTGCGCAGTGCGCTCTACAATCGGGCGATCCGCGAGTGACTCAAGTCTCAACCTCGGTTCAGTTCGGTCCCTTTGAGAGCCCTGTAACGGGAATCTACTGTGTATTGTATACCACGTAGCTTAGCCTATCACGTTACATGATGTGGGGAAAGCCCCGCGCGCTGAGCTCGCTGTTGATTGGTGCGCACGCACGTGCACGGGGCGACCGCCGATACGGCAGGCAGGGCGCCGGGCCATTACTACACTCCGTGGAACTTGACTTTTGTGGGCTAAAGTAAACCATGGAGCTATAGCTCCAATGAGTAAACAAACAAGGGAACACACTACCAAGAAAAAAAGGGGGCATCTAATTTTCGATTGAAATGATTTTTTTTTTTAATTTAAACACTCGCGGAAACGGAAGGCATTCCTCCTGTTTTTTAACGTGCCGTGGCGGTAACCTGACCGTGAGATTCATCAGAATTAGAATATTATGGGAATCAGACTAGCATGCTGTAAACCAGACTGCAATAATGAACTTCGGTCATAAAAACACCATCTATTTTTAGTTTCGTTCAAGTGTATAGGCTGAAAAAGAGGCAATCAGCCTCTAAACAAACAGGGCCTATGGGTTACCGTTTTGGCATGCAGCCTTACTTTTAATCTATTTTTTTTTTTTTTTAAATATGAAAAAAAAAAAACCCCATATTCCATGCAAAAACCGATGTGGGCGCGGAAATGATAGCCTATAGTATTTAATTTTTTTTATGGGACCTTACTGCATGGTGTTTCCTAAACGGCATATTTCGGACCTTGTGAATGGCCACAATATTTTGGGGGGCTACTACATGATTTGTTATACGTACATGTATGAACTTGTTGATTAAAATCTGGAGGTTACCCTAAAACCGAACAGACCTTTAGAATAGATCTCGATGGCATAAAGAGATCAACGGACTAAGAAGTAGCACGACTTTAATACCCGGCAAAACGTTTTAAGAGGGAAGACAAATTTTCGAAGACTCACCGTTTGTCAACTCGAAGTGGACAATCCTCAAGGAGGGGCTAAACTGGAGAGCGCATTTCACTTGTTGATCTCTCGTCACAGAGATAATTGATTCCGAAGGAGCGGTCGGTGATGAGGCGAGCTGTATCCTAATTCGCGGCCCACTAGGACCCAGCTCCATCTGACGGTATAAGGTCGGACACGCATCCGCTAATACCTCCGACCAAGATTGATTAGGCGATATTTTCATCAATTCATTTTTCCTCCAGATTTTTTCGGATTCGCGTGTTTTCTCCAACACGTTGACCACAAACATTTTTGTGTCTGTTCCATCCATGATGACGAGTACCGAAAAACAAACATTGCTCGATCATGAGTTTTAATATCGGATTGAATGGCCTATTATATTTACCGCCACCGCAAGTTATAGAAGTTAACAACATTAGTTTTGGCGGGAAACATCTTTGGACTGATCCATTCCCAGAATTCCAGTATAGGAGCCATGCGAGTTTTTGATCGGAGCACGAGCACGATTGTGCAATGGGCATATTTTGTGACGCAGCAAGTCAAACAGCAGCGTGAATTTTAGAAAAGAAAAAGGCGGGACAATTCTGGGAGTGATCCATTTCCATTATAGGGGCCGTGCGAGTTTTTATCGGAGCACGAGCACGATTTTGCAATGGACGACGCATTTTATTGTAAAGTATAGGTAGAGCCAATTGAGAAAAGAGAAGGCGGGGAAAACCCGGGAGTGGTCCATTTCCATATTAATGTCAATTTAATGTTAACCCAAAGGATTTTTGTTGCTGTGCCATCATTAATCATATACGTGTCTTTGTTGGATACATGCATGTACATGTACATAATTATAAACGTGATTTTTTGTGTACATAATATTAGTAATAGGAAATAAATACATATACAAAGAATTGACCAATCAATCAATCAATCTTAACTTATTAACCACCTAACAATACAGAACAATATGCAGTTTTTCGTTCCGCATGCCTATCACATACCTGTACTGGTTTTTTTTTTTTTAGCTTATTGCGAAACCGTGAACAGCCTTTTCACGGTCACTCATCCTAAGGGAATTCCCGGGTATGGCGAGATAGCTATTCATGTTATACGCGGTACAATTCTAGAGAGCGCCACCAACGTTGAAATCTATCTCATTCACTGTCAGGTTGCCGCGGCGTGCACTTCGTACGCGTAGTCTAGTTCTCTATGGGATTTATACATGATTGTCATGTACAATGTACATTAGTGCATGTATCGGGCCAATGAGTGGCGCTAGCAGCCGAGCCAGACGGCCGGTGTGGACGGTAATTCTGTCCCCCGGTAAAAGTGTCCGGGGGACAGAATTACCTAATATATTTTCATTGGGTTAGCCAAAGCGAGAATTTACATTTGAATGGAATCAGCGGAGTGTGACATTAAGGTGTGGTTGAACAGGCGTGTTCAAGTCACTGACCGAATTCACCAGCAAGCAGTACGGACGTCAAATTTGTGTGTGTTCTTTTTCGTGCCTAAATCGATAGAGCAACCATGTCCTTAAATGAACAATCTTCTTCTGCACAAGAAGTACCTGTCTCCCTGAAACTTGTCGGAGATACCATCAAAGCAGCATTGGGAGATTTCAAGGGGTATTTGGATACCTCGCTCGCCTCATTCAAAAAAGACAGCGAGCGTAAGCAACAGACGACGTCGGAACAAGTACAACAGCTGAAGCGAGCTTCGGAGCTGAGTTTCCGGTTCAAAGGAAACAAAACCCAATATGATTTCAATGCAGGTATTGTAGAGAAATTAGGAAGGGCAGAAAATTGTCTCAAAGAAGACGACGGTGGGTCAGCAAAATCCCTGGTGACAGAGGTCATTGCAGATGTAAAAAAGCGAAACAAGCTGATAAGACTAGCCGATAAATCTGACGCAGGTTAGTGGATGAACAGAGTATTGTCATTCAAATGCTTTGTAATTAGCTCAGCCTTTTTCCTTTGTACTTGCCAAGCTTGGAATACCTGAACTGATGATGAGTTTAAACTTAGCTTATTATTCAGCAAATACAAGTAGTAGGAATTGTTTTTATAAAGCAATGCCTATAGAGGCATACTGCGAATTCTGTAAGATGTATTCAAGAGAGCCTAATGGGCTTTCGGTGACATTCTTTACGAAACAATTAGCATAAAACGTGAATTGCATTGACAGATTAGCCACTAAAGATTCACCGATACGTAAAGTACATTTCTTTAACCTATATCGCTATACCCTTCTTACAGGCTGGACAGCTGTAGATGAATACCTCAGTGACGAGCTCGCTAGTAACTCCGAGGATGACAAAAGAATCAGACAAGCTCAAGCAAGGGCGGTACGAAAAAAGCGCCTTCAGAAAAGCAGTCAGCTTGCGAACAAGCGTCAACGTCAAAATGCTACATTGGAGCAGTTTTCTCCTTCTACTTCTGGCACTGGGCTTTTTCGAAGTTTTCAGCCAAACCGTAGATTCATGCCTGGGGCTACCTCTGCTTGGAGCGCAGGACCAAAGCCAACGGACTTGTGCTTTGCCTGCGGGAAACCAGGCCATTGGAGACGCAACTGTGGACAGCAAAGGCAGGCAATGGTGGGAGGAAAAGAACCAGCAGGGGGTAGTACAACTCAGCCCCGACAGTGGTGAATCAGACGACTCACATAGTGTAGCAGAAAATGTAAATACAGAAACAGGGTATGATATCGACTTTTTTCTTGCAAACTATTATGAATATGAACAGGGCAATGATGAGCCATTGGTCAAAGGCAGATTGAAAGCGGCTGTAGAATTTTGGAGAGGAATAGACGCAAATCCAACAATCATAGATATTATTTCTAATGGATATAAATTGCCTTTCATTAACACGCCTAATCCCAGAAATTTCAAAAACAACAAGTCGGCACTAGAAAATAGCAGTTTTGTTTCTGAAGCGATATCAGATCTTTTGAGTAAAGGATTGGTTGCCGAGTGTGACAAACTACCACATGTAGTTAATCCATTGACTGTAGCTACCCAAAGTTCGGGAAAGAAAAGATTAATTTTAGACCTTCGTTATGTGAATCAATTTCTTTGGAAGGATAAGATTACTTTTGAAGACTGGAAAGTAGCAGAGTCATATTTCCAGAAAGGTGATTTTTTATATTCTTTTGACCTTAAGTCAGGTTATCATCATATTGAGATTTTTCCTGAGCATTGCAAGTTCCTTAGTTTTGCTTGGACCACAGAAGGGGTCACCAAGTACTATTCTTTTTTAGTTTTGCCATTTGGTTTATCCACAGCCCCATATATTTTTACAAAGTGCTTAAGACCACTAGTAAAACACTGGCGTACTCAAGGATACTTTGTAGTTTTGTACCTCGATGATGGTTGGGGCAGAGCGGGCACCGAGGAAACTGCCAACTTGATTGCTTCAAGGGTAAAGTCTGACCTTTTGTCGGCGGGACTAGTGCCGAATGTTCAGAAGTCACAATGGGTAGCTACGCAAAGTTTGACTTGGTTAGGTTTGGTATGGGATTCAAAAGACTTTTCAATTAGAGCCTCTGACAGAAGAATTGAAGATATTGTTAGCTGTATCAATGGCATTCAGATCAAGCTTCCCTATACCTCAGCTCGGAAGCTGGCCTCAATTACCGGTAAAATTATATCTCTTGGTCCGGTAGTGGGGAAGGTCTCTCAATTGAAAACAAGGTTTCTGTACATGGAAATTATACGGAGAGTTCACTGGGACTATGAATATAAACTTGCTAGAGACTGCAGAGTCATTGAGGAATTAGTGTTCTGGAACTCAGAAGTTCAAACCTTGAACAAACGGTATTTATATGAATATTCTCTTCCCAAATGTTTTGTATATACAGATGCGAGCCAAGTGGGCTGTGGTGCATGGACAGTCGGATGTGGAGGGGAGTTGGTCCTGCAAAGGAATTGGTCGAGCGCTGAAGAAACCAAAAGTTCCACGTGGAGGGAATTACAGGCGGTTTCCCTCGCTTTGCAAGCATTTGCGAAGAGTTTAGAGGGTAAAGTAGTGAAGGTTTGTACTGATAACAAAGGCGTTGTCTCGGTAGTCAGCAAAGGCAGTATGGTAGAAGAGTTACTTGTACTCAGTCTGGATATATTCCAATTCTGTAGAAAGCATGGTATTCAACTGGAGGTACAGTGGATACCCAGAGAGCTCAATCAAAGAGCTGATGAGATTAGTAGGGAGATAGATTGGGATGATTGGGGTGTATCATACATATTCTTTCAATTCATTGATAAAATATGGGGACCTCATACAGTTGATCGTTTTGCAGATGAAACCAATGCAAAATTGCCTACATTCAATTCCAAATACTCATCCCCTGGCACAAGCCAAGTAGACGCCTTTTCGTGCAATTGGCAAGGAGAAAATAATTGGTTAGTCCCCCCTATAAACTTGGTGGCGGACGTCCTAAGACACTTGAAGTTGTGCAAAGCAGAGGGCACTTTGGTTATTCCCTGCTGGCATTCAGCCCCTTTTTGGCCGTTGCTCTTTTCCCATCAAAGTTCGTTTCGAAGTTTGGTCAAGCATACCATGCATTTTTCTGATTCGTCAGATATATTCGTCCAAGGTCGGAATCACAAGTCTTTGTTTGGATCACCTTTATTCAAGTCCGAAGTCCTTTGTGTCAGACTGAAGTTTTCATTATGATGAGGAATAAGCCGCATGGCAAGGTAGCCGCATGGCAAGGTAGCCGCATGGCAAGGTAGCCGCATGGCAAGGTAGCCGCAAGGCAAGGTAGCCGCATGGCAAGAAAAGAATTGCCGAATGGCACGTATATAAAAGAATAAATATTAAATATAAATTACTTTATTAATTACCTATTTCTCTGCAGAAAATATAAAGACGATGAGTACTCTTCAACGTTGGCCATGATTCTTGACGCATCAAGAGCCCCCAGCACCACTAAAAAATACAACGCTGCTTTTGCCGCATGGCAACAATGGTGTAAGGTGGAGAAGATCAATCCGTTACCAGCCAATGCCAATGACGTGTGTCGTTATTTTATACATCTCTTCAATATTGGTGCTCCATTCTCGAGAATCGAATCAGTTTTCTATGGCCTAAAATGGCGTCATGATTGTTTTGCGGACTGTAAAGAAAACCCATGTGACAGTAAATTTTTACATAATGTATTGCAGGGATTAAAAAGAAGATTAGCTAAACCTGTTGAGAAGAAAGAACCCATTACACCAGAAATATTAAAGGCTGTCATAGACAAGTACGCAGTTCTGAACAGTCTGTTAGATATTCGATTATGTACTATGTTGCTTATTTCATATGCAGGTTTCTTGCGTCATAGTGAACTTATCAACATCAGAAGATGTGATCTCCAATTACATTCCTCATATGTTAATATCTTCATAGTTAAAAGTAAAACTGACATTTTTAGACAAGGAGCCTGGGTGATCATTTCAGCAACAAATACATCTACGTGTCCAGTCAGAATGTTAAACAGATACCTAATCCTTGCAGATCTTGTAGATGAAGATTCAGATGAAAGTTTCCTTTTTCGACCAGCTAATTATATTCGAACAGAGAACAAGTACAAACTAAGATCAGGGCAATTATCATATTCAAGATGCCTTGATATATTTAAAAGCGCCTTGTCTTCGGTAGGAGTCAACCCCAAGCGTTTTGGACTGCATAGTCTTAGAGCTGGGGGAGCAACGGCTGCGGCTCGTATTGGTGTGCCGGACAGGCTTTTTAAGAAACACGGACGTTGGCGTTCGGAGACGGCAAAGGATGGCTACGTCCACGAGTCGTTGGAAGACAGACTTTCTGTATCCAAAATGCTGGGTTTATAGATAGTTTATCAGCTGTATGTTGGTTCAGTAAGTTGTAATATGGGCATTTCAATCCCTGGATGTGTTAAAAAGTGGAAATAAAACTTGATGTTTCCTGATTATGATTGTATTAAAAAACCCTTATTTCCCGCTCTTTAATTCCTGAGTATGATAATGTGGAATAAATAATATGGGCAATGCTTGCCATCGAAGTTCGGTGTTTCCCAAATGGATTGCATTATTTGTTGTTGTTAACCTATTTTCTTGCAGGTTGGGTAATACAGGGTGGGAAAATACGAGGGTAGGCGGCATTGAAAATAATTTATTCGCGATTGAGGGGCGAATTAGAGAATAAATATATTTTCATTGGGTTAGCCAAAGCGAGAATTTACATTTGAATGGAATCAGCGGAGTGTGACATTAAGGTGTGGTTGAACAGGCGTGTTCAAGTCACTGACCGAATTCACCAGCAAGCAGTACGGACGTCAAATTTTCATGAAAATGTGTTAATGATTGATATTGAAATTGAATGCCTCTAATCAAGCCACTTGTTATCCAGCTTCATTATATTGACAGATACAGTAGAAGTAGAATGCCGTTAGCAGACGATTCCCTATCTTGGCTGTCAACTTTCATCCTACAAGCACAGAGACGGAAACTCAAGACCTTGAGTTCGGATACTTCTGTCTCGACGCAGCTTAAACTGTCCCCAAGATAGCGACGCATCCTGAGCCGTGTCCGCGCAATGCTTGCCATCGAAGTTCGGTGTTTCCCAAATGGATTGCATTATTTGTTGTTGTTAACCTATTTTCTTGCAGGTTGGGTAATACAGGGTGGGAAAATACGAGGGTAGGCGGCATTGAAAATAATTTATTCGCGATTGAGGGGCGAATTAGAGAATAAGGTAAAAGTGTCCCCCCTGTCCCGTTAATTGTGTCCCCCTTCAGGTAATTCTGTCCCCTCCAGTTAATTCTGTCCCCCCTGGTTTTGCACGCATAAGTTGCTATATTGATGTTATTATAATAAATTCAGCGCACAGGTATACATTTTTAGATTTTTCCACCCTTCATCAATAATTATCAAAATGAAATTAACGTTTAGATGTTAATCAACCGATCTATGTTTCTGCAAGAAGGCACGCGTAGTAATACTCAACCTATCGCTAGCGCGCACGCGCATCAGCCACCGATACGCGTGTGACTGTCATGGCGGACTTCAATGAGGAGAATTGGCAAAATTATACGCGTCACGGGTCACCGCGCCGCAGGCCTGCTGCTGGTGCAATGTTGTACCCGTCCCCGGCCGCGGCCCTGGCGCCCTCCGTAGGTGCGGTACACTTGCGCGCACGCCCACCATGCAAATCGTTCGCTCCCGAAGTCGTCATCAAAACGGGAGTTGTGCTTTGACGTATAAAGCACCATTCCCGAATTTAGCAAGGCGCCGCGCAAAAACAGTTAATAACTTCACTAATATACAGTCTGGGTGCTAGACTTGTGACGTTGCACGGGGGACACATTTACCAGGGGGGACACATTTAACGTCGTGCAGGGGGACACATTTACCTAGAGGGGGACAGGTTTACCTAGGTAAAAGTGTCCCCCGGACAGATTTACCGGGTCACGACCCGGTAGATCTGTCCGGGGGACACATTTACCAGGGGGGACAGAATTACCTGCCACACCGGCCACTGAAGCTGTATTGTCAACAACAACAAATGATTAAAAAAATACACATTCCGTTGTGCACGCCATGAGTCGCAGCTAATATTACGATATTTACTCTAACTTAAAATATGCTGTTTTTTGCCACCCACCCCCAAAAAGTATTGGAGTTAAGCGGCTAAGATCTCAAGATTTTTGTGGCTAAGATTTCAAATTCACAAAAATGATTCTATTTCCAACTCCCTCTATTCTATCCACATTTTTCTCAAAAATGTGAAGAAGCAGTGGCGCACCCAAGATTTTGCTTGGGGGGCTAATTTTTTTTTTTTTTCGGCCGCAGACAATTTTTTTTTTTTTGGGTGGGGGGGGGCGTTTTTGACGTTGTCGTGGGACTAAAAAAAATTTAACAAAATGCTTTTAAAAATATATATAGTGACAACTTCTTGGGGGGGGGGGGAGGGCCTCAAGCCCCCTGAGGGCCCCCCTTGGGTGCGCCACTGTGAAGAAGTATAGAGTGCAGCAAAACATTATGTATACTCCGACATGCATGAGTTTTCAACCCAGTAGGCCTACATGTCGCAAAAAGGCAAACATTCGAACTTTAAACTTATTTTTTTTTTCTTTCAGGGTTGATGTTGTCTGCCTGTAAAGGCCTTGTTTATACGCAATCCAATTCTACCCTTTTCACTCGTTTTGTCAGTATAGCTAACTGCGATATGAATTCATAGGCCTACAGCCACTAAAATCAATAGCTCCATTAGTATGGACACTTCTGTACCGCATTCAATCAACCGAATTAACCTTTAGACACGCACTATGAAAATCCAGAATTGAATCTAGTACGACAATGCAGTCAAGAGTTAAATAACCAGCCAATAGAAATGTGTGAAATCGCAACGGCCCATGACGTCAATGACCTAATATGGAACATACGGGCGTAGACCATTATGATTGACGCGCATCATTTATCAGCGCATAATACCGCGATCACTTCGTACGGCATGTAATGAGAATTTAATAATAACATGCACAAGCACTGTTGTGCAATATGCTTGGTGTGTCTGATTGTTATTAAATTCTTACAACCTGGCTCACTTACTAAGTATGCAGCAGTGTTCATGATACCATATAATTGATGTACCCTACACGGCAACCTCGTCCCCAGTGCTTACTTTATTTCCAACCGCGTTTCCAATAGTAAACCCTGGATAGGAAACTTTCTTCCTGTATCCTGATTGGATACCGCAATTGGCTAGTAATGGATTTTTATCGTGTACTTGGTGCTATTATTCACAACGTGCAGTGCGTGTTTTCGCGATCATTCGTCCACGCCTTCTCGAAAATACTAATTTCCTTTCCAATTTGCTCATATTAATATGAAATATGATACTGCATGTTGTCTCGATAAGATCGTAACAGTTTGATTTCAAAAATCGTGTTTTCGTAACTCACACCGTGCTCGCGCGCTACGAATTGACTCTGTTTTCACCCCAGACACCGCATACAAAAGCAAACGCTAATGTGTAACACATATCCAGGCACCAGACTGTTCCTCATTTGCATATACGTTCAAAAATCTTGCACATACAAAATACCAGGGTGAGAGAGCTGGTAGTGGTGGGCGCGTACTGCTCGACACCCTGGGGACGAGGTTGCCCTAGGCCTAACGTGGCGCAGCCCCCAAAGTGGCTAACTTTGATTTTTCGCCTGTACCGCCTAGCTAGAGCAAACGTTTTAACTGAAATTTCACAGAAGTGAAATTTCATCAAGTTCTAAACACTTCCGTTCATAAATCGCGAGTTTATTTACCCATTACAAAGTTAAAAGAAACATTTATTTTGGCGTGATTTTCCGATTTTATTTTCAAGTGCAAAGTGAACCCTTTGAAAATGCCCCGAAAAATAAGAAAATAATTTTCTGACAAACATCTGGATGGGTTGTAATTAGAGATAGTAAATACTTTATTTATTATCAAGTTTACAGAAATTCTTAAATGTTAATTTGGAATTTTCCGAGATTTATTTAAGTGCGCCACGTTAGGGAACACTCCGCCAATTTGTGCCCAATTTCCGGACGCCACCGTTTTTGAATTTCGGATTAAATTTTATGAAACCGAAATTGTTCACAGAGGTTAAATAGCAAGCATTAATAAGGTAAAAGTACTCGTATTTTACTGCATGAATTTAAGGTTTTTCAACAAAGAGGTTTGGCAACACTACACGAGGAAAGTCGGGTAAGCTTCGAAGTGCGCCACGTTAGGGAACACGACTATTATACTTTATAGTGACTGAATTTTTACAAACTAATAGGTTTAAACTAATTGCAAGGTGGTACTCGAATTTTTATCACATCAAGGTGGTCGAGTTAAAAAAAAAAAATTGGTATTTTTTAGCGAGCTATACTGCCGGGGGGGGGGATTAAGAGGGGAAACTACCCCCTCCCTCTTTTCCCGACGTGTTGCCAATTTTTGCTTCATATTAAAAAGATATTTATCTGTAAATCAAATAAAACTGGAATATTTCTCGAGCCGACTCTGTGACCATGCTGTGATATATAAGTCATGACGATCAACAACAATGAAACAAAAATTGCATAATTGAATACACACTTACCTGGCGCAACGTTTTGAGATGGATGACCAACTTTCCAAAACTCGGGGTATGTCAACTCGAAGTGGACATCTTTCAAGGTGGGGGAAACCTCTAATGCGCATTTCACTTGATCTCTCGTCACAGAGATAAGCGATTCCGAAGGAGTGCTCTCGGATGAGGTGAGCTTGATGCTAACTTGCGGCCCGCCCCCTCCCATCTTCGTGTTTGTTTCATCCATGTTGCCTCAAAATAAAAGACATAAAATAAAGTGAACATCAACTTGATAGCCCAGCCAGAATAGAACTCATCGCCACGAAATTGTGTCCGCGGCATGCATTTATATCCATCGGGTGAATCCATTTCTACAGATAGGGGAATACGACTTATGGCTGGGACATGTTTTTAGAAACGTGTGTTGAATTTAAACATGTTAATTGCGTTTCGACTTCGTTTCGACTTCGTACTGTGTCCTGTAATGTATACATTATCTGATTTTTGAACCTTTTTTCCCCCAAACCTTACTATCCGCATAATACTGCGATGCGATAATAGGGATTCCACCTTCCTCCATTGGGCAAGTCTATTCACAGGCGTCGTTAACCACACCTTCATAGGATGACTGGCATGCCCGCGTGTGCTCACCCTTGGCCCCCTGCGCTCGCTGTGGACACAAAGCGTCCACTTTTGACATTGTTTAGCGCTAAACAATGTCAAAAGTGGACGCTTTGTGTCCACTGCACTATTGACATGTAGCAAGGCTGGGAAATGCTTCTAGCGCGCGGTACCTCTACATCTATTGTCAGCGCGCCTCCGCCTATTTCTAATGGAGCGAAGACCTAGACCTAGCTCTAGATAACAGATTCGGCTGCAGCCTAACAAACTTTTTGTCACCAGACTTTTTGTGTGCTGTTGACAGAAACTCAGAAAGTACGCGAACTTCGTCGTTACAGTTGTCTGTTGAACCTTTGCCGACAAGTAAATGTAGTCACATTCAAAATCGGTGCGGTGGCGTCCGGAAATTGGGCACAATCAGCCGAGTGTTCCGTATCGTCAGTTCACCTAAAACGACGAGAACCTATTTTCACGCACTCGCATTCAATTTGCGTTGGACAACGCGCGCACGTTGCCATCTCAAGCTACATAATGCATGTGCCATGGTCAAAAACAAATTTTGTTAATTACTAACATTATTGGATCATTATAATTCAGGCCCCATTCGGTCCCCGAGAATTTCGCCGGACTGCCGGATGATGGGCGTCATTCGGTGGAGGACGGGGGCAAGACCTCCTCCCCCGCCCTATAGGGGCACCATGGAGAAATAAAACACATTGTGTTATTTCTCCATGGGGACACTAACTGCATCCTGGAACCGTTGAGACCAATTGTGCTACAAAACGCGCTTTGATTGAATCCGATGAGGCAAGATTACCATATGCGAAGTTCACTAATTTTCCTCTGTATTGACTAACGAGCCCCTAGATAGCAATGTCATGTCATCAAAGTCAATTTGAGCAGTGAGAAAATACAAGCATTTTTTTAAAAACACTTAGAATTGTTCAGTCCAATCTCATAGGGTTTGTACACAGGGTGTTGAGTGAACTTCGTATATGGAAATCTTTCCCAAGATGATGTTAATCGGAAATAACATTAAAAAGTAGGATGTATCCTAAACATCCACACAACTATCCTTTCAAAACTGGCGGTTTTTGTTATTCGGTTTTTGTGCTTAGCCCTTGCAATAGTCGGATAGTTCTGATCAACGAATGTCCCCCCCCCCCCACACTTTTGAAAAGCGATCATTGGCGCCCTTGCGCCGGACAGTTGATATTAAATAACGACGACAACTCCCGGGCGGCAAAACTCCCGGTCAATTTGGCGAGGAAAATCGCTGAAAAATGGAAGTGCGGTGTACGATTACAAGCAATGCCTGGATTGTCTTGTGCGATATGTTAATGAGCTATTACGTATGCAGGCTGGCCGACACGTCACCACCGTTATAGTAAAAAAGTTAAAGAGAACTAATTTAGCCAACAAGTAAATCCCGCTCTAAACTTCCTTTTACAAACCACGAAATGAAGGTTGTGTTGTCTTTAATACCTATATTCAAAGCCGCGTAATTTGGAGACACTCTTTATCTCAATATGCTAAAATATAGCAGCCGATGAATAACGTAAATAACTGAGGTATTCAAATTTTGTAATAAATATTCCACAGAATTGCGGAGTCCAGTGAGCGAGGGCTAGCTGACATCTGGTTCAATTTCATGGTTCTGCTTTCGGTGGGGAAATCCCTTCTTACTGCAGCAGACATTCCACTTACGGGTAAGCGAGGAATTGTGACTTATGAGCATGTGTGGGCTAAGGATGTTGTGCTTACGGTGTAAGCGCAGAATTTTTCTGCTAGTGCTGTTAGCACAGAATGGTGATTGGAAGCGCGGACTGCTGTGGTTAGCAGAGCCAAATTTCATGGCGTTGCTAAGCACATGATTTTCTGATTACACCTCTATGTTCCGACACCCGTATGTTCCGACTGCACATATTCCTATTCCTAACCCTAATCCTAACCGGGAGTAACACAATCTAGGTTGTCGGAACATAGGGGGGTCGGAACATAGAGCAGTCACCGATTTTCTGCTAGCCTCTGTCTATTTCATGGAGACCATGAGCATAAGCACAGCAAAAGGCACGCTTACTTCAGAGGAAAAATTTGATTAACTTAGTGACGTAACAATAGAAATCTCCATGCATGCACGACCGTTAGCACATCCACACCGTGAAATAGTGCTTAAGGTTACGAAATTTGTCTGCTATGCCAAGCACAACTTTTCTGCTAACTGTTGAGCAGTGCTGTGAAATTGGGCTCTGAAGAGGTCACTCATGGCGCTGCTAAGCACACAATTTTCTGCTAGCAAAGCCTCGGTCTATTTCATGGAGACTGTAAGCACTTAGCAGTAAGCACAAAAGTTTGCTTACTTCGGAGGAAAGAGTGCTTAACTTTAAATCAGTGATGTAACACGTAACGATAGATATCTCCATTCGTGCACAACTGTCAGCACATCCACGCAATGAATCAGCGCTTAAGGTAAGCACAATTTTTACCTAACTGTAGTGTTAAAGAGGTGGTGGAATGCTCGAAGACATTTCCGTCATTTTTCGGGTATATGTAGCCTAAGGTGTGATGAAATAAAAACGACTATTGTTTCCGTCATGAAATGAGTACAAAGGTACTTTTGGAGCTGTTTTTTAAGTCCTGTCATGCCTGTTTCGACCTGAACGTGCAATTTGTGTAAAAGTCGTCGTTGCGGGCAGCAAACAAAACCAGTAAATCGTGACGTAATAAACAGGACTCCCGATGCGCAGAGTAGCATAAACGAGTCCTGTTTATTACGTCACGATTTACTGTGTTTTGTTTGCTGCCCGCAACGACGACTTTTACACAAATTGCACGTTCGGGTCGAAACAGGACCTGAAAAATAGCTCTCAAAAGTACCCTTTGTACTCATTTCATGACAGAAACAATAGTCATTTTTATTTCATCACACCTTAGGCTACATATACCCAAAAAATGACGGAAATGTTTTCGAGCATTCCACAACCTCTTTAAGCAATGCCATGAAGTTGGACCCAGCCGGTAGTTTAATGAATACTTATTCGCACTCCTATATCTGAACACATCACCAGACTATTTGAAAATGAAGACAAAATGCACGTAAATAAGAAAAGAATGGATACACGAGATAAATTCTGAAGTATGAGTCCACAGAAGATTTTATTGAAAGTATTTTTTTTTTCTAAAGGTATCTTTAGAGATAAATTGTGATCTTAGGAAACGATGGAAAAGTAGTAATCTGTATACAATTGGCACCGAAGAAAACTATGCCAGTTTCACAGCCATGACAGCAGCGCTTGGCATGAGAACGGCATCTCAAAAAAACAAAGTTTAAATTTCAGAAAATAAAAGAAATGCGTAAAAATCTACCAACAGCACGCAGGACCCGTACGTTTTGTCTCGACTTTGCTACTATAAACAGTGCTAACTTTTTAAGCACCACGTTAATAAATTGCTGATGGTTAAACAGAAAACAAGTGCTGTATTTTTCTAGTGAAGTTGTCTTCCATTTTACGTTTTTAAAAACTTTCAGTAAAAAATGATCCGAAAATACACGTAATTTGATCCAGTGACTGATGACTACATACAATGTATACAGCTCTGCTGCCCACCAAGTGGTAAAACATCACCCATGCACAGTCGAGCCAATAACAAATCATTATGACCAAGCAAGCAACACATTTTGCTCATTGGAACCAGTGAAAGCAATAAGGTCACATGTATGTGAAGTCTTTGAGCAGTAACCTATTTCTGACCCCCTATCCTCACTGTACACATACGCTACCAGGAAGTTGATACAAGAAAGATACCTACACATGTATACACATGTACACTACATTTCCTGTACATGTGTACTGTACCTACTACCTACATATTACAAAGCAGTACGAATACCCAAAACTTGCCGGCTAATTGAAGCAGCTAGTCTTTTTCATTTAGTAATGTTGCAGTCTCTGAAGTTGAATGTCCTCTACAAGCATTAGCTAGTGGTGGCACAGGGAAGATGTAAACATTTTTAGGGGGGGGGGGGGGAGGGGAGTGAAGGGTGCAGCGTTCTAACAATTTGTGATTCATAAAAGCTGGTCCTGGTAGGTATATGAGAGAGTGCATTGATTTCGTGACAATTTATTAAAAGCAAATTGTTGCTGTGCATATGTATACATTAGCTCCCCCCCCCCCCCCCTCGGCATGATGTATGCAATGTTAACAACTCCCCTCCCCCCCCCTTCGTGCATATACTTTAAGAGCGACCCCATTAGTAGCCATTAGCCAAGCCTTCTACACTAATAAGAAAAAGAAAAAACTGTTGGGATAAACTAAACTAACTTATATGCTAAAAGTGGTATTAACTAGCACCAATACCTCATGCAAAAATATAGTTAAACCTCAACCAAAATAATTAGCCTACCGGTAGATCGATCAACATCAATTTGCAAATTTTCTGTCCAAAACTTATAAATCCATAATTGTATCACCTTATTGTCCAAGTTCACATTAAAATTGTACATGTTAAAACAGAAACAAAAATCAATTAACAGTACATTTGCTGTCTGTAAATGTGACCTTGTAACAACTTGTCAAATGCTCACAAAAGAGTTACTGGAATTCCCACAGACAAAAGAAAAACCAGAAAAAAAAAATGTACCAGAAATTTAGAACAAAACAATTGTCCAATTGGAATGCTTTACTGCTTGGTTAAGTCCCAAATATTAAAGTGAATTTTGGTTTAATAAAAAAAGAGGATGAAAATCAGTATTTTAGAACCAAGAAATATCAGAAAAATTACTGATTTCATCTCGACACTATTTTAAGTGGAAAGTTCAAATTTGCGCTGCATAAGTACTCGTTGCTTGTTAAACCCAGCAACATATACATACTTTATTACCACGACAGTGGGGAGGGGCTTCATCGGGTCAACAAGAGGGTCCAATTTTGTGATTTGGCAAGTGGAAAAAAATGTTTAGTGGATTTGTAAGCACTTAGACTTAGCAAAAGAATCGTCTTAAAACTAGTAATGATAATTTTGGTTGGTCATTAATTCTTGGGTTATTCGTAAGCAAGAAAAAATTCTGTTGCACTAAGCAGGACCCAATTTCAACGCTGTGCTTACCGTAAGCCAAAAAACCCTGCTTACTGTAGCAGAAAATTTGTGCTTACGGTAAGCATGTTTCACAGGTATGCAAGAATTTTGGCTTATGCGCATACACCCCGTAACTTTGGATCCTGTGCTAACGGGATAAGTGCAGAATTTGTCTTCTAGCGCTGTTAGCACAGAATGGTGATAGTACGCGCAGAACATATGATGTGGTTAGCAGAGCTACACAATTGTAAGCGGCTCTGCTAAATTGGCCCTGGGGTCGTTGGCGCTTTGTTCAGGCATTGATGGCCTCTTTCTGTTTCTGCACGTCGGACTCCTTGTAATGCTTGAGCGAGCGTGCCGAGGGGTCGTCTGTGTAGCCGCACCACTTGGGCATCCAGGTGTACGGGATCCACTTGGAGTGACTCCGGAAATGCTTCTCGAAGATCTGGCGGTAGAAGAACGCCTCTTTGGTCTTGGGCGGGTTGAAGGGAAACAGCTTAGGGGAGGTCTCAAGCATGGAGTCGTCCACCTACGTTCAGACAGCAAACAGAGTTATCGGTTAAGCTATACACTGTATACTCGCGAAGGCCCCCTTCAATGGTGGAAGCGTTGTGCTAGCTGTTGACCAAAGCAACTTCCCTGTAACGGAATATCTGGACAATTCGGGTGCGTCACAATGCAGTGCGCCACCAAGAGTTTGCCACAGAGAGTTCATTTTTCCCAGTGCATTGTGGGAGATGGTCAAATTATTTGCATCACGGGACATTTGAAATTGTTGGGTTTTCCAGTCCGTAGTTTTGAAAGCGTTTGATTCGAGTATTTGTTTGCCCTTTCTTTTCTTTTCTTTTTATCAATATGGTGTTTTTTTTTGTAAGGCGGCAGCACGCTATGCTCCACTCTATAACAAATTAGCTGAAGTTGTTTAGTGATTCAACACTCAATCAAATGGGCGGTTTTGTCGAACTTTAACTTCAAAAAATGGACTCTCCGTAGCAAACTCTTGGTGGCGCACTGCATTGTGAATCACCCGAAAGCCCTCTCGTAGACGGCCATCTTTGTAGGCAACCTACAACTGCATATACTGTATTACAAGGAGGTAGCAAAATGTTCTAAACACGCACGCATGTCGCTCGAAATTTCTTCAAAATATGGCACAGCCTTTGCAGGTCCCAAAAATTTGACTCCCGACATGCCGATACACGTGACTATCTGTAGGCAGTGACGTCATTTGAGAGAAATCTATAAGCTAATACAATTGAGTGTCCACTAGCAGGGGGCGCCCTACAATGAGTGCATGTGAACTATGTGTACAAGTACTCATTGGTGGATCCATGGGAGTGTTACAGAGGCTAAACCTCCCCCACCCCGGCCCACCTTTGACCCAACCCCACCCACCTACAATTGTTGATTCTATTCAAATGGCTCCTCTTATACATCCCCATCCTGGTAAAAAAAAAATTGCACGCACAGGATATATTCATTTTCACCCTCACAATATCTTACGACGTACCTCTTGACTGATGAACTCTTGCAGACTCTCGAACCACGACTTCTTGACGGACGACACGCCGTCGCTGAAGGCCTCCTTGGGACGCCAGAGGATCTCCGCAGGCAGCAAGCCCAGGCCGTCAAAGGCCTTACGCAGGAGGTACTTCTCAATGCCCTGCTGGGGGCAGCGCATGTCGGCCGGGAGCGACAGAAAATAGGATGTGAAGTGGTGATCCAGGAGTGGAACGCGGAGTTCAAGGCTTGGTGGGAGAAATAAAGACAAACATTAACAGGTACACTTTAAAGATCCAAATTAAAAACAAGCAAATTTAGTATTTTCATTGCTTGCCAATCAAAAACATTTGATGAGCTCGGTACATTTGATGCTGTCTGAAAGCTTACAAGAATAAAACAAGAATTCCCATGTTTGCTTGCTAGCTCTTTCAGAGAACTGGGTAGTAAAAATCCAATGTTAAAATTTACATCTCGCCATTGGTATAGTCGATTCCTTTTAATGCAAAAGCAAACATTTTTGTGAGGCGTGACCAAAAACAGGGTGGGGGTGGCCAAATTGTGTTGTGAACCCTGTACCAGGGGCTTTGAAGTAAACAAAAGAAGAAGAGGAAGACATTCTCACCCATGAGCTGCCGTGGTACGGTCTGCTCTCAGCACGTCGTAGAGGTACAGGTCCTTGAGAAGACGTCTGCTTTCCTCGTCGCCCTCCTCTACTGAGGGTTGCTGGTGGAAGTAGATGTAACCCTGAGCCAACTCGTCCGAACCCTCTCCAGAAAAGATCACCACCCTGTCAGTCTCTTTGCGGATGTAGCGCGCCACTAAGTACATACCTGTGAAGTATAAGTGGAAAAGATCTTGTTGATGTTGTTGTTTTGTAATGTTCTGCTTGCACTGCTATTTTTTTTTACAACTTGCAGGCCAAACCACTGAAGAGCCAATCAGAGTGCTTGTAAATACCCTGGTCACTCATGGACTACAGGAAAGTGTACTGTCTATACAGTGCTTCATTCACGGACACAAGCGGTGATTCAATGAAACTCGTTCTCCAACATTTCAATTTTCCTTCTAGAGTGAGTGGTATTTTGGTGACATCACTGGTAAGTGTTTCTGTAAATCAAACTGGAGGTTCTATGATCCGTGAGGGTTGAAGTTGTCCAGTTTTTAAACCTCTGTAACTCGACATGAATTCAACTTGGGGACGCACACAATGCATCTAAATTCATCATTAACTTTGGGCAATGTCACAGAGTTTGGAAACGGCGTAATGGAGGTATCTGTAACATTGGTCCTGTCAACGAAACCCCTAGGCCTCGGCGAATGTGATCTCTCGCTGACTGTGCTCTCTGCAAACAGTCCGCTAATTAATGTGCATGGTGCAACGTAAGCAGCCTAGTTGAAACCATCAACACAGCATCCTGCATACTGACATTTTGGGGGAAGGTTTTGGGTAACCCCCTCCCCCCAAAAAAATTCTTGCTAGCAACTGAATATAACTATTGGTGGCAACCATTAACTTGTTGTCATGTTATGTTACATATATCATTTCTGAATCCAAATACATTTTAATGGATTTCTAATTTGCACTATAACTTTAATTATTTAAAAAGGCAACACGACGTATCCAGCGTTTTCTAATGTGCACTTTAAAACCCATTAACTAATTAACCACGTGTTAGATTACTTCAAAATGACAGCTTGCCAGAAAGAATAATTTCACAGGGAGGTTAATCCCCTTTTTATCTTTCAACCAAGTATGTTTTTCAACAATAATTACGCCAGTTACTTTTTGGATAGCTGCAAATGATGGACTATAGCTTTAAATCTAGATTTTGGTTATGAAAACCTTTATGTTTACAGTTGGTAATTAACATGTTTACCGTTCAAGCATGACAATGTGGCAAACAAATTGGTTATATTTATGTACTTACCAACTGATGCTCGGATCGTTGTGATGTCGTAGCTTTCTAGCGAATAAATGACATCCTCTAACGCAGCGATTCCTTCTTCGGGAGTGAACGACACCTCATGGTGCTCGCTGCCGATGTGTGCTGCCACCTACAGTCCCCAAAAAATCGGAAACAGGAGGTGCGATCAACTCGTAATCGAAATAATCACAGAGCACGCCAGATTTTTTAGGGAAAGAAGTGCTTCAATGATGCCATTTTAGGAAATCAAACTTAAAAATGTAAGGTTACTAACAGAGTTTACATTTTTTTTCCAGTCAAAAATTGCATTTTGGCAATCTTACAAATTAATAAGTTCGCGCTGGAATTATTTTGACATTGACCAGACCCAGACGCGGGATTGTTTTTCACATGTCTCGATGCCAGACGGGTTCAGGCCGTCATCTGCGGGTAGCACACCCTGATATTTCCTTCCTCGTTTGCTGCGAGCGGGTCGCTGACAGATATTTCCGGCCTCGCTCGTTGCGTGTTTATTTGTCATCCATTCTGAATACCGCAAAACCTTTGCGTGTATACAAGTCATCCAACGTGAACAGGTAAAAGTCTGGAAATTTGCTTTAATAAATAATACATGTAATGATATTTTGACTTTTTTTTGCCCCCAAACTGGCATCTTTCAAATATCTTCATTCACCCATGGATACAAAAAGTTTGTTGTGGGCGTTGGCCCAGAAATGGGATCACTCACAAGCAAAAATTGCAGCAAGTCACTATGGGACGATGGTCTTTTTTTTTACTAAGTTTTGTGATATGTTTTTTGAAATCTTTAATTTTTGAAACCAATGGTTTTGTGATAGTGTCCTAATTAGTCAAAAGGTAAAAGTTGTTTTTCTTAAAAAAAAGTAAGAAATAAATAATGGCAATGTAGCCTTTAGTGTAACCTAGAGATGCTTTGAGATTTCATTTTGGACGTGATTGCAATGCATTCTCATCTAACTAATTGACCAATCCACTAAGAGGTTTCGACCAATCACATCGAGAACATGCACAGTGGGCGGAGCTGAATGGCTCAGTCTATTATGACATTTAAAAAAACAAACAGAAACCCCCAAATAGACTGGTACCTTTCTGGCGGCTAAGACATCAGGGCTTCCCTCCATGCCAATGGCGTAGGTCTGAATGGGATACTGGATACCAGACTCCTTGGCCAGCTTGACCACTAAAGAAGCAATCAGACTTGAGTCGAGACCGCCTAAGAATCATAAAATGACACAAGAACGTGCACATGCGTATGACAAACAAAAAAGTAAAAACCATCAGTCAGGTTTGCAAAGGCTTCCCCAATGTTTGTAAATTGGGGAGTCAGGTTGGCGTAGCGGTACTTTCCTCGCCTTCCACCGCTGTGACCCGGGTTCGATTCTCGCCTGGGCCAATATGTGGATTTGCTTTTCAGTCCCTACCTGATTCCATGGGTTTTCCTCAGAATACTCTTCTGGGCTTTTCCTCCCACCTCTACAACTATAATATCTTCACATTGTCTTCTTCTTTACTGGGCCCCATGGGAAATCAGTGGATTCCACTGAATCTAGCAAGTTAAAATAAGAAGTAAATAAATAAACAAATGTTTGCCATTACTTGAATACCCAAAAAATTGCAGGGGGCCACCTTTCTTCTAAATACAGCAAAATTGCTAACAACAGAACGTATATTTGCTTCGAAATATTTTCTCAATTAGCCACTTGTGATAAATGCCATTTTGTTCCAAACACTCGTAATGGCTGGTCTAACTCACCAGACAGCAGGCATCCGATGTGACGATGAGTCATCAAACGTTTCCGCACAGCGTCAGTGAGTAAAATGCGAATGTTTTCATGGATTTCATCAGCTAAATAAATAAATAAAAAATACATTTTTTTAAACGTAATTTCATATCTTTAAAATTCCAGGATTTGAGTTTGGGAGATTTGCAGAATTGTTCTTTTGTTTTTAACTTTTTCTTGTGTTGGGAGAAATTCTGAAAAAGAGTTGAGTAGCCTACATACAGCGCGTACAGAACGGGACATTTTTAGGACAAATTCTCCAAAACTGATCATAAAAGTGTAAAATATACTAGAAATTATAACAGCCCGTGCCTTCAAAACAGGACATTTTATGTCGAATTATGTGACTCATTTTTCTGTCCTAAATTTATTTAAATACAATTTAAAAATATTCAATCATGAAACAGTTGTTGGCTTTACAATTTGGTTGCAAGAAAAATTAAAACATGAAACAGTTATGGTTGTATAATTTGGTTATAAACAAACTCAAACATGAAACAGTTCTGGTTTTATAGTTCGGTTACAATCAAATTCAAACATGCAACGGTTGTTGCTTACAAGTTGGTTGTATGGCCAATGAAATGTCGGACCACTTGGGCTTCTTCTCAATGGTGTGGAACTGAATGCGCTCCGCCAGCGTTACTTTGCCAGTGGGGGCAAGGTCGTAGCTCTCAATGTGTCCCGGCGGAAAGGGAATGATTTCAATTTCGTGGTCTTCATCTCCGTGTGCTAACCCAAGGAGTCCTGTGTTTAAAAAAAAAATGAACAATTCAAATTGTCCAACTGTAAACTTCCATTTAATTTGGCTGTATACGTTTATCAACTGCTATTTCATGTGCAGCAATAAGAGCAAGGCAATAAGAGCAAGGCAGGGCTTTGGTTTTAGTACAAGTATCATTAAAAAAAAAAGGCTCCAATATTTGGCTACTCACATAAGGCATTTAGAAACTCCCCCCCCCCCTCCGGAAAATAAATATCAAATTCGAGCAAGAATTTGCATCTGTGAATTAACCCAAAATTTGTACCCAACTTAATTTCATACAAAGTTTTATGATATGATAGTAATATCCATTTTTTTCCTTTCTTTCAAATCACTGTTTAAAAACACACGACATCCAGATTGAAGGTTAATGGATACCTTTGGCCTCTGAGCAGATAGCTAAGAGTCCGTCGTCTTTGAGAAGTCTGAACATCGGCCGGACGCCATATGTGTCTCTCCCGAGAAAAACCTGAAAGTTTACCATAAAATGAAAAAAAGGTTTTGGGACCCCAAGCCATTAAAATCTGCAGAGTGCTAGATCTTCTGATATTATTGAAAGCCAAACTAAAAAAAAAGACAAAGGGTTAATAAGGATTTAAAGAAAAAATGTCAAAGTATTGTGTCTGTTAAACTTACGTGAAATTGTTATTTAAACATTACAAAAATTTACCGTAATCAGTAATTTTTCTAGTGAACAGACTAAAATTGTAGTCTCAGCTTTTGTTCGAGGCACTGCAGGGGTGCACGTAGTTCATTGGCTATGGTATCTGACTTGTGTGCGATGGATGTAGGATTGAACCCAGGTGTAGAAGACATGATGCTTGTGTTCTTGGGCAAGACACTTTACTACAATTGCCGCTCTCTTCCACCTAGATTTATAAATGGGTACCTGCGAGGGTAAAGACCAGATTGCTACTGCAGGAAACTGGTTTCTTTGCCTGATGAACAGGGGTAGTAACTGTGAAGCATTGCGCATTATACAAGTGCTATATTATTAATATTTTTACCTTTTTTGCGGCTGTGTCGAGTATACAGAACGCAAAGACTCCGTCGAGCATTGATGCGGCATACTCGGCCCCTCCTTGGGCATACAGATGAATGATGGCCTCTCCATCGCACTCCGTCAGGTATTTGAAGCCGAACTGCTTCTGCACCTGCGAGCCAAAGCATGTAACATTTAACCCTAACCGCTCTGAATCCTTCAAAATCCTCTTTGCCAAAGTGCAGGAATTTGGAGGATTGAGGTTACATGGCCAAAGTGGGTCACTGATTTCGTAGGATGCACTTTGTCAAGGTCTTGGGCCGGACCTTGTGTTGTGTTTGCTCAGCCATGCATAAATATAGGCCTGGATTATGCTTGGAATCCTCCATACTGCTTCAGGATGTCGCTGGCCAAGCTTCAACATATTGACAGTCACTGCTGCAGGATTTTGCAGGATTCAGGCAGTGGTCAACCCTCCACGGGCCATATTCAAGAAATAATGGGGGAATTGCAGGATTGAGGCTATGCTATTTTCCCATGAGGCCAATTGGAGGATTTTGCAGGATTGAGGCTACATCCCAGCTAAAAGGCCTAGAGAGTCATGGTAAAAAAAAAAACTTAACCAAAAAATACTTTTATGAAGGTATTGCAAAAGGCTTGATTTTTTAATGGGACCAAGATTTTTGTGAGATGAAGTGTTTGCAAAAAACTCTTGCGCTCACCGTGCGGTAGTTGTAGATTTCCCCGTTGTACAGGACGTAGATGTGAGGATGGCTCCGGATTCTCATTGGCTGCATTCCATAGATGTCGTCCACGATGACCAATCGGTGGAAGGCCAGGCAGCAGTTGTTGTAATGGTTGATGTTCTCGATCCGGAAAGAGTCCGGGCCACGGTGCGCGATCTTGAGGGCGCTGTTGCACTGCTTGGACACATCTTGGTCGCAGCCGAATAGAGCCCAAATGCCACACATGGTTTAATGCTGATCTCGCTTCCTGGTGTAAAACTGATTTTTTTTTTCCAGAAAATGTTAATAGCAAAATTTTGCAGCAAAAACTACTACCTCTGATAGAAAAATACTTACATAACAGCAATGTGCAATTTTCTTAATACATGTAATAACCCTAACTGAATCATCAATTTTGACGTTTTGAAGTTTATGGGTGTGGCATCTTAAACACTTAATCCGTGAACTTCAGTTAAACAAAATGAAATAAATTAATATTCATGTTCATGGTTAAATATGTTCTGTCCATGCTATACAACAAATTTGATTTTTTTTCTCACAACAAATATTGACCTTTAAATTATATATTTTTCAGTGAAAAAACTGATTTTTTTTATAATTTTTTTTATTTTGAAAAACAAATTTCAATGATCGAGATTTCAAATGATACATATGTGACATTAACAACAATGACTACAACTGCAATTTAAAACAAAATTCAATTCAATTTAAATCTTCATTTTAAACCCAGCGCAGATACTTTGATAGGGAAAGCAGACCATACAAATTTTGTAACTATGTGCTCATCAGCGCTTGGAATATGTAGGCAACTAGGCATACTAAAGCATGCTTGAGTGACCAAGCTTGTTTATTTCCCAATATGCATTCCCAGCCTACATGCCATATGGCTGTCTGGTGGTCTTTATTATTACAGCAAATATAACAGTCCATTTAATAGTATGCAAGGCCTTGGGACTATATACCATTTGCAGTCATCCTTGAAAAAGTGTCAAAAGCCTTCTGGATTGATTAAAGGGAATATACATCATTTGCTTTTGCTGTAATTTTCATAAATGGATGGAATTGGGGTTGGAAATATATAGCAAATATAGTTACACTGACTTTTTTGAGGTTTTGGGTTCGAAAATGCTATAAAAACCAAGAAAAACAATCATTTTCCTGTAGTCTGGTTCCCCGACTCCATATAAGAAGAAACAGAGCAGTTTACGTACATTGGGGAATTGTAAGGTCAGGGAACTAGTCTAGCTGGCTTGTACCCGTTCATAGATGTGTAATTGATTGCAAACAAGTGCGAATGTCAATTAGGACAGTATCTGAAAAAAAGCCAGTTTTTTCCAACGCTGGTCGGCTGACCAGCGTTGGAAATTGATACAAAAATACCACTTTTCTTGAAAATGACAGTATACCAGGTGCCATGATTTTACAGGATGCTTTACACTGTCATTCACTAACAGTCCAGCAAGGTATTTCAAAATGATTTGGTAGTTTTATTTTTTGATGTTTGCAGATGTTGTATTTTCCCTTTAAGTCCAAACAAATATACTGGTAGATTAAGTCAACTAGGCATCATATTAAAATTTATATCATGCTGAAATTAACCTCCAAAATGAAAAACTGGAATGTTTCTAAAATTTGGTGTCATAAAAAGTTATTTCTTTTTATTTATTTATTTGTTTTCCTGGGGGGGGGGGTGTTTGAAATATTTGTAAAATTTCTTATTTGTACTTTTCTTATTCTTAGACCGACTAAAAAAACAAATAGTTTATCGTCTGGGATTTTAGAAATAAATGAAGGAGGCGGGTAGTGTTTTTTTCTTCCCGAAGTGTTTTTTTAGCCGTGTACTGGTCTCGCATTTTTTCCGTTCTTTAAGCTGGCATATTCTATAGCGCCCTCATCAAATGTGAGTAGGCCTACACCACATAAGATATTAAATCACCATTTCTCATTGAACGAACGCGCGGCCTAGTTGATAATGCACCTGCCTCGCAAGCAACAACACCGCTCGAGTTTGAGTCTCGGTGACCAATGTTTTTCAAGCTTTTTTTTTGCCCCCCCCCCCCAAAAAGTGGTTTTTTTTTTTAATTTTCAACCAAATCCTACATTTAATTGAGGATTTCATTTCTTTTTTATTGTGATTCGTGGCTCTGGAGGATTTCTATTAAAGGGAAATAAAGTCCGAAATTGTAATAGGTCTGATTCCCATCTCTTCAACACATAAGTCGCAACGACAATGTTAGCACGGAACCAGATGAAGATTCGTCATGGTAACATTTCTAAGTCCCAGGTTTCTGCGCCTGTTCAGATCTGTGCCGGTGTAGCATGAATTTAGGTTTTATGAAATACGGACTCATTGGTGGTATTGCGCATGCTTATGCATAGATAATTCGGAGAGGGACCGGTCACGAGAGAGGGTTTAACCAATAAAATTTTCATACGAGTCTGATTTTCATATGAGTCTGATTTTCATATGACACTGGTACAATACTGAAAATACCTGGGGATCGGTTCATGGTCAAATATCCACTGCCTTCTGTTTTTTTTTCCAAAGATGGCGTCTTTTCTAAGATGGCACGCGGAGGAAAGATTCCCATATCTGGCCATCACTTGTCATCCTGTGCACAAACCCTATGAGACTGGTCTGAAAATGTCTCTGTTTTCTCAGTCAATACTTCAATATTTTCCCTGCAAATTTTGTATTTTTATGATATATATATATATCACTTTCTGATGGCTGATATGTCACTGAAGGGAAAATTTAGTGATGGCCAGATATGGGAATCTTTCCCTTGTACGTTTTGTTGGAAACAAATAAAAGACAATATGTTGACAATGTGTAAAATATTGCAAATGACATATGAATTTAAAAAAGAAAAGAACAAAACTAGGCGGGTGGAAAAAAGGAAGCGGGCGGGTACGAGAATCTGGTTTATTATTTTATGTGGCCTTATCTTTTACAGGCATTTTAATGTTAACGATGTGAAAGTAAACTTTGAACAAATTTGCAATTCATCATCTGTTAAATTTCCTCCCTTCATGTTGCAACTTATTTAATGCTACGTTTTGCTGGTTGAAAAAGCAAAAGAGTAACAATTTGTTTATCAGTTCATTTCGTACCCGCATCTAAATCGCAGACTTTGCATAGGCTTAGGCCTTTAAACTTGCAGTAGGCCTAAACATTACATAAACATTTAAAGTTAACGTGATAAAATTCAACATAAATCAATGCGATTTACAAATGTAATGCATTCATACACAGAGCAAGCAATGAACATATGGTTCACATGAATGAACATGATGAACCCGAACATTAAACAACAAAATCGGGATCTTTTACGGAAAATCCAAAAACTCACCTTGCACGTTTTTGTAGACAAATCTACGATGGACTACGGACGATGTGTCGCTGATTTACAATTGCCGTAAACAATAGCATACATCAGCCTTAACCCAAGCCTGACCCAGGCAAGTTTCCTTGAAAAGATGATGATGAAACAACACGCGCGAACTCTTCCCCCCACCACCCGTGCGCCACGTGCGTGACGCGGTCGACGAAAGGCATTTAAAAATCATTAATATTCATGTTAGGAAGTTGCCCAATCAGAGGGAGGAAATGGTAATTTATGATGGCGCACAACCAATGATATCGAAGGACTGAATAATTTGCATATTAAAGCTCAGCTGGGAGCGCTGAGAGGAGGGGAAACGCGTTCCCAAAAAGTATGGAAAGCCAGGTTAATCTAACATTTCCTGCGTTTTATATTTTTGGATAAAGCCACTCTGTAAAAGCAGCGTCGACTTAAAATGGTTTTACCAGTTCATTTTGTAATAAGATAGTGTAAAAGTTTATTTCAATTGACAGTTGATGGTTGATTTAACAATAAATGCCACTTTAATCAGAAATATTTCCGATTTTTAAAAAATCCTTTTAGGCCCTAAGTCATATCCATAGGTAGGAAAACATGCCCGCGCTTGAGGGCGCTGTGCTACAATAACTCGCACCTAAACATGTCCTCTGTTTGTGGGAAATTGTGCAACATTTTTCCAACAAAACGAACATTATTTCCCAAGTTTGCCATGTCAGCATCACCGTTAGTGTAGCGGTTGGAATATTCGCAGCCTTTTGGTAATCGTGTTTCACTTTGCCAGTTGTTAAGAAAAGGGTTGGAGCGAGTTTGAGCCATGTTTGGAAACTTGTTCGACGACAGTGGCGAATCGGGTGGCACCGCCGCAGACAAGGGGAAATCCCCTGTCGAGAAATCCGGCGGCCGACCGGGGGGAACGTCGTCGCTTCCGTGCCCGCCCGCTCCTCGCTCGAGTTGCGGTTTGTCGGGAATAGACAACAGGGGTGCAACCTGCTACATGAACGCCCTTCTACAAACGCTACTCTTGACCCCAGAATTTAGAGGTAAATATTGGGGTTTTTGGGGGGGGGGGGGAGGGGGGCGGGTTGTGGATTTAGGAAGGGGGGGGGGGGGGTTCCCCCGGCAGCGGAAGTTCTGTTGTGACCGATATGATATTTGTTCGAAGTGGCTATCGTTACGGCAGTCGTTGTTTAGCGCCCTCTACGATACTTTTTTGATACGCACGCACCTGTATATAGTTATTTGTTTCCACACGTTTTAGCGAGCAGTGCGACAGCTCAATCGACAGAGGGTAGGATTTAGCACCGCGAGGTTGCGGGTTCGAATCTCAGTTTTGCACTTGAATTTTTTTCCTTTTCTAACCTGAGGCTTTGGAGGATTTTTTTTAAAAGGGAAATAAAGTCCGAATTTCATTAACGTTCAAATTCACTTTTTTCCTTCTAATTTTATATTTTCTTGTCATGTTTTTATAAAAGTTGCAGTGTACCGTAACGATAGAAAGTGGGAAATGCGTTACGGTTGCCGTAACAATAGCCACTGCGTCAAAACTACACTGCGAATTCCTGATAAAAAAAAATGTGTTTAGAATAAACAGAAATTTCTGTTGTGACCGATATGATATTTGTTTGATAATATATAAATAAATAAATAAATAAACAGTCTTGTCCAAAATTGCAAATATACATGCCATTGCCCTAACTCTGTTGTACTGAAGTAGCAAATGAATGTTTTTAGATTTTAATTTTGAAAGTTGTTCTAATTTGTCAATTTATCTTCACTTGCAATAAAAAGATCATGAAACTGTACAGCAGGTTGTCATGAAAATTTTTTAAAACTATTTACTTTCAGAGTCCTTGTTTGCACTCGGCCCGTCAGAGCTCGGAGTTTTGACTGATCAGAATGAACCAGGAGCAAAGGTATGAGTGATGGACAAGATTTTAGATTTATTTTCAGGAAAGAAGAGGAAACTGCATATTGGCTTAGACTAGGTAAAAAAAAAATAGTTCCTGCAGGCTTTTTTTGCAAGAAATTAGAAAGTATCCTGAATCCACCAAAATCCACCAATTTTGCCATCTAAAAAATCTTGGTGTCCTGAGTCCATCAGAAACGACAAGTGAGTCCATCAGAATCCACCAGTGTAGTACATAAACCTTGTCATGTACACACCAAACATATAGCCAAGGAGTTAAACTGTTGAGATCCTGAATCCATCAAAGTCCCCAACTGCTCAATATGGAGGTATCCTAAATCCATCAGAATCCTGCAGTGCCACTAGGTTAACTGTCCTGAATCCATCAAAATCCCTCAACTTTTGCAATAATTATGGAGATATCATGAATCTGCACAAATCCTCCAAAACAGGGGTGTGGATATTGATGGATTCAGGTACGTTAGGCATGTTAGGGTTAAAAAAGGAAAGAGGCGCCCCTTTTTTGTTTTCAAGATGGCAGATTGTCCAAGATGGCGGTTGCATTCTACCATTTTCCCCACTATTTCGCCGATACTTTTATGTCCAAAGAGGCCATCACCCTTTCTACCAGATTTTGAAATTGCCTTCATAGCTACCATTTTGCAGGGAACAAATAAAACGACAAAAATGTTTTTATTCCAAATGTGATATCACAGAGATCTTGGCTTGACATTCTCTTAGAGCATCCTCTCAGCTTCTCACAATATACAATCTAGGAACACAATGAAATGACAGAACTGCCACTGTATTGTATTGTTTGTTTTTTATCTATTTATTTCATATTTTTATATCAGGTGCGGGTTATTCCCATCCAGTTGCAGAGATTGTTTGGACGTTTGTTACTTTTAGACCAGCAGAGCGCATCTACTGAAGAGCTGACCAATAGCTTTGGCTGGCAAAACAGCGAGGTCAGCAGTAATTTCAATTTAAAGGGAATATACATCATTTGCTTTTGCTGTAATTTTCAGAAATGGATGGAATTGGGGGGTTGGAAATATATAGCATATATAGTTACGCTGACTTTTTTGAGGTTTTGGGTTCGAAAATGCTATAAAAACCAAGAAAAGCAATCATTTTCCTGTAGTCTGGTTCCCTGACTCCATTGAAGAAGAAACAGAGCAGTTTACATACATTGGGGAATTGTATTTGTAAGGTCAGGGAACCAGTCTTGTACCCGTTCATATGTGTGTAATCAATTGCAAACAAGTGCGATGGTCAACTGGGGCCAGTATTTGAAAAAAACAAGCAAGTTTTTTTCCAACGCTGGTCGGCCGATCAGCGTTCGAAATTGATACAAAAATACCACTTTTCTTTAAAATGACAGTATACCAGGTGCCATGATTTTACAGGATGCTTTACACTGTCATTCACTAGCAGTCCAGCAAGGTATTTCAAAATGATTTGGTAGTTTTATTTTTTGATGTTTGCAAATGTTGTATTTTCCCTTTAAAAAAAAAATTAAGTGACAAACAAAGTTTTATTAGGTTAATTCACGGAAGTGTCACGTATTGTCTTTGTCAAAATAGTTGTCTTAGTCATTATAAATATCATTGTCATAAAAGTTTCGTTATTTTGATGATTATAAATATCATTGCCATGAAAGTGTCATTATTTGTATAATTTTCGTCAGTGTCATAATAATAGTCTTTGCCATTACAAATGTCATTGTCATAAAAACATGTCATTTTTTTTCTCCCAGGAATTTCAGCAGCACGACGTGCAGGAGCTGAATCGGATCCTCTTCAGCGCAGTCGAGGACTCCCTCATCGGTACGTCGGGCCAGAACCTGATATCGCGCCTGTACCACGGCATAAGCGTGAACAAGGTGAGTCTATCGTTGCAGTGCGTGCGCAGGTGAGGGCGCTCTTTAACCTTACAACCATTGCGAGTGAAGGCGCTTGTCCTGTACCCTGCACTGTTTTCAGCAAAGTAAAAAAAATCCTCGTCCGGGCTTTTTGAAAAGAAAAAAAAAATTATGGGAGAGGTGCCCCCCTTTTTATTTCCAAGATTGCGGAAGGATTGTTCCATCGTCTTGACATTTTACTGACATTATGTCCCATCATGTAGAGCGCTGTGGTCCAGTGGTTACGGTGTTCGACTCATGTGCCATGGTACATGAGGTCGAAATCCTGAAAGGGAACATGGTGCATGTGTTCTTGGGCAAGGCACTTTACTACAATTGCCCCTCTTCTACCCGGGAGTATAAATGGGTATCTGTGATGGTAGAGACCAGATTGTACTGATCTCGAGCTGCAGTAGAAAAATGGTCTCTTGGCCTGATAAACTGGGGTAATAATTGTGAAGCCTCTTTAAGACCTTTGGTATAAAGCACTAATTAGGCCAAAAAAAAAAGTCTCCGGTTTCTGGTATGCGCGCGCGTCGCCGTAGCCATGCGCGTCGGCAAAATGAAAAAGTTTTTTTTTCAATGAAAGATGATGTCTCAAAACCGCCAAACTCACTGCTTTGACTGGAATCCTGCTGCTGCACAATTTTAACGTGTTTTTGGATGGGGTTATGATCGAAAATAAGCTTTATGTGGCCTCTCTGGACTCCCATATATTTGCACTTAAAGTTTAAATAGTCGGGCACCATTTGCAGTCATCAGCCGACATTTGAGGCAAAAAAAATCAGGTAAAAAAAAAAAAAGCCGCGTCGCCGCACCACTTTTTGGGCAAGCTCCATACCAGAAACCGGAGACTTTTGTTTTTTTGGCCTAAGGTACCATATTATTATTATTATCAAGCTCAAGGATACAATGGATTTCAACTTGATCCATGGCTAGACTTGCCTTTTTCTAAAACAAAGATAACTTTGAATTATTCATCAACATTTGAATTATTCATCAACATTTTTGAATTTCTTTGCCCAGATTGCCTGTGAGGAATGCGGGAGAGTCAGTGAAAGAGAGGTATGGCTTCCATTGTTTTTAAATTATTCAAAACACACCTCCAGCTGATTCTTTATCCTGATTGGCTAAAACACAGTCACATGGTGTTGATGTATGCAAACACATATTGCATTATTCATCACCTAAGCCCACAACTCAATTCTGTGCTTTGCAGTTTATAACTGCAATATTTACACTAATATATTGACGCCGAAGTCGCCCTGAACCAAAATGGCATTTTGGAGCAACTCAAATCGACCAGAATAGAATTTGGTTTCAGCCAGGGGAAGTTTATGTAATTTTTTTCCATTGACTGGACTCTTGCGTCGTTTTGAGTGACAGAAACAGTCAGTCTTTCACGTGAAGTCATACCAGAAGAATTAATTTCACCAATCTGGAATTGTTTTTTCCTCCGTAAATCCAGGAGGATTCACTGGACCTAAACCTAGCCCTAGCCCTAGCCATAGTTTAGTATTGATTCCCCATCCCCCTTCCAGTGTAAACAAATATTTGATCGCATGAAAGTAGAGAATTTGAAAATTCAATTTTTCGAATTGACACAGCACTAAACCCTAGCCATAGCCCACTTTACATTTATATTTTTCCCCCGTAATCCAGGAGGATTTCCTAAACCTAACCCTAGCCATAGCGCACTCTTATGTCTAAGTTTTTTTCCCGTAACCCAGGAGGACTTCTTAGACCTAACCCTAGCTGTAGCCCACTACTCAGGCATGGAGGACAGCCTCAAGACCTGCTATGTGGACGTGGAGCGGATGGAGGGGCGTAACCAGTACCACTGCAGCAGCTGCAACAAGCTGGTGGACGCTGTCAAGGTCAGGGGTCATGTCCTTGCTAAGTAGCAAATTAAACCGCTTACTAAAAAAAATACCCCCAAAATGTCCAAGAAACAGTTACGGCAATATTCATGGCATCAGATTTTAGCTGGTAACCTGGCTAAGCAATAAGCAAGTCTTTTCTGCGCGTAACTAGGTTTGACCACAGGATGAGGATATCACTGCTTAGCTCAGATGTCTATGCTTAGCGTAAAAGTAGTTTACCGGTAAAAGTACCTCACTGACTCATTGAGGACTCACTGTCACTTGTGAGCCGGGCAGTGCTATCTTATAGGATAACATGTGACACTAATGAATGGGCTAAGTTCGGTCCATTGTGTAGACCAGATGCATGAAAAGAATTCCAGTGAATATTTATTCTCAATAGAATTTAGCAAGCGCTGGGACTAGCTTAATATGCTTACCTTGTCTTGTCATTTCTTCACAGAGCGCCAAGCTGCGATTGTTACCCCCGATCCTGACCGTGTCGCTCCTGCGGTTTAGCTTCGACTACCAGAGATGCGAACGCTACAAAGAGATCGGAAAGTACACTTTCCTGAAAGAGATCGATATGTCGCCCTACACTGAAAAGGTATGTGCATTCCAACTTTTAATTTTTAGTCAGCAGTTTGATAAAGTTTCTGTTGATGAGCCACGCCAAGGCACATTTAGCACATTTGCCACACGAGGCACATTTGCGAGGCGTTCTGGCAGAATGATACAGAACTGGGCCGAGGTTGAAATGAGGGTTTGCAGGTATTAGGAGAGAGAATAAAATTCTCCTTATAATTGCACTTTAATCGGACATTCCGTCGACAAGTTATGTCTGTTTGAAAGCTCGCATTTATTTTCACGTCAAAAAAGTGGAATACCAAGAAAAAAAGGCCATAAAAGATACAGCTGTTTTGCAGTCGTGAAATGCAAGATGCAAATTGCCCAGTTCCAGGATCATTTTGCCAGAAGGCCTCTCAGATTTGAAAACAAGCTCTTTGGTGTTATAGTTGAGCTACCTATGAGGGATACAGGTCATTACAAGTCATCACAAGCTATTCAAATGAATATGACGAAGGCATTCCTTTGTTATTAATCATCCCCTGTTGCTTGCGACTAGACTTGTGATTTACTTGTGACTGGAGTTGTGATGTACTTGTGATACATCACAAGTACCTTGACAACAAAACTGCAGTTTTGAAAATATAATTCTGAGAGTAGAATACTCTTTTCTGTAACCTTTTTTAACCTGACATTTTTTGTCGTTTATTATACAGACGGAACCCAGTGAAGACACGGTGTATGAGCTGTTCTCTGTGCTGATACACAGTGGCAGCACACACGGAGGGCACTACCACGCTTACATCAAGGACATCGACGGACTCGGCACCTGGACAACACCGGTTAGGTTCCAAAGTCTTAGTTCTTGGTTCTAAGTTCCTGTCGCCTAAGAACTGCTTTGTCTTTGGTTCTAGATTTTGTGTTTTTGCAAGTTGGCAGGTCAAGATCAGGGTATGCCTTTGGGTCCAAGCTTTCAAGAATCAGATCTGGAGCTTGTTGATACTGAGAGCTTGCTCTGGTTCTGGGTTTGGTTCTGGTTCCGGGTTTAGATCCGGGTTTAGTTTGCGGATCGGGCTTCCATTTTAACTGTAGAAATTCCTTTGGTTCTCAACTGCTAGAATTTGAGCAAGGTACTAGTTTTATTGGTTCCTTGATCTTGCTCTGCTTCTGTTTATCGTTCTAAATCAGGATTAAGGTTCTCGTTCTTTAGTTCTGGATTAGGTTGTAGTTTTGGCTTTTGCTCATGCTTCGGTTCTCATCTGCCAAAATCTAGATCAGGTACTACTTGTATTTGAACCAAAAGTTTGTTTTGTACAAGATTTTGTTCTAGTTCAGGGGAAGGGTTCTAACTTAACTCTTGGAGTTTTCGATCAAGCTTTGGTTATCGGCTCTTACTTTGGTTCTAAGTTGCAAAAATCTGGATCTTTTTTGTCCGAACTCCAAGGAGAAGGAGATAATCCGTCTGCCGAGCAGGCCCTTGCCCTCGTCGGAGGGCAAAGTGGACCTGATTGAGCTGAGCTCTCCTGGGGAGTTGCTGGCCGCTATACTGAGGAAACGCGGCGGCCTTGGCTGCACGATGCCCATTGATAAACTCTGCCAGGTGAGAAAGTCAATACTGGAAGGCAAAAAAAAACTAGTACCATTTGAACCAGATCGCGCCGGAGGCAGTGTATACACGCAAACATTTTCAAAAAGTCAGATCAGTTGACTGAAAAACGACAGAGGCCGGAAAATATCTGTCAGCGAGCCACTATGTATATGTACATATTTATACATATATACTTCATTTTTTTTTCCCAAAATTTTAAATAGCTTTGATTGCATGGAACATGACTTATGTTTTAATTCAAATTTTATTAGAGGAATATATTGCTAGGTACGTGTACATATTTAGAGATGTAAAATAATTTCATTCAAAATTTTTAAGTAGTTTTCCATGTGTGAAATTGGATTGTGTAGGCCCTCAGTGAAGAGACCGGTGTTTCCTGGAACAAGAGATTCAAGAAAAAAATTGGTACCGTTACCAAGGTGAGTTGAAATTTCAAATTTGATCGTTAAGTCCAGTTTTATCCCAAACTGCAGTTTTAACCGTGAGGCTAGAAAAATGACTCGCCTTGGTTCTTCCTTTTTTTTCTCAGTTTGTCAAAGCTCACGAGGAAATGTTCACCTATGATCCCCGCACGAACTCAGTGTCGGTCACGCAATCGTTGCAGAGTCTTCCTGTTGCCATGGCAATTGGTGAACTGAGCCTCTCCGACCGAACAGTATCCAAAAGCGAACCCTGTCTCACCTCGTCCAAACGCGCCGATGTCGACGAGACGTCTTCGATGGAATCAAGCCTCCAACCAAGTGAGTCCCCGCCCACGCAAGGCACCCATGGGAGGGGAGATAGTGACATACCAGCTACAACTGAGGTTGTAGAGGGTGACACACACAGTGGGGGAACTGTGGACATCAGCAGTGACAAGGCCCCCTCCCCCTCGGCATATAAAACAAGCCAGAACCAACCTGGAGTAGAAACACAAAGGGATCCTGTAAAAGAAACCCACGAAAGTTCCCCCAAAGGCTCAGGAACTGGACAAGGGGATGGTGTGATGCAAAACAACCATCACCAGGTCTTACAAGAGGCTGAAACTGACACTCGGGGAAGTAGCATCGGTCTTACGGAAGCATGCGGAGACTGCAAACCTGGCTTCCCCCAAAAGAAGGTAGAGAACGACAGATCCGCAGACCCAGCACCACATGCCTCCTGTCACTGTCAGAATGACCAGTGCAAGGCCCAAGACAAAGACTGTTGGTTTGACTTCAACGATTCCAGAGTCTTCTCCATCGACGAAAGCTCGGAGCTCACGAGGCAGTTCGCTGGACGGGAGAGCGCGTACATGCTGTTTTACAGACGGAAATCGATGGCAAGATCTAAAAAGGGTAATTTTTTTTTTCTTTGGAAGTTGTTCTGAAACAAGATGACCAAAAAAATGGCATTCTTTCGCATAAGTTTACCAGTGGTAACTTAAATCTGGTCAAATTGGGCGTAAAGGCCAAAATATGAACATTTGTACACAAAATTCGCCAGAATGATTAATCATCTTTCAAAGCTTAAATCATAAAAGTAAATCTCTGTTTAGCTTGCTGGTTTATAAAAGAAAACAAAATTCTGCATTTCAGCTGAAGCGGACCCATGCCGCGATATGCCGGAGTGGTTAGTCAAGGAACTCACCGAGGCCAACGAACAACTGGCAAAACAGAGGTAGTTAATAATGTCTTTGTCACTCTCATTGTTTGTCTGTTGCAGTATAAAACTAGGAAAGCATGGGGTTTGTGTCCTTGGGCAAAACACTTTACTGCAATTACTCTTTTCTCTTCAGAACTTATAGATATCCTCATGGATTGATTTGTAAGCATTAGCGCAGTCTTTCTTTCACAATCTTTTTTTATGAATCTGATAATTTCTGTGCTGGTTGTCCATAGGCAATACACTTTACAACAATTGGTTCTCTCAACCCATTTCTTAACAAATGGGTACCACTTCTAAAGGGAGAATTGCATATATTGCTTACTTTTCCATCCATTACTAAAGGTGGGAATCTTGGGGGGGGGGGGGGGAAGACATTCCTGTTTACTCAAATTTTCTACCGAACTGGACCTCTTACATGAAAAATAAGAAAAGAAAAACAATCGACTGGTGTTGCTTGTTCCTAGGGAAGAATATGACCGACTCACCAACGCCATAGGTCTAACCCTGTTGGAGAGTGAACACTACGAGTACAAGTCTGGCACCCTTCACAGGAAACCGGTCGACGGGGAACCAGTTACCCTCACTCTGGACCGGAGACGATCAGTGGCCGACCTGAAGATGGAAATCATTGAGGTAGGGAAGATAGGAGGAACCGGTCCAAGTTTTGTGAGTGGTATCGTGATTTCTCTAAGCCATTACTTTTCTTGTTAACAGCTTTTTGTTCTTCGAAGCTGCATAAAGTTGGCTATAGGCAATTGCCTGTTACTTAACTTGAGACGTAAGCACTTGTGAGAACTTGTGAGGACTTATGTGGACTTGTGAGGACTAGTGAGAATCTGTGAGGACTTGTTTGGACTTATGAGGGCCCTTGCGGACTAATGAGGACTTGAGGACCTGTTTGTGAGGATGTGTGGGGGCTTACGATGACTTGTGATGACGTATGAGGGCCTTTGGGGACTGGTGATAACTTGTGATTGACTTGTGTGGACTTGCAAAGACTTGTGAGGACTTGTGAGGACTTGTGAGGACCTTTGCAGCCAAGTCATGGACTTGTGAGGACTAGTGATGACTAATGAGGTCCTGTGAGGACTTGTGATTGACTTGCAAAGAATTACAAGGACTTACGAGGACTTGTCAGGACTTGTGAAGCCAACTGATGGAAATCTGAGGACTTGTGATGACTTCTGAGGGCCTGTGAGGACTTGTGAGGACTTATGAGGACTTATGAGATCTTTTGAGAACTTGTGAGGACTTTAGAGGACTTGAGAGGGCCTGTGAGGACTTGTGATGACTTATGTGTGACTTGCGAAGACTTGAAAAGACTTGCAAAGACTTGTGAGGACTTGTGTGGACTTGTGAATCCAAGTGATGGACTTGTGACAAATTGTGATGGCTTGTGATGGACTTTCAACTACTTGTGAAAACTTGCAAAGACTTGTGAGGACTTGTGAAGGACCTGACTTATATTATGAAGTTGCCATTCCCGTTAGAGTTTGTGGTGAGATTTTAGAATAACATTCTCGTCATCTCATTTGCACAGATACTAGGTGATGCTGCACTGAACGGCATGTCAGCCAAGAGCCTACATTTGCATACGGCCCAAGAGCTGCCAGCTGGTTTGCACCTGTACGATTGCATATCAGGTGATTATTCATTCATGTAGTCATTTGGCATGCAGCTTGCTTATTTGAATGTTTGCATATTCATGAGAATCACAGTTAATCTGGGAGAACCGAGTTGATTTGTAGCAGTTGAAATGTAATGCTCAATTTTGAGTCGCCAGCCGGTTTGCACCTGTACAACTGCATATCAGGTGATTATTTATTCATAAAGTTATTTGCATGCAGCCTGCTTATTAGAATGTCTGCATATTCATGAGAATCACAGTTAATCTGGGAGAACCGAGTTGATTTGTAGCAGTTGAAATTTAATTTCCTCGATTTTGATGAATGGTTTGCAATTGTTTGTAATTTGTAAATTGTTTTTTTCTAATTGCAATGAACTTTGTGCACTGTTTTGCGACTTGTGTTTTTGGATTTCTTTTTTCCTTCAGAAAGTGACTCGGCCATCCTGCAGGATCTTGAGCTTACCGACGGGTCCATCCTCTTCCTCTGGGACGGCAACAAGGTCGACGGCATGCCCATGAAGACCGGCGCGGCCTGCGTGCCGGTCCTGATCCACCTGACCTACGCCGTGACGCGCGACAACCGCGAGACCGGGGAGACCTCGCGGGGTTTTGCCAGGGACCTGACGCTGGGGGAGCTGCGGGCCCAGGTCAGCGTGCAGTCGGAGATTCCCCTGGGCCTGCTGCGGATGAGCAGGGTGGTGTCGGAGGAGGCGGTGGTTGTCAGGGAAGAAGATGACGGCAAGACTGTGGAGGAGATGGGAATGAGAGACGGGGACAAGATCATCGCCGAGTACAAGAGGAAAGGGTGGGTGCCGTCAACTAACCCTAACCTTACTGAATCCAACAGGATCCAACGATATCATATTCCCGTTGGAGCCTGTTGGATTGAGCAGTAAACCCTGTGTGTACAATCCTGATGCAAAATGTTGGATTCAGCAGGCAACTGATCATGAACCGCATTATAACGCCATGTTGGACTCCATTGGATTCAGCAGACAACTGATGGTGATGCAGACTTTGCGGCACTCGGATGTAGACCAGGTCATTGGAGAGCCCTTGTTTAAAAAACAATTACAAGAAATAGAATTCCCTTTGATCATGTGGTGTTTTTGTGTTTGTTTCTTTGACAGGAAAGCTTCATCTCTGGCGGCTAACGAGGCTTTGCGTCATAGCAGGCTTGTGTGTTTGACGGTGGAGAACCGTTGCGCAGCCGTGGCTCAGGCAACAGATTGGCCATTAATGCAAGTGGAGATCGACAAAGATGTGGTAAAACATATTTTTTAAAGTTCCTCACTCTGTTGTTTTTTGTTGCCCCTGTTTCCAAAGGGCCAGCCAGTAGTCCTCTTCGCACCTATCTCACTGATTGACTGACTCACCGACAGACTGTCCTTGTGACTTAAACTTGTTGATGGTCTGGACACTTGTGCCCTTAAGCAAGGCACTTTACCATTATTGCTTCGTCCTTCGGATGGGACGTAAAGCCGTAGGTGTGTTGTGTAATGCAATGCATGTAAAAGAACCCAGTAACGCTTTTGGCTAAGAGAAGGGGGTTTGCCCTGGTGTTTCTGGCCTCCTGTTAAAACTCCCTTGCGGAGTCCTTAGGAGAAGAACCAACCAAGATACCAAGAATTAAGTCGGGCAGTGCTGTAATATAGGATTACCCCATAACACCAATGAATGGGCTAAATCTTGTCCATTGTGTACACAGATACCAATGTGATACAAAATACCAATGAATAGCCATTCTGTTATACTATTTTTTCTTTTCTGAAAAACAATTTTGCTTAGCAATTTTCTTTTCTGATTATTTTGTTGTCCCAATCCATATCCAGACAGTTTCTGAGCTGAAGTCCGTCATCATGTCCAGCCTCAAAGAATCAGGGAGTCAACAACTTGATGCACAGCGTCGTCTCAGAGTTAACGTGTACGGTGGGGTCCTTCAGCCTCCGCGTAAGTAGCATGTAGCTACTCTTCCCCCCACCAAATGCCTATGACCCACCCACAAGACAACCACAATACAGACCATCTCAGCTGCCTGGGGAGTGTACAGCTCTATAATGCTAAATCAACCACACTAACCATCTCTGCCCTCACAGGTACCCTGGGTGGGGAGAGGCCATGAATGACAAAGTGCCTTGCCCAAGGGCACACGCACCAAACTTTGGGCATTACAGGGCCAAGGTCCCATATTTTCAGTGTTTGCTTTGTAAATTACAGTTATATTTTTTTTCTGCTTGTAGTTCATGAGAATCTGAAGATCGCAGAGGTGGGAATCAAAGCAGGAGTGGAGGTCGTCGTTGAGCCTGGCGAGCCGCCCAAAGAAAAAGAGGTTGCCAAGTTTTCATTTCCTCGAGACCAGTTCTCAAGAATTCCTCAATAAATTTTCTGTCATCATCGACCTCATTTATCAGCCACTGACAGAGAGCCTATTTTTTTTCAATCTTCTCTGAAACAAAAGCCTTTACTTACAAGAGCAAAGATTCAATTCATTGGTCCCTGCCTGTTACTCCCTGTACTGGCCTTAACCATCCTGCCTGTTACTCCCTGTACCACCCCAAACCACCCTGCCTGTTACTCCCTGTACCACCCCAAACCACCCTGCCTGTTACTCCCTGTACTGCCTCAAACCACTCTGCCTAGTACTCCCTGTACCGCCCCAAACCACCCTGCCTGTTACTCCCTGTACCGCCCCAAACCACCCTGCCTGTAACTCCCTGTACCGCCCCAAACCACCCTGCCTGTTACTCCCTGTACCACCCCAAACCACCCAGCCTGTTACTCCCTGTACTGCCCCAAACCACCCTGCCTGTTACTCCCTGTACCGCCTCAAACCACCCTGCCTGTTAGTCCCTGTACCGTCCCAAACCACCCTGCCTGTTACTCCCTGTACCGCCTCAAACCACCACATCGATGGTTTTTGTGGATTTATCAGGAAATAAATACAACGTATTACAATATAGTACATGCTCTGATGGGTTGATCTTGTGTTTTGGTTTCAAAATTTTGATAAACTGAAATTTTGATTGCAGATTACAGTCAGCTTTGCTGTTTGTTGTGGCGGAGTTCAGAAAAACCACCATGAAACAACCGTTGACAAGAATTCAACTGTGCAAGAGGTACAAATGCTTGTCTGTTCCATTTATTACGAGTTCTCCTTTTGTTTTCTTGATCCTGATCCCCTTTAATTAAAAAAACAAAAACAAAAAGAAAAACAATAAAAAGATCGAGTGTATTAAAGTTGGTCACAGGGCGCATAAAACTCTGTTCAATTGATTCAGAATGCCCAAAAAAAGTTAATAGAATTGGCTGTAGTGGTGACATGATGGAAATGAAAAATCCACTTTGGCAATTTGCTTGGAGACTTGACTAATTACCTACGTATGTATCATGAAAGTATGTGCAATAAGGCACCAGACTAGTGGTATATCCTGCAGACGGACTGAGAGTTTCATTAAAAGAGTCCAAATTTGATGCTTCACAGAGTTTTCTGTTCCTGTCAATTTGTTCATGTTTAGACTCTAGAGCTGATGGCGGGCTTAGCCGGGGTGACGGGGGACCAGTGGCACCTCCGGAAGAGCAACTGGTGTGGGGAGGCGGCGGAGTTTCTCCAAGACCCTGTAAGTTGGCCGCTTCTCGTGGGATCTGAAACCCACGACCTCGGATTACGTCTTTGTGATATTGTTCTTCCTTCTTGTTCTGTTCATGAACCTTTGAGTCCCCCACTGCTCTCATGCACAACGTGGCACTCGCAATGCCGAAGCCAAGTAATTTGTATGTAGCCACCGATATTTCATAGCTGAATGTCTGGTTTTTATCCCCCTGGCTTTCAAGCCACTCAGACAGGGAAAAGGGAAAAGGAACACACGAAAATCCTCGATTTACACCATAAAGAAACGTGCTAGGGTCTGCGTGTTCCATTTCACCGTAAAGTTCAGGCATCAATCTCAACCAGACTTGAAAGGTGGTCTGTGGAGAGAACGCCTATGTCAAAAATCTTTTCCAATATGGACATTTACGAGGTCTCTGGAGAGATACTAATGACTCCAACATAATGTTAGTCCCGTGTCTCACCCAAACTCTACATTCAACCCAAACTCCCCATTCAATTACTGGTACCTGCAGGTTGGACAATCAAGGCTGTCACTGACAATTGTCCTTACTAACTGCCTGTACATGTACATGTATACAAACTGCCAGGATGCCAGGGGAATTGCCCAAGTTTTGCTTGCAGTATTTTTTTTCTTCATCTTGGCACAGGGAGTAACTTTGGACCAAGAGGGCGTCCAACATGGTGGCTTGTTGCTCCTTGAGGAAGGCCGCTTGCCCCCCAGGGGTTTTATCCGTCTCCCCGTCTGGCTTTACCCCTCCCCGGACAGGGGAGCGGCCACGCCCCCTAACGCCCAGGGGGAGATGCTGCAGTGGATCCACGGCCACATCATGAGTAAGTCTTGATGCATTTTTCGAAATCACGGCTTCATTGTCAGCATTGACAGCCAAAGCCAGAATGAAGGCAATATTTCGTTTTTTTTTTAGATCTCGTCTCCCAAAAGTCCAATCCGGACGAAAGTGACAACTCCGACCAAGACCCCCTTCAGTCCCAGCATGCCTTGCTGGGCAACGTGGAGCTTTCCCAGGATGCCACGCTGACGGACCTCAAGAATCAGATCCAGACGTTGCCTCCGATGGCCGAGGTCGCCCTGGCCGGTCCCGGGTTCCTGCGATTGAGACTTGTGGAGGAGGGCATTCTGGGAAGGGTTCTGCGCGACGACAAGCAGACATTGAGGTTAGATGGTCAGCCGCTGATTCAGGGGGGGGGGGGGGGCAATGTGAGTCAAAGCAAGCCCCTCCCACCCCCCTGGTTGAAACCCCCCAAAAAGAAATTATAACAATTCTGTTAATAATAATTTCCAATATGTCAACCTGTCTGCGACACTTGGACACAGAGGTGTACCATCGGGGGTAAGGGTGTTATTTTGTCACTATTTTGTCACTATTGTGCGATAGTGTGCATGATCATCAAATTTGAACTCTGTTGGAAGATGATACCAGCCTCCCCCCTCCTTCCCCCCACCCCCCACCCCACTGTTTGAAGTTATGGATACCAAGTGTCCGCAGAATAAAAAAAATCTGTCTAAATTTCGGCACTGTTTTGCTGATTTAAAAAAACCTGACAGGCCTGACGTGGCTATGTATGCGGCTAAATCCGCATGGTTTTGTGTCAGTGTGTTACCGAAAGTCATAGACTTAGTATAACAGAACCCAATGTTGGCATGTTCGTCGTACCCAACTTTTTAGGTGTATTGAGCCCTTGTGCGGCCGGGTGCTTACGTCCTGTGTCTTACAAAATCCTTCAAATCCATGGAATTGGTCCCTATTCCGATGGTTGGGTCTGTTGCAAATGAAACAGCTTTTTTATATCTTCTGGGTTTTCACTTGCAGGAGGTCAAAGGTCACAAGTGCATCTCACATCGCTGCTCAGATACTTCAAGACGAAGAGAATCTCAGGTTAGGAGTGATTATTGATAAATATTGATCAAATTGTGCAAATTATTGATCAAATACTGTGAATCAAACCCGCAACTAAGCATAGCTCAATGATCCAGCTTTAATCAGTTTTCTTCATTTGTTCTTCATTAGTAAATTTCCTTTCTGTCCCTGAATTCTTTTAATATTTAGTTCGAGTGCAATAGTCTTAAACATTTGCCAAAGAATACCGGAAACCCGCAGCTACGCCGGCGACGAGGAGCTGATATGGGACACGGCCAAGGCGGCCACAGCGCAGAGCCTTCGGCAGGTCATCGCGGACCGACTGCTCCTACCAGTGGAGCAAATCGCGATTGCGAAACACCTCCGCCAGAAGTTTGAGTGGTTGCCGATAAAGGACCAAGTGACAGTGAGTTGTTTAGCTTAGAAAAAATCTGCTAAGGAGCATCGTGTGACCAGCTAAAACGTAATGGGATTTGTATTGCTTGTGACTGACTCCCAGTAGACTTATGCTGAGCAAAATAATTTGCTTAGTATAAAACAAAATTTCCAGAGATGTTAGGTTACCAACCAAAGTGTCATGTGATGCATATTATCCGTAACTTGTTCCCAGTTCATTAGCGCTTAGCAAGCAAATTTGAAACCCCTTCAGAACAAAATGTTGCAACCTGATGCCACTTCAGCGGTCTATGGAGAGTCAGAAAAAAATATTTCCTAACAATATTTGAAATGCTTGTCAGTCCCAGATTCATGTCTTAAAATCATTTTTGCAATGACTGAATTTCATTAAGATGATATATGAAGAAAAACATGGTGTCAGAATGCATTGTTTTCCCTCGCTTCCTTCAAATTTTTCTTCCACTCAAAAAGCCATTATAAGTAAATAATTTCCTAGTCATTGCTTATGAAAAGTTTAAAAATTTACTGATTTGTACCAGGCCAACTGAGAAACTAAAAAGACAATCGCCACATTTGTAGACTAAAAAACAAAATTGGATTCATGATTTTTGTTTTTGTATTTTAGGAGAGCAAAACTGGTAAGGGGAGAGGCAAGAGGAAAGGAGGGGGCGGGGCCAAGCCCAAAGTCAGCCTGAAACAACCCCCATACAGTCTGAAGGACGGAGATACAATAGGTGTCAAGGTATGAAAATGTTCTCAATAAAATCCTTGATTCTCTGGGATTTTTTTTTTGGGGGGGGGGTCGGGTGCGTCCTTGTTTATTCAGCAAACAAAAAAAGTGAGTTTAGCTGTGTTGCGGTCGAGTTACTTGTGCGATGGATCACAAGTCATCACAAGATCATCACAAGTCCATCACAAGTTTGTCACAAGTCCATCACAAGTCCATCACAAGTCTGTCACAAGTCCATCACAAGTCCATCACAAGTCCTCCAGTCCCATGTCAACTCCCAAGCTATTCAAATGAACCGTGACGAGGGCATGTCTGCCTATTAATTGCGACCAGACTTTGTGAATTGACTTGTGATGGTCTTGTGACCAGGCTTGTGATGTACTTGTGACTAATCTTGTGATGTTCTTACGATCCATCACAAGCACGTGTACATTTACTACAACACTGGGTGGAAGCATTATATTCAGTGGTGATACCTTTTTTTTCTCTTCGTATCATTGTCTGCAGGACTTGAGGTTTGATCCTGTAAACCAAGACGACTTCACGACAGAGGAAGACCTTGCAGGGAAGAGGCGGCTAGAGACAGAAGCTGAAGAAAAGAGAAAAAGGTAAAAACACAGCAAGCACAGTGGCTGAGTGGCTAAGACGTCTGCACTAGTATTCTGAGGGTTATGGTTCGAGTCCCTCCCAAGCTTCTGAATTTCATTATAACAAGCACTCAGACTGCACCGAGTATACAGTGCTATAAAATATAATGAGCACAACCAAGGATAGCCCATTAATACCTGTACTACATTGTATTACATTGTATTACATTGTATTACATTGTATTACATTGTATTACATTGTATTACATTGTATTACATTGTATTACATTGTATTACATTGTATTACATTGTATTACATTGTATTACATTGTATTACATTGTATTACATTGTATTACATTGTGTTAATTCCTTAAGGTATCTATAAAACCATAGAGTGCTTGGGCGGTTTCGGGCTCCACAGTGGCTTAACCTCTCTCTTATTGAAATGTTGTTTTGTTAACTCTGCCAAATGGAGGTGCTGCCCTCACGGGTTTTTGATTTCTTGACAGACGACAAGAATTAAAGGAGAACAATGCAGCCTGGGCATTTGAAGGGCGTCGACCCAAGAAGCCGGAGGTGGGGCTGACCATCCGTGTAGCGGACTTCAGATGACGGCCTTTGTATGTGCGTGAACCAACGGGGGCGCTATTCAGTATTAAAAGTTACGTTCCCTGTGCTGTTTTTGAGTTTCATCGTGGAAAAAAGTAGATTGCTTTTTCCAATGTGCTATTTTGTAGCAATTAAAAGTTAATCACTTTTGAATGAGACATTTACTACACACACAAAAATCAGCCAACGATTAGTTACTTAAGTTTCAAATTACTGTTTTGAATTGGTTCAAGCCAAAAATTCCGTTTTTACGGGGAAGGCTGGTTCCCACACCACAATCAGTATTGATAATGTATGGACTGGGAACCAGTCTGCTGGCAATGTGGATCCTTTGTGCCCAAAACAAAACCCTTTTTTTTTTAGAGGGTTGCAGATGTAAAAAAAAAAATGGGAAAAAAATGAGCTTTTTTGGTTTGGAATAAAACATACGAGTTGTAAAGTTAGTAATAGAAAGAAATCAATTTGTTTAGGAGCATGAGAAACACAGACTTTAATCAGTGTGCAACCATAGGTGTTGCCAGAACGCCTGGTAGGGTTGTAGGCGATCGTAAATTGGGGATAAAACACAAAAGAAAGTAACATAGGGGTGGGGGCTGGGCATGATCTAACAATAGAGGGGGCTGTTCAAGAAGGATACGTCTGGACACCCAATGACACTGGATGTTGTTGTTTATGCTAGACTTTGTTTTGACCGTTAATTACATTATTTTACGAACAAGAATGACAAGTTGGCCAAAAGTGACAAATGGAAGTGTTACTTCACCCCCCACCCCAAAAAAATGCCCCCTCTAGTGACACAAATTGTGTTCATGCACTTAACAAAGTAAGCTGTAATTTCCTATCAACAAAAATCAAAGTAAAATTTCAGTGTTTTTTTTTGTTTTTTGGATAGCTGTATACATTTAGGTTATAATAATAATAATAATTTTTTTTGGGGGTGGGGGAGGGGAGGATGGGGTTTTAAATAATGGCCGACTGTTAAAGCTTCATTTTAACATGCTAGTAAAAACTAGTCCTGTCTTTATACACTACATATTTTTTATTTATAGAAAAGTGCCTTACAAAACTACATGGTTCTTCGAGAATGGAAAGGGGAGGAGCCAAGGGATTTAATTGTTAGCCCCTTAAAGACAATGGACAGACACCTGCAATCACAAAGGCAATCTAGAAAATAATGTCTACTTTTGTTCTTAAATAAAATCTTATAAATGAAGAGTTGATTTCCAAAACGTGATATATCCATTTGAAAAAAAAGTTGAAAATGTGTATGTTTTATGTCAAAGTTTTATGACTAAAAGCAATATAACCAACCGTTTCTAAACTCCATTTTTGGCTCTGTTATTTTCTTAAATTGTGTTAAATTATGATAAAACCTATCGGAACTGACATTGGGCACCCAGGAGAGAGCGGGAATCTAAAAGGGAACAAAATGGTGTTCATCACGTTTTGGGGAAAAAAAACTTGTCAAATCTAACGTCTTCCGTTCTTCAGCATTTGTAAGAGAATAGGTCATAAGTCGGGCTTTATTCATAATCATTGATTAAAACATCCAGTACTATTATTTTGTGGTTTATTATGTGAACCCCAGAAATTGTTTGAATAAATCCTCAGTGAATAATCTCCATTCTGTGTATTGTTTTTTTTTAACTACCAGGGGCAGATTCAGAGTACATGTACCAGTTAATAGAGAGGGGGTTGGGGGAAGGGGCAGGGATGGGGAAGTTGTATCTCTTCCAAAAGAAAGGTTTCTTGATTTATACTCCCCCCCCCCCCAATTTCTACTTCAAAACAGGTTTCCCACAAAATTAAAACAATGAAAATAGTCCTTAAATTAATTTTGTAAGATTGAATTTGTATTAAACAGATGCTTATTTTCTAATTTTTAGTAAAAATGGTCAAGGTGTGTTTCATTCTGTTGTACAATTCAGTGGCAGATCCGGCGTTTGTCAAATGAGGTCATTTTTTTCACTTGAAAGAGCCCTCCCACCCCCACAGCCTCAATCCCCGCCCCCCCCCATAGCCTCACCCCCCCCCCCCCCCCCGCACTAAGTTCTCTGGATCCGCCCTTGCAGTTGGCTGTTGAAATTTGATTTTCAATTTTTCCCCATGTAGACTCCGTAGTCCTTTTAATTACAAAACTTAACACTCCAATTTAATAATGTATTTCAAAACGAACCACATTTTTAGTCCCAATGTGTACACATAATGTAAAAAGCAAAAGGTTACAATTTAAACCAATTATTTTCTGGGGGCGGGGGGGGGGGGGATAATAATCGTGTTTATCAATATTGTAACATTTTTGGGTCAATTTACTTTCTTGGCAAGAACCGAGTTTTTCGTGACTGTGATTTTGGCCACAAGCCAAAATGACCTGGAATAAAAGTCGAAAGACTTCTACGTGTGTCATTGCAGTCCCGCGCAACTCGTTTCATTCATGTTTTTCGGATCCATGTCCGTTGAACATTGTGACAATTCTTCTTTAGTAATTTTTTTTGGGTAGACTTTGACTTCAAAGATAACCATCAATAAATAACAAAATGTGTCCTAGCAGTGATTCTTACGTTATACAAATGGATACTCATTAGTCTGAACGACTAGTATTTCAGTCAATCAATTAAAATGTTTGGGTATTTAAATTGAGTAGGAGCCTTGATTTAGCAAAAGCTACCTGATTGGTCAATGTTCCAATACGTGGTTTGCCCGCGTTTCATTATCCAATCAACGCGGGAGGTTCACGCAGCCACCTGCCAATCAAAATCACGTGGGGAGAGCACGTGGGCAGGGCGAAAAATTTGTGGTATTTGTGCGTGCCGAACGAACGCGTACGCGTTAAGCGGCCTCTCTTTCACAGACACAATCCCAACACACAGGCAGTCGAGCAGTTTGGCTCTTTAGCCACTTTATTCCTCCCCAAAACCGGAGACAAACTCACCCTAAATTTCAATAGGCTTGTAAACTCAACCCTCAACAACCACCACAATGAATAAAATCTACTGCGGGAACCTGAGCGAGGACGTTACGGAGGATGCCCTGCGCGACCTCTTCGAGGAAAATGGCGTGCCCGTCTCCAGCATGGTCGTAAAGCGCAGCGCCAACCCGAACAGCAACGCCAGCCCCTTCGCTTTTGTGGACGTTGAGAACGAAGAAATGGCCCAACTTGCCATCGACAAGCTCAACGGTCAGTTGTGTATATCACAGTACAGTAGTGTGCCACATATTTGACAAGAATTTGGTCACAGATTTGACAGGGGACGGCTTTATTGATGTGAATTTTACGACGATATTGTACGAAGAATTGCAGAGATGTTTGCGTGGGTTGGGATAGGTCGCCATATTGAAATGACGTAAACCACATGCTCGCCATGTGTGTGTAACTCCGCATGCATTTATGAACGGTCGGTTACTTTACCCATGGCCATGCACAGTCGTACGTGTATGCCGTATCACGTGGAGTGCATGGTGGGCCCATTAACTTACACGAAGTTTAATTTTTCTGTCCTTTTTAAGCTAGCTGTTCAAAGGTATTTGTTGTCTTGCAAAATTGTAATGTTTATTGTTTTAACTGTCTGTGAAATTAACATGTTTAATAAAAGATTGAATTTAATTTGATGAGGTGTCCAGTCATTTCTCTAACTTGTTTAACATGTTTAAAAAAGTATTATTTTAACAAAACAAGAGGCAGGTAATTTCTTTCTCAAAAGTTTTTTTTTCTCAACTCAAATTTGTTACTGTGGAATCTGTGTTGGCAGAAAAAGGGGAAATTTGGATTGATAAACTGTCCCCAAACTTGTGACAATACACTTTTAAAATGTAAAAACTAAAAATAAAAATCTCATCTTCTAAAAAAGAACTTTTATTTTTTTAAACATGTTCAACCAACAACTGAATCATATATTTTAATTATTTTTCTAATCTTGTTTTATGCCACATAAATTTCCACTCAATTAATAATGAAATTGTGTATTTTTCACTGTGGAAGTAAATCACTCAACTCAACTTTTTACAAGGGAAACATTTATTTTGGGCATGTACATGTAGGATACAGGAAATTGGGATTCTATTTCGGATTTTTTCCCCATTTGTCATTTCATTTTTTTGAACAATTTATTTATTCAGAGGGAATGTTGAACATTTATTTGTTATTTTTGCAAAATTAAGGAGTTTGTTTCAGTCATGATTTTTTTCTCTCAATTTTGTTTGTGTATTGAAGTTAGGTTTGTTTCATACTTTCAGATGAAAGAGACAACTTGTTAATTTGAAAAGAAACTTTTGTTCAAAGATTGGTGTCTATACTCTTTAAGTAGAATTTTAAAAAATTCCTGTATTCCTAGTCCTACTGAATCGAAATAATAACAACTTGTTAAATTTAGTGCAGATTCTCATAAGTACTGCCCAAAACATTTTAGAGTATGTCTCGCTTGCAGAAAGTAATGTGCAGGATAATTGAAATTGCATTTATGATAAAAGTTACTTTTTTTTCTTTTCAATTTCAGACTACAACTTACTTGGATCAGTAATGGTTGTGGAGCACTCTGTCCCCAAGCGTGGGAGAGGCAACAGGTATGACAAGATTTTCAAGTATATTGTCACTAAAATACAAGTTTTTTTCCCTTTTTTATTAAATGGTTTTAACCACAATTTAATTTTTGCAATGTGCAGTTAAAGAAATCAAACCTAAGATTTTTCTGACCTTATCCGAACAGTCGCCACAAACCTGTGTTTTATTTAGCCATCAATTATTGAGATCAGAGCAATTTTTACAAAAAAATCACAAAATTAAGGAAAGAATGTAGTATCCAGATGCAAAGTCTTCTTTAGTTTTGTACTAAGAGTGCATTTTCAAAGTATTTTCTAAAAAAATTGGACATTTTTCTCAGTCCCAGATTCATGTCTTGACAGCATTTTAGCAAATGACTGACCTTCATTGAGATAATTTATGATGGAGAAAGTGGCGTTAGGATGCATTATTCTTTCTAAAATGAATGCCAAAAATTATCCAAAATTGTCTCCAAGTTTAACAAAAGAAGGGAGGATACACCTTTGGCTTTTAAAATGAGGACAGATGAGGACAAAGTAGGTTGTTGTCCTCCATGGCAACTCGTTAAACGAAAAGGTCAGGAACCCTTTTTAAGAGGGACACTCAAACTTCACTTCTGTATGCATGAAAAGGAGTTAAAAGCACTGATATATAATAGTGTAATAGAGATCAGTGGTTAAAAGCAGTGATCCATTATATCAAGTAGGATTCTAGTAATAGGGGGCAGGGTGGTTGGTCACTTCAGAAAGTAGGGGGGGGGGGTGTGTTACACATCCATACTTTGGCCTCCTGCTGGCCACATTTTTTTCTGTAATATAAGGCAGGTTTTGTTAGCAGGCCAGACACAGTGGTATGTCACCCTTGTTCACCTTCTGTCTGGAACCTGTGGGCAATTTTTGTAACTATTAGGGATATAAATTACACCGCTTACTGGTTGTCGATGAAACTGCTTACTGTTACAGCCAGCTATTTGTGTCCTTGCTTTCAACTAACTCATTTAACCTTGGGAGTGTTTTTTTTTTTTTCGTCCCTGGAGTATTAAAAGTTAGTAATTCACTGTTTTGTCTTGAAGCAGTTTGTCTAGACAGGATATTACTGAAATGATTGTAGATGGCAATATCTATTTAAACGTGTCCTGTCTGATAAAGAAGATGATATTTATAGACCATTATTATGTTGATCATTATTTTTCCCCATTTAAATCAACGTAACCCAGTGCGTGAAATTACGGTCGGACATCGGACATTTTCCGACCACTTTCATGGTTTGTCCGACCAAATGCAGATGTGCTCGGACAAAATGTCCGAGTGATTTATGTTTTCTTTGTGGAGTTGTCTTTTTCAGAAGTATGAAATAAACGCTTGCGCTCAAAAGTATTTTGTTGGTTATTTCCGATGATCCGGTCTGTAATACTTACCGTACGCTGAGCTGCTGCTAACTACATGTTGTCTTATATTCACGCAATAGATGCAACGCGTTTACACCCCAATCATTACACAGTCTGGTACAGCGCGGCGTGCACAGCGATAGATTGGCATTCGTACGTACGTGCCGTTTGCCAAAAAATAGACGTGAAATCAAGTCGATAAATTGTGTTTCGATCAGCAGTCTTCGTGTTTCTTCTACAAATCAATTAATACAACTTTTTGTACTTTTCAAGTCATTTTATGGAAATGAGCAGTGGCCGTTTGTGGAATTCCCAGTTAATTTCTATTGGGCAAAAGTGTTAAATTGGACCTGATTCAACCTCTATATATTCCTTGCTATAATGATTCGATCGAGCCTCTTTGGACATTCAGAACTGCAATTTCACCCAGTTTAAGTTATGTGTTCTTCAGACTTGAATGAGTCTGTATAGTGACGAGTCTAAATATTATAAGGACATTGACGCGCATACATGTAATGAGAATTTAGCAAGATCAAAGTAGGTTGTGTTGCGCGGTATGCTTTAAGTGCGTGATTGTTACTAAATTCTCACAACGTGGCTTACTACAGAAACGAGCGCGTGAATGCCCGGCGCTTGTCATTGCAACTACATAGTGTGTATTATGGATACGTACGTACGTAAACATACATACTGTACATGTACACACGTGTATGTACCGTCCACGTGTTTGAAGTATAGTAAACGTGGCCTTTTGAAAGTTCGTCTCAGATGGCAGATCAAAACTTGACAATGGCAGAACACTTTTGATTGTGCTCGGACATTTTGTCCGACCACTTTTTTGGTCTAATTTCACGCACTGTAACCAAAGCAAGGCTGGAAGGAAAAACAGTGGTCGATTTAGAGGGGTTTTACATGCACAGGTGCATGTAACTTTGACTCTGTGCATGTAAAATTGTGCCTGTGCATGCAAAATTTTCTGTTTCTCAGCCCCTTTTCAAGGAAAAAGCTTAGTTGTGCATGTAACTTTTGTTTTCTAAAGCGACCCCTGAGGAAAAATAGTCTGGTTCCTTTTCGCGCAAAAAAACTATCATTCAGTACTGCTATTGGATACAGGGAACATGACTGAAATGATGGCAGCATGAATAAGGTCTATAGCCTTCCATTAATTTCAAGAACCCTTGTTTTAAAACTTACTACAGTGTGACTTTATATGAAATAAGCATAGTTTTTTTAGAGCATGGGGCCAATGTCATAGTGCTGCTTTAGCACAAAATTTGCTTAAGCACAAAAACGTCTTGCTTAATAAAATCAGGTTACCGGCCAAAACTCCATGCGATTGTTATGCTAAGTAAACAACAGCTAAATACCAGTCACAAGCAATGTACATCACATGGAGTTTTGGCCGGTTACCTAATTTTACTAAGCAATGTTTTTCCGTGCTTAAGCAAATTTTCTGCTTAAGCAGCTCTATGAAATTGGGCCATGGTCTGAAAGCACATGTAGTTGATACTGATAGACAGGAATGTATTGTAGACTTATAAAAAGTGCTGGGCTTGCAGTAATAAGGTTCTCTCTCTAAAGAAAAAAAACCAGTTCACCAATTTAACCTACACTGGCGCTCTCCAATGACTTGGCTGAATTGTCTGGGTGTGCAACTGCAAGGGGGCCAGGTTCACTGAAGGTTTTTCAAAGGGGGTCGAAAGTTCAGACTGGGCTGGTGCTACCTATAAATCACACTGTCTGGTGTGTTAAAGGGGCAGTTGAAGTGACGGTGGCAGTTGCATATTTGTCATGCTGTTGAATGGTGTGTTTTGCCAGTGGTGTTCCCTTTAATTTATTGGCAATTGAGATGGCCACCTTTTGAAGCCTAATTTTGCCACGCAGATATTTACAAAATTGAGGTGTTCCCATCTTCCATAAACCCTTTATCTCTGGACATTAATTGCTTGAAAAAAAAAAAGACCTGCCAAGATCTTACAGTTACAATTTGTGCATTCGTACATAAAAATCAACCCCCAAGTTTTGCCATGTTGAATCAATTAATTTAATTTACCCTTTTCGGTGTTGCTGTTTCCACAGCACGTCCTTGATTTCCTGTGAAAACATTTTTTTAACATAGGACCCCTGGGACGGGCCGCCTTCAAGACAAATGATTTTTTTTTCCTTTCTTAAAAAGACTGTTTAAATTCTCCCAACAAGATACCCAATTGGCATGAAGCTTATGAATATTCACAAGTAGTGTGATTGTATTGGGAGTCTGGCAAACCCTGCTAATTAACCATTGTTACACTGTATTACATTGTATAAGTTTACTCCCTAAAGGCTGATGACTCTATGAAACTCAACATTGTCAGGCAGTATTATTTTGCTTGCCTCTTTTGTGTGCAAAAGCCCTGACCCCCAGTTTTTTACCTCAATGGCTATTAGGATTTTGATGTGCCCCATATGTTATGTAACCACCTGTTGTGATAGTTTGGTTACACACAGTTATCATCTTTCAGATCTGGGGAGTTATTAATGTTATCAATTTAAGTAGAAGCACCTACACGCACATGTATGTAAGCAGATTTGTGGTTGAATAATACCATTGGTAATTCGTTGGCATCTATTAGCAAACTTTCAAGTTGGAGGCTGCACTGAATCTAATGCTGACAAATTTATGAAATAATTCTCATCACCTAACAAAAACATTTTTTTAATACTTTATTTAATATTCAAGCAGCAAAAATCTGAACAAATTTAAATTATTAGTTTTAACTAATAAATTTGATTATGTTAAAATTCATGGGCTTTGCTGCACCTAGAGTTTGTTGTGGTAATTTTGCCCCATTTTATTTAAAATAGTATTGGATTTAGAAATATTAAGGAAGCTCTGAAGTAAACGTTTAAAAGAATTCACAATTCACAAAAAAAAATTAGGTTTTTCAATTTAGAATATAAACGTGTTTGCATTTAAAAAAAAAAAAGAATAATATATTGTGATAGAGAAGTTTGAAATGTGTGGTTTTAAAGGGTTAGGGGCCTGTTTGCGGATAATGGCAATCATAATTGTGGTTTTCAATCACTCAGTTGTAGTAGGCACACACAGCGCGTAATGTGCGCGTAAAGCATGAAGTGCAGCTTCTCGCGAATTGTGACCAGTTTTAAACAACGCTGACTGGTGTTTAAACCACGGTTTAAGATCACCCACGTGACGTCTTGCAGGCCTGGTTTGATTCAATATTGATGGAGTATGATGGACGTGGGCCTGGAGGTCTAAAGCAAAGCATGCATTGGAAGCAGTGTGGTTGATGGATTTTGGCTGACTTGGTTCAGAACTTAAGAAAAGACAGTAGGGATCTAGGGTTAATGTTTAGGAGAGTGATATCAGGAAAGTTATAAACTTGTTCCGTTGTAAAATTAGATAATTATAATTAAAAAAAAGTATTCAAGTCGCAGATCTGGCTAAGGCCAGCTCCAAGCTTGCACATGCTCAGTTGTGAGTTTGGCGTTCCCGCTGCGAACATCAAAACCCAGTGCCGCTATCTTGTGCTGTCTTTAACGCTGTGATGCCATGAGACGAAGCACTGGAACACAAAACCCATATTGGAAGCATCCGTATATGTTTCTGTGCTCAAATGTCAATTTCTTTATCAGGAAATGTTTAGTACAGTGAAACCCCAAGTCAAACCTCAAGGGAACAGGTTCAAAGTTTGACTTTAGCAGAGTGTTGAGTTAGGCATGGTTGTATATCATTGTTATACTACTGAAGGCAATGGATTCTTTGTTTGACTTAACAGTTGTTTTGAGTTAGGCAAAGTAAAAAAAAAACCAAGTTTCTCCCTTTTTTTTCAATACTTTATTTAATATTCAAGCAGCAAAAGCTGAACAAATTTAAATAATTAGTTTGAAGTAAAAAATTTAATTTTGTTAAAATTCATGGGCGTAACTGCACCTAGGGTTTGTTGTGGTAATTTTGCCCCATTATATTTAAAATAGTATTGGATTTAGAAATATTTAGGAAGCTCTGAAGTAAACGTTTAAAAGAATTCGCAATTCACAAAAAAAAAAATAGGTTTTTCAATTTAGAATATAAACGTTTTTGCATTAAAAAAAAAGAAGGAATAAAATTGTGATAGAGAAGTTTGAAATGTGTGGTTTTAAAGGGTTAGGGGCCTGTTTTGCGGATAATGGCAATCATAATTGTGGTTTTCAATCACTCAGTTGTAGTAGGCACACACGGTGCGTAATGTGCGCGTGAAGCATGAAGTGCAGCTTCTCGCGAATCGCGACCAGTTTTAAACAACGCTGACTGGTGTTTAAACCGCGGTTTAAGAACACCCACGTGACGGGCTCTGGTCCAGTAGGATTGGGTAAACTGTCTCAGGTATTATTAAAGCTTTTTTAACTTTCATTTGATTTTGCAGGAGCCGCTCCACCAACATCCAGGTGCATAACATTCCCCTGAACACCCCGCTGCAAGAAATCCAGGACCTGCTGAAGACATTCGGCGAAGTCTCTTCCTGCGAAAAAGGTAATACAGCCCTTCCACAAGTCGATTTTCATCCTCGAGTCGAACAAAAATAACCTGTTTCATTCATGTATTGCGGTGCTTAAGTCAGTTTGGGTAGTTGATCAGCTGAGCGTCCCAGGTTCAAGTCCCGCATTAGTCAACCTTTTGTCTTCATATTTTTTTTCGTCAGGCCGGGAGGGTGCTAACGGTTACGGTGTAAACGCCACCTATGCAGCCGTGGAGCAAGCCCAGCAGGCCATCAAGCAGCTCAACAACTACGAATTCAACAAGTCCATGCTCAAGGTAAGAACACCAATTAAACCCTAAACCCTACCTCAATCCTACAAAATCCACCAGACGGGTTTTGGAGGATTTGAGCTGTATTGCATAGTGAATAAGACTGTTGGTCCTCTAAGTACAAAATTTGAATATACGCCCTTTTTTTTTCTTTGTCTTTTGCTCGTCAGGTGAACTACAAGACTTCCGGGTCTCGCCAGGGCAATCGCTACAATCGCAATCCCAACCGCAACCAAGGGAACGCTGTGTTTCCAGTCAGGTACGAACTTAAACCTTAATTTTCAAGTTTAGTAAATTTTATTTTTGTTGGTAGCATTGTGAAGTATTGATCAAGACAAGACGATCCTAGTAGAGCTGTTACATGAGTGCACAAAACTATTAATTTGATTTAGAATGGCTTTTTTTGTGGGAGGGGGTTTCGTGCATCAGTAAACACAATGGGCTGGATTTAACCCATTCATTGGTATAATGGGGGGTCCTATGCAATAGCACTGCCCGGCTCGCAAGAGACTTGGAGTCGGTGTAGTACAAAGAGGACTTGAGACTGGCCCACTCACGGACCACCAACGATTTTAACTTCAACGTTGTCATCACGGAATACATTTTCGTTGGCAGATTTTCTTGAGAGGAAAATAAAAATTGGAGATTTTGAGAGAAAATAATGTAAATTATGATTATTTTTGTAATTGGCCTGTGTAATTCCCATGTGCTTGGCTCTGTTAAATGCCCTGGAATATCCAGCAACATTATGTAGTGCCAGCGTTGTGAATAAGACTTTCTATCACTTCAGCCGTGTGTGTGGGCCGTAGCTCTATCAAAAGCAATCATCTCCCAAGCTCTGCTGACTTGAAGCCACCCACAGATTTTAGCCGCCCACCCCATTTGTAAACACTATCCTTTTTTTAATAATCCTCAGACAAGATCAGTTTCAGAAGTAGTCATTTTGTAATGGTATTGACACCGAGTTTTGCGTGGGAGGTTTTTCGTGTCGTTTTGCTTGATTTGGAAAGGTCGACAGGTTTTGTATCTGTTGGGACGCTGTTGTAGAAGGGTATTTAAAGTCGTGCTTAGGTCTCGTAGTCAAACATGAGTGCACACAAGTATATTGCTAGCAAGGCGCATGTATTTCTGGCAGTAATTTTTGAAATTTAATTTTTCAGTTTGGTAGTTTGAATTCCGTGAATTTCAAGGACACTGCAAAAAATAAATAAATAAATTTGAGGTACTGACAGATTTATACATTAACATCAATTCAACATTCAGAAAATGCATTTAACCCTAACCTCCCCAACTCCATCAAAATCCATCCCCCATTTTGGTGGATTTTGGGGGACTTGGTCCTGCAGGCCTGGTTTAACTCAATATTGATGGAGTATGATGGACTTGGGCCTGGAGGCCTAAAGCAAAGCATGCATTGGAAGCAGTGTGGTTGATGGATTTTGGCGGACTTGGTTCAGTACTTAGTAAAAGACAGTAGGGAGTTAGGGTTAATGTTTAGGAGAGTGATATCAGGAAAGTTATAAGCTTGTTCCATTGTAAAATCAGATAACTATAATTAAAAAAAAGTATTCAAGTCGCAGATCTGGCTAAGGCCAGCTCCAAGCTTGCACATGCTCAGTTGTGAGTTTGGCGTTCCCGCTGCGAACATCAAAACCCAGTGCCGCTATCTTGTGCTGTCTTTAACGCTGTGATGACATGAGACGAAGTACTTGAACACAAAACCCATATCGGAAGCGTCTGTATATTTTTCTGTGCTCAAATGTCAAATTCTTTATCAGGAAATGTTTAGTACAGTGAAACCCCAAGTCAAACCTCAAGGAAACAGGTTCAAAATTTGACTTCAGCAGAGTGTTGAGTTAGGCAGGGTTGTATATCATTGTTATACTACTGAAGGCAATGGATTCTTTGTTTGACTTAACAGTTGTTTTGAGTTATCAGAGTTTAACTTAGCAAGATTTCACTGTATGCTATTGACGGTTTGCCCTTCAGAAGGGTTGTAATGTGCGTTGGTGTGATTTGTTTTCTCAGAATGTTGGTTCCCAGCGATACGGTGGGTGCCATCATTGGAAGAGGCGGCAAGACCATCAAGCAGATCACTGCTGAAACCGAAGCAAGGTAAGAAAATGGAGAAAAAAAGTCTTTAAATTCTTAAAATTGAAGAAGAGAGAAAAATCGCATTCATAAAGCACATCCATACCGAAAAAGAAAGGAAATGGATTAAAAGAGACAAAATTGCATTGATGAAGTACATTGATTAAATTACTCTTTCATGAACTAAAACCCCTCTCGCCCCTCCCCTTTCCAACCCCTACCACCCCCCCCCCCCCCCCTTAATGACTGCCTGCTTACACTAACAAATGAGGTCGTCCTTGATTCCTGGTTGTGTTTTCATAATACCACCCACGTTGACCATTGATGTACTGGCTATTTTGTAATTCCCCCCCCCCCCCCCCCCCCCCATGTGAACAACCCACATTGTGTAATTAGTGCACAAAGAAATCTGGTTTGCCGAGATGAGAAATCTCTTGCATGTCAGCGTCTCCTTGACGACAGTTAACCATGACAACAATCGCTATGGCAAAACTGCCTAGCCTGTATGTTGCCTCATCCATCCCCCCCCCCCCCCCCCCCCCCCCCGGGAGCGACAAGGCTGTACTAATGTAATAAATTCAGAGAGTATGATATTAACACGTACATGGAAGCAGAGAAGAGTAACGATTGCAATTACGTGTACTTCATATTGTTATCAAAGATGTTCTGATGTATTCATTGACACAAAGGTTTTCATTTTTTTTAATGAGTTTGCGAATGCATTTGCAGTGTTTTACATGGCATCTCATGTCATAATTGGTGTGAGCAAAATGTCACAGATGTTTGTTTCAAAACGCAACCGATGAATATTTGGGAGGTTTTTTTTTAGTTTTGGGGATTTTTGGTTTTGTTTTATTGCTTTTGTGTTTTTCACAGACGTCTTTTTCACTTGAGTTTATCCTTAAATGTCAGTTTGACTTTTAAGTAAACAAGAATTTGTTTTACATTGACTTGGTGTAATGAAGGGGATGTGGGTTAAAAAAAGAGCTGTAAAAGCTTCTTTTAAAAAAAAATCATTTCAGAATCTAACCAGAATTATCCCCAGCTGTATTGATTTTGAAATCCTTGTTAAATATGTTACTGAACATGCTGAATTTATTTGATTTCCAGAGCTGTGCACCTCTTGCAGACTGTATAAGGATTTTTTAAACAAGAAAGAAATGGTTTCTGTTTCACAAATGAAAATCAAATCTGATGTAGAAAACAATTTGGGCTGGCAAATATTTGTTTTTAAATATTTTTTATTAAAGGTAGTGGAAAATATGTTTGCAGTTGCTCAAACTTGTTTGAGCAGGGTTATTTTCATGTTCTTCTTTGCCACTTGATAGAATGAAAATGAATTTTCCCCAGAGAGATTAAAAATTTTTTTTTTACAAGTACATGTATAACTCGATGTCAAAAAAGGTTTAATACAGTCTTCCACTTTTTATCAAAAAAAAAACCAGATGTGATTTCCGTGGATAGGGACTCCTCCCCCCCACTTTGCGTTGTTTTGTCGCCCTTACACAGACCCACTCTGCCTTTGAGTCATCAGTGAATAACGGGCCCAGATGGAGGTTTTATAAAAAGCCAAGGCTTCCTGTATTTAGGGTTCCCGTTCAAACCAACCAGAAGCTAAAAACAGACGGTTTTTGTGCGATTGTGTTTGGCGTAATTGATTATTTCCTGAAAAGGGACACAAATTCCACGGGGTCAACCAAAGGGCAGCTGGCCCATTGGTCAATGAGTTTGTCTTTGAACATCTTTAAGAAGGATATTCTTTTTGAACACGTTTTAGATGTGCGCCATTAATTTGCTGATTTTAAGTTTGGTTTGACAATGGAAAATAAGGCAGTTTGTACATTTATCTCCTGCATGCCAACATCAGAACAAATAATGGACAAACTTTATTGCCGCATGTCATATATCAGTCTTGATGTTCCCTGTTCTGACAACGTATTTCAATATTGAAGGATTCTATCCCTTATTAATCAAAATCCGAGATCTCATATTCTAATGTGGGGCAGCTTATCCCTAACTCCCTATTCCCTTTTTACTAGGAATCATCATCAATCCTCCAAGCACTTGGAGCACTTGTGTTCAAAAATGAAGGATACCTACCGCCACAATCCTTCAAAATCGTCAGACAGTCACGCCTCAAAAAATGCATTCATCCTAAATCCTCCAAAAGCCTCCTCCCTTTCAAACACCCTTCATCCTCAATCCTCCAAAATCCTCATGTGCTTCAACACCATTCATTCTGAATCCTCCAAAATCCTTATGTTTCTCAAACACCATCCATTCTGTATCCTCCAAAATCCTCATGTGCTTCAACATTATTCATCCTCAATCCTGCAAAATCCTCATGTGCTTCAACATTATTCATCCTCAATCCTGCAAAATCCTCATGTGCTTCAACTTTATTCATCCTCAATCCTGCAAAATCCTCATGTGCTTCAACATTATTCATCCTCAATCCTGCAAAATCCTCATGTGCTTCAACACCATTCATCCTCAATCCTCCAAACCACTCTGAGGACTTAACAAAATACTTCCAAACCTCTCTGGTTTTTATGAGCTTGCCCCTACTCCGCCGATTTTGTCACTTTTCCCTTCCGTTCTGTTTCAGCAGCTGGTGTGTTTTTTTTTAAGCAGGATGTTATTCCTTGTGTCATTTCTCTTAAAATAGCGCCCATGCCGAAGGGATACTGTGTAATGCACGCTTGGTCTGATTGTTGCTAACTGGATGTGATAGAGGGCGGCATTTGCATTCACTGTAACCCTCACTTTAGTTCAGACTTCGACCTTGTTAAAATCTGGCTTTTTTGTGACTACAAGACCAAGTTCTTCTGCTGTTGTGCTGTAGTACATAACAAAAGCCATAGCCATGGACGCAAAATTTAGATGTGGCTTCATATTCATTTGAAATCAAGGTAGTACAGTCGACTCTCGTTAGTACAAACTCTGTTCATACAAATTCTGGTTATAACAAACATAAAGCCTTGGTCTCGACTGTGCATTTATGTGCACAATGAATGGGACTGATGTTCCTCTTAATACAAAATTCTGATAAAACAAACAATTTGGCTAGGTCCGAACGAGTTTGTATTAACGAGACTCGACTGTACTTGTATTGTCACGTCATTGTAGAAGTGAATAATATTGAGACTGTTTGGATTGTCTTGGTTGTAAAAATGTCTTTACAGTCATTTAGTAATGATTGTTCGTTGAAAGCGCAAGGTGCTTTTTCACATTTTGTAAAATGGCTAATTTTTTTCTTCTTAATTTTCCTTTGAATTTATTTCCAGGATCGACATCCATCGCCACGAGAACCCAGGATCTGGAGAGAAGGTAAAAGTGAGGAAACAGTTCCAGTATTTGTTTGGGGTGCTTAATTTTTATCTTTAATCCACTAAACACCTCAAGTCAGAAGTAACCTTTTACTTGACCTTTCCCTGGGCCGTTTTTGGCTAGGATCTATCCGCAATCCTGCAAAATCCCCCAACTGCCACCATGTAAAAATTGGATACAGCATCAATCCTCCAAAATCGTTAGTTTTTTTTGTGTGTGTTTTTGGTGTACGTGAACTATATACACCTCGAGGACAGACAGACAAAGGGAGAACAACAGATTCTTTGTTGTCCTCGAGAGTTCATCTTTTGTTGAAATCGGTCCTCGGTCGTGCGTTTGTGTGCTTAGTCTATGGGAGAGTGTTATATTACAGGGACAAAGGAAAAGACAAGCATTGTCCTCGAGAGTATAGTAAAACACGACTGTGTCTTTTTGTTTGTTTGATCACAAAACATTTCAAATTTTGTCTTAAATAAGTGTGAAGAAAAAAATCCATCAGAAAAGACATCTGAACATAGCGCAACCCCATACACTTTGTCAGTATGGAAACAAAAACACTCCACAAAATACGAATAGTTGACCATGTTTTTGGGTGTTTTTTTGAATTTCATTTAGGCTGTGACCTATTTTGGCAACCCCGAAGACTGCACCACCGCTTGCAGGAAGGTCCGAGAAGTCTTGAGCCAGGAGTTGTCCCAGAAAGGGTAAGGTCGTGTCAAAGGTCATTTGGGGTCAAGTCCAAAGGAGGGTCATTTCTGTTTGCGTAGTGCCCCACAGTTACTTCTGACGTCCCTTGAAAGTACATGTTCATTTGTACTCGGTAGCTTTGTACCTTGTATGAAACTTTACCTCAAATTCATCTGACCTCTCTTTTACTTCTCTTGATCGCCATAACAACAAATTGAAAAATACTGGGGTGGGTCTCCCAAAGCTTGGGATTTCCTATTTATTTTTGTGCGACTTCCCAGATGAATGCTTGAAGTACAGAACATGAGCCATTGGTTAGTGTACATTGTTCATTTTGGGCAGATTTAGAATGGTCATAACATGAAGGGAAAATGTTCAGGATTCAGTTTCATAAAGCCTTCTAAGCAAGAAATGCTGCTTAGTAAATTTCTGTGTTAAGCGAAAAATTCTGCTGGGGACCAGTCACAGGTCGTGTATATCACATGCCTTTTTGGCCGGTAACCTGTTTTTGCTAAGCACATTTGTTACGCTTAGCAAGTTTTCTAGGCCAAAATTTGAAATCACTTTTTTTTTGGCAAACTTGTTTTAATCAATCGTTTCTCATTTCAGGTCCCTGCCCCCACTCAAGCTGCTGGCCCACGATGCACTGGTGGGCCGTCTGATCGGCAAGGGTGGAAGCTCCCTCAAGCACATCATGCAGGAGTCTGGTGCCACTATCACCATTTCCCCGTAAGTATGAAAAAAAAAAAAAGACAAGGTCCCGGACTTGTCTTCAAGTCCTACAAAAATTATCTTCAATGGTTTCAGAATGGCAAATCAGTGTGAAGTCAATTCGTGTCTCTGGTCTACACATTAGCCATGTTTTAACCCATTCATTGGCTTTACAGGGTAATCCTATATGATAGCACTGCCGGGCAGTCACAACTCCCAAGTGACAATCAGTCCCTTAGTAGTCAGTGTTAGTCAGTGACATAAGTACGAAGAGGACACCAGACCGGCCATCGGACACCAGTCAAAATTCTTACTCGTAACATGTCAAGTAGTTTAACGAAACCAAGAACCGCAGATCTGGCCAAGGCCAGCTCCAAGTTCACACCCCTCAATTGTGAGTTTGGCGTTCCCACTGCGAATATTAACACTCAGTGCTCGCTATCTTGTACCGTCCAGTACCGTGGTGATACGAGACAAAGTACTGACACAAACCAGAACAGAGGCGCAAGCATCGCCTGTCCATAAGTCATTTAAATATACATTTGAAGACTGTAAAGGTATGCTTGTTATCAACTCTCTTTCCCCATCTTGTGCATTTCCCCTCAGCTTACACGAGCTGACCGTCTGCAACCCTGAGCGCACCATCACCATCAAGGGCACCTTGGACCAGGAGTCCAAGGCCGAGTCCCTGATCACGGCCAAGCTGCGCACCGCCTACGAGCAGCACATGCAGAGCATGCAGAACCAGCAGCAGCAGATGTTCCCGGGCATCAACCACATGGCCATGTTCTCTGGCGGCGGCGAGCACAACCACGGCGGCTACCAGAACCAGGGCATGGGGGTAAGTCACAAGTCACTAACAAGGCCATCGCAAGTCAGTTACAAACCCATCTCAAGTCAGTCACAAGCCCATCTCAAGTCAGTCACAAGCATCGGTGTTGTAGGCAGTCCATTACAAGCCATTCACAAGTCATCATAAGGCCATCTCTAATCATCACAAGCCCATCACAAGTCGGTCAAAAGCCCATGACAAGTCAGTCACAAGCCCACTGCAAATCAGCCACAAGCCCAACGCAAATAAGCCACAAGCCCATCTCAAGTCGGCCACAAGCCCATCACAAGTCGATCACAAGTCGATCACAAGCCAATCTCAAGTCGGCAACAGCCCATCTCAAGTCAGTCACAAGCCCATCTCAAGTCGGTCACAAGCCCAACTCCAGTCAGTTACAAGCCCAACTCAAGTCGGTCACAAGCCCATCACAAGTCAGTCAAAAGCCCATCACAAGTGGGCCACAAGCCCGTCTCAAGTCGGCCACAAGCCCGTCTCAAGTCGGCCACAAGCCCGTCTCAAGTCGGCCACAAGCCCGTCTCAAGTCGGCCACAAGCCCGTCTCAAGTCGGCCACAAAGCCATCTCAAGTCGGCCACAAAGCCATCTCAAGTCGGTCACAAGCCCATCTCAAGTCGGTCACAAGCCCATCTCAAGTCGGCCACAAGCCCATCTCAAGTCGGCCACAAGCCAATCTCAAGTCGGCCACAAGCCAATCTCAAGTCGGCCACAAGCCCATCTCAAGTTGGACACAAGCCCAACTCCAGTCAGTCACAAGCCAAACTCAAGTCCGTCAAAAGCCCATCACAATTCGGCCACAAGCCCATCACAATTCGGCCACAAGCCCATCAGTGTCCGCCAGTGACATTGTTACAAAGAGGACAATAGGCTGGCCCTCGGGCACCGGCCAAAATTCGCAATCCGTAACATGTCAAGTATTTGAACAAGGTCAAGAATCGCAGGTCTGGCCAAGGCCAGCTCCAAGTTCACACCCTTCAACTGTGAGTTTGGCGTTCCCACTGCGAAAATCAACACTCAGTGCTCGCTATCTTGTACCGTCCAGTACCGTGGTGATACGAGACAAAGTACTGACACAATCCCATCACAAGCCATCACAATTCGATCACAAGCACACCAATAATCAGTCACAGTAAAAAGTTGTATCTGTTTAAAAATCTTTTAACAGCAAGGACCTATTCCTGGTCTGTATTATCCCAACCCACGTGGCTACAGAGATCAGCGCATGCAGCAGGAGTATCCCAGAGATGTGAGTAACTCGCTTCAAATTCATTTTGTTCTCATTTTTTTAAAAATTGTTCTCGCTTGCCTGTTTCAGCCTTCTATAAAAATGTCACATAAAGAAGATTCATAAACAATTTAAAAAAATAAGAAGTGAAGGTTGGTCAAAGTTTAGACAATGAAACATTCAGATTGACCATTGGTTCAAATAACTTTAGAAAATGTAGTTCAACTGTAAAATGTTGTCAAGGAGGAATTCCATACATGGACATCATTAATTTGTCCTTGCAGTGACCTATCAGCCATCGGAAATCGATAACATGTCCTTCAAAGTTAAACTTGGCAGGAAAAATATTGAAGCGTTTACTGAGAAAACACTTGGAATTTTTCAGACCAGTCTCATAGGGTTTGTGCACAGGGTGTCAAGTGATGTCCAGGTATGGTTCGATTCACTCAAATTGTGCACTTTTGGCAATTTTGAGCGCAAGGTACCTTAATCTAAGTGCTATTCTATAAGTTCTAAGTTTTTGGAACCTTGTTTGGCACCAGGCAAATGAGACCACCTTTCTGTACGTGCCCAACGAAGCCGTGGGTGCCATCATCGGCGTCAAGGGCGACATCATCAAGAGCATGTGCCACACATCCAACGCCTCGATCCGGGTGAGTGAATCCACCTGTCCCATCCCAAAATACTTACCCATTTAATAATCTGCAACATGTTCCATACTTAGCATGAAACTGAACGTGTATAGACCAAGCCAACAGGCCCCTGCGCAGGCGGGAAACAACACACAGGCAACAACACGCGTGCCTCTCCAGTGCAACGCATTTTCCAGTCGCGCGATGTTGAAATGTTAGCACACGCATCTCGGACATTTGTGCGCGCACGTCGGACATCTGTACGAGCATGTTGAATATTAATCACAACTGTGATTGGTCAAAACGTTATTGGGGCGGAGCTTAGTTTGTCTGTCTATTTGTGACGTCACCAAGTTTTCGCACTGCTTGGCATGTACATTTGGGTAAAGTACGAACTGTACTTAAGTAATTTCATTATCCTATAAATCATAACGATATTACTCCATCTCATGTGCAGTCTTTGTTAAAGGTAGAGTAGATCTTTTGCAGCTGTCCAAAAACTAACTGACGAAATTATTGCTGAAAAGCTTACTTGGTTTAAAGGTAGTAATGTCACTAAAATCCCTGTGAAATTATTCTTTATGGCATGCTGTCATTTTGAAGAAAACAATGAAAGAAGGCCTTTTCCGAAGATGCGTCAAGTGACGCATTTTTGGAAACCTCCGTTAAAATTTGGTTTGTAAGTAGGCGAATCTGTGAATGGCTGTGTCGAAGTGTTAACACGATGTACACACGCGCGCAGTTGCTATTATTCGTCAGTTCAGTGCATGATATCACATACCTGCCATCTACTGAATGAGAACATGTCTTGGACACCGATTTCTGGGCACAATTCAAAATATGACTCGGCAACTTAGAATGTTGTTTTCTCAGAAAATACGGCATTCACAGAGCTAAAAGTTCATCATGTTGGTTCTTAAACACCCATCTTCAGATTTTGCGCACATTTGTTTCTTTTATAATGAAAAAAATGCACAAATGACAAAATGATCTACCCTACCTTTAACGAAAACTGGTACCCCGCACTAAATCCCAATTGAAGTTACATGTTAACACACACCCATTACCCTTTTTCCCCAATCATTTCAGATTGCTCCAGCTGAGAACCAGGTAAATATAGTGTGTGGCGGTGTCAGAGCCCTTTTTGCTCTTCTTTTTTTTTTGCGTGGAACTGGACTGTAGAAACGTTTTTTTTAACTGTCTAGTAGCTGCGTTGTCCATACTCGCCTTGAAAAGATATTTTTCAAATTCGTCAAAAAAATTTAAAAATGAATGTAATAACTCTGATTTTTCTGCTGAGAAAGTATAAATATAGCAAGTATATACCCACAATTTTCCAACTTTCGAGAGCAAAATGAGAAAAAAAAAGTGATAATTGAAGAGTTACACTTTTTAATTTAAGGTCGAGCTTTGGACAGTGCATCTTTTTAATAGTAGCCCCTAGCTGTGTGTGACTACAGAGACTTGAAGACCCGACATTCCCAGACTGCTGTTCCTTTCGTAGCTAGACAGAACTAACCTTTGATTTCTTTGCTTCATGTGTTTTCGAAGTAAGGAACCCTTCTCGTCTTGAAATCAAACATTGCACATTGAACAATTTTAACACAACTTTTGGTTAGGTGACCACTGTAGATCAGTCACACTAGGCCCCAAGAACTGTGAAAAATTAACATAAGCCAAAGGTAGGCGGGGCTTATGGCCAAACCTGGAACGGTCCATTGTGTGACGAGGTATATCGGGCAAACTTGGTCACACATCGCTGTAAGAAATACACACTAAGAAATGTACACTATCAAAGGTAGGCGGGGCTAATGACTAAATCTGGAACGGTCCATTGTGTGACAACAGGTATATTGGGCAAACTTGGTCACACATCACTGTAAGAAATACACACTAAGAAATATACACTATCAAAGGTGGGCGGGGCTAATGACTAAATCTGGAACGGTCCATTGTGTGACAACAGGTATATTGGGCAAACTTGGTCACTCATCGCTGTAAGAAATACACACTAAGAAATATACACTATCAAAGGTGGGCGGGGCTAATGACTAAATCTGGAACGGTCCATTGTGTGACAACAGGTACATTGGGCAAACTTGGTCACACATCACTGTAAGAAATACACACTAAGAAATATACACTATCAAAGGTGGGCGGGGCTAATGACTAAATCTGGAACGGTCCATTGTGTGACAACAGGTATATTGGGCAAACTTGGTCACTCATCGCTGTAAGAAATACACACTAAGAAATATACACTATCAAAGGTGGGCGGGGCTAATGACTAAATCTGGAACGGTCCATTGTGTGACAACAGGTACATTGGCAGGTGGCCACGGTAGCTCAGTTGGTCATACTTGTCACACATCACCATGAGAAATATAAACAAACCAAAAGAAGGGCGGGCTTCTTGCCAAATCTGGAATCGTCCATTGTAAAGCACCTGGCTTCTATTCCCCCCCATTTGCTTATTCCAGATTGCCCAGCGCGAGAACGAGGCCGCGACAGAGCGCAAGGTGACCATCATCGGCTCCCCCGAGTCCCAGTGGAAGGCCCAGCTGCGTCTCTTTGAGAAGGTCTGCGGCCAGGGTCACTTTGAGACCAAGGAGGAGCACCTGCGATGCGAGATAGGCGTACCCGCCAAGATGGTCGGCCGCATCATCGGCAAAAAGGGCACCAAGGTAATAGGATTTGTAGGATCCCCATCCCTTCAGATTCCTTCAAATGCCACCAGGAGTTTTGGAAGATTTTTCTGATATTTTTTTTTTTGGTTGAGAAATAATCTTGAATTCGTAATTTGGTTATTTTTTTTAAGGTGCGTGATCTGCAGCGTGCAACCTTTGCCCGCATTGAGGTCCCCCGGGCCAACAAGGAAGAGGAAGACGCTGAACAGAACCCAGACGACTCTGAAGCCGAAGTCATGGTCAAGATCTATGGAAACTTTTTCTCCTTGCAGGTCAGAATCATTCCTATTTGTATCCCTCCCTCAGCCCCCCCTCCAAAAAAAACATGACAAAATTCCACTTTCTGTCACTATACCAAGTCTCATGTTCAGAGCTCCTTAGCAATAAACAGACCAAATAAACAAGTCTGTCGCTAAGGTCCCCAGTACCCCCTACTCCCACAAAATTAGTAGGCATGACCTCTCATGCTCTGATGTCCAAACCAAGTGAGAAATACTTTGAGCTTAGGGTCCCATTGCGGGATGTTCTCGGTCAGAGTATGTAAAATGTCCCCATTGCCCATCTCACAAAAAAAATGACTTGTACTCTTTTCTGTTTCCTTTCTGGACAGGCCGCCCAGCGTCGTCTGCGCAAGATGCTTTTTGATTTCACCAACCGCGGCAACCAGAACCAGTACAACAACTACAATCAAGGCGGGTACAATCAAGGCGGGTATCAGCGCCGCGGCCGCATGAACGGTCCAGGGCCACAGTAAGAGGACCCTCAGCTACCCCCTCCCCCCAAAAAAATACACCCCCTACCTCCCAATAACCTCACCCCCCCCCCCCCTCCCCTCAACCTCAACTCTGGGGTCCCTGTCCTTGTTGCCATCTTGAAAAGAACGCTTGTGACTTCCTGATTTGTGATTTGGGGTCTGAATAAATTTGCTCCAATGTATTCTCTCTTGTGAACTCGAGCTTTCTTTTCAAGATGAAGCCTGAACCCTCAAAACGCCCGAAAAGGCCGAGATTTTTTTGGTTTAATCTGGAAACCAAAGTTTCTGGTTGTGGATTTTTTTCCCCCCCCCCCCCCGAAGGTTTTTTTGGTTGTGGTTGACAGTAGCAGAAGTTGATTATTGGTGCATACGTCGGGCAAATTCGAAGCCTTTTTTGATTGCTGAGATTTGCACCAGATTGAGATGAATTTGTGAATGAATGAATACCACCGACTGTGTTTTTTTCCCCGGCTGAATTGTCGGGCCTGGCTCTTTGACATTTGGAATGTCGGAAAGGAAAGAGCCAAAATTACAAACAAAAAAAGTGTGCTGGGCGCAGACCATGACACCTTGAGGGTGACCACAGGTGGTGGTGTGCACTTTTTTTAATTAAATAATGGACCGTTGAACTGGTTCTTCTGCTTGTTTTTATTCCCCTCCGAAATTCTTGACTTGTCACCCCTCCCCCTAGAAATGGTGGGACCTTGCTGGACGCCAGCTGTTTAGAACCATCGATGGATGGGAAACTTCAGTACCCGACTGAACCTTCAAATTGAGTTCGATGAGTCAAAAGTGTCAGATTTCCCAGTGGAACAATTATGTTTGTTTGTGAGGGGTGAAAGGTCAAGAAGTCAACTTGCAATGAGTTGTCATGCAAGTTTTAAATTTCAGTTTATTTTTTTTATGATTTTTTTTTTTTTAAACGAGAGGGAATGATGGATAATTTTTTGGCTGAAGTTATGATGAAAAGTTGAACAGCTATGAAAACAATAAGAGGCATTAATAATATGGCATTCCGGCACAAAAGTTATGGGAGAATATTAAAGAGAAAAAAAAAGGTAAAAAAAATAGTAAAAATAAAAAAATGCAAAAAAAAATAGTAAAACATAAAAAAAACTTAAAAAAATAAAAATATATATTATAAAGAGAAATTTAGTTTAAAACAATATGGGCCATTATTTTGTGGAGAGAATTGTATATTATGGCCATATTTGTTACTTTATTTTTTACTTTTTGATAAAAAAAAATATAAAAAAAAGATTATTAAAAAAAAATGGAGATTCCATCCAGTGCTACCTCTTGTCCAAAAGTCTGTAATCGATAAACTTTTTTTCCCCAATGTTGGAGAAAAATTTCACAAAGATGAGACTCAAATTTGGCGTTGAAAAAAACAAAACAGTACAAATCTGTTGGATCGATCAGACTTTGTTTTACAGAGCAACTGCTGCTGCATTGGTGTAATCTACATTTTTGGATTTACGTTAAAAAAAGAAACAAACAACCTGCAGACTTGATCAAAAAAGAATTTTCAACCGAGAGAAACACAAAACAAATTCCAACTGGGTTATTTGGCAATAGAGGATATAAATCTCATGGTTGAAGGACCCGAATTTAATGTGGCTTTTTTTTGCTCACTGAAAAGGCGTTGGCTCATCATAGACAGTGACAAAATTAGCTTGTTAAATGAGGATCCTTCTAACTTTCCTTGCAACACCATATCGTAAACGCGTAGCTTTCTAAGTATTTAAAAGTTTATAAATCCCAACTCAGAAGACAAACATCAAGTATTATTTGTGTTACTTAAAAGTATGGAACGTTTTATCTCCCATTTCCTTTGGAATGGGTGGACTACATCAAAACGAAAAAAAAAGCAACATTTGAGTGACGTAACGTAGTCCCTTTTTTTCCCAGTGCCGTATAGTGTTAACGAACCAGGCCGTTAAAAGCCTAGCCTCCAATTTCTCTATTTTTTTTTTTTTTTTTTGGCATGTTTCTCAGAGCAATCAAATAGGAAGAATTTAATATCAACTGGGTGTCATTTGGCACATGCGATGTGTTCTGTACTTCAACTTTTGTGCCTTGTGATCCTGGGCGAGTATTGAATTTTTAAATTTGTTTTCAACTCGAGCACTTGCAAAGAAAAAAACTCAATAATCGAGACACTTGCCCAGTGATTGGTATTGTGATACTCTCACTTTTTCATTTGAACAAATTCTTTCAAATGATTGATTTGGGATTCATCCAAAAAAAAAAAAAAAAAAAAAACACCAACCAAACCAGTGTCTAACTCAAGCAGGTCCGTGCATTTCTTTCAAGAGAAAACGGACAATCTCTTGGTTTGCTTAAGTTAGCATTGACTTTTCATAGACGACGTTTTTCAGAGCGAAACCACACGAGTTTCCATATGACTATGGTAATAAAACGCATGTGGAAACCCACCATGACATTTTGTGGGGATAAGATAGATCAGGGTTCTGGGATAGTGAAGATACATTTTTCTCGGACTTTATTGGACTGTAGTTTCTTGAAACTAAAAAAAAAAAAAGAGGCAACAAAAAAACAAGCAGATCGGACTTGAAGACAATATCATTATTGTCATTTTTACTTCTTTTTTTTGAAAAAAGGAAGCAGCACTTTTTAGTGCGAGCTTATTGTCTCGTCACCTTGGTGACGATGATTTTTTGCAATCTAAAAACCTTGCAAAAAAAACCAACTGAATCGTTGACGGCTTGGGCCAGAATGCATGAACACTGGAACCCACACCATTGTCCAGGAACATTTTTACAATGCTATATTAGACCGTTGGAAAACATGGTAGTCTGGCATCCAAGCCCACTGTGACATTACAAAGTCGAGTACCTGCCTCTACTTGGAAGTTAATGCAGAGAACAACCCAAATTTCTGTGTTAGGAGGGAAAAGGTGACCAATCAGTATTTTGGAGAATAGTTGGAGGGAAAAAAAACATAACAGGAGTAGAATTTTGTGATTCTTTGGGACAGCTCTTGTTTCAGCGACTGTGTGGTGCAGAGTGGCAAGTGCTTTTGACTCGCTGTGATGACTATTTAAAGGTTCCATGCCATGTTATTAACATTTTCAGGGATAGTCCGAAACACATGCTAAAAAAAAAAAATTACACCTCACACTTGGCCTTAAAACTTGATGGAAGCCACCTGACGATTTCTTTTAGCATCTGTTTCAATATGCTGGATGTATTTTTTGTTCCTTCTGATTTTGGTGTTTTGTCGCAAACGGGCTTTAATTTCTTTTTAAAACAATTATTTGTTGCTTTAATGATATTCATACAAACAAACAAAATGTAATCTTTAAGTAGATGTTGAGGGATCCGTTGACCCTAAGTCATTCACTTTGGTGGGACGTGCCCTGATGTAGTTGTAATTTTAAACTGGAGTCAAAAAATAAAGTTTAATGTTTTGTGTTTTATGGTACGATAAAGAAGAAAACAAACAGAAGGCTTTCGGGCCGAGCCGTTTCATTGTTTCAAACTAGAGGAGTTTAATCGGATAAATTAACGTTGCACTTGTTTCCAAACCGTTTCCATTTGTTCACTTGTTACTAACAGATTACAATTTTATTAGATTTAGCGTCATTATGTACACCACAGAAGAGCATTATTATTAGTAGTAATTTTAAGTAGACTTTTAACTTGCCTGAACGGCAAAAGATTGATTCTGACAAGTTATCCAAGGCAATTCCACCAGCTGTCATGAACTTGCTCACGAGATGTCGCTCTTTAAAAAAACACACGAGCCATCGCTTTGATTATAAAAAACAGTGTTTACAGATATAACACCAGTTTCATGTTATATGAAGTTTAACCTAGGTAGGAATTATTAAGTACGTTAATTCATTAATCAGAAACTTATCTGAAGTTTAAAAAAAAAAAATTAACAAAAAGTCTGCATACTTTTGCATTGTACACTTTGTGATTAGTGGCATTTCGTTTTTGTTTCATTATACAAATGTAGTAGTTTTAAGAAGATTTTTTTCAGGACTTGACTTGATCATAACATGGCATGGAATCATTTTGGACTTCTCTTATTGTATACGCTTATTACACTTATTGGTTCAATCTAGCAGTGCGTTTGTAACGATGTAACACTTTTAATTAAAAACGTCTAGAGGATTCCCGATTTGAAATTCTTATAACATACCAAATTCTTATTTAAAACAAAAGAGCGGAACCATTTTTGAAGACTTGACAAAGCCTTAGATCTTCTAGCTCAAAAAAAAGTATGGACACAGCAATTTTGTCAAAACGGGTTTGGAATAAAGTCTTGCCGCTGTTGTCTACGATTTTTTTTTTGAGATGGAGGTCGAACATTTGAAGAATTTCAGAGTGTCCACAGAAATGTATTGTACGGGTGCTTGGTCACTTCTGAAATTCTATGGCCAGTTTCCAAGAGAGTTGCTTAAAATGTGAAGTAAGCAAGCATGCTTACTGCTTTTGCTTAAACAGAGAACTATTTCTGCTTAAAACTCATTTCGGTTGAGGTTGAGTCATTTCTCACCGAAGAACTCATTTTCATGTGCTGTAGATTTTGTGCTGCACACCACTTTTCAATCGTTCAATCGAAAAACAAAGTCACCAATTTTTTGGTAAACCATTTTTCGCACATCAATTTCCCTCGCATGGATTGGTGTTTCGACTCGCTGTCAACATCATTTGCTAGATTGAGCTCAATAATTCGTCGGAAAAAAATTTGGAGGGCAACTCGACCAAAAAAACCAAAGTATAGCACTACTGAGCTCTACTGTGAAAAGTAAAGTTCAAATAGTTTGCCAGAACCAGTTAGCCCGCCAAATTTTTGTAGTCGACACTTTCAGGGAAAATGGTATCCATTACCACATCCCTTTTGTATTAACTGCCCGTTTGCATTTTCTCATTTACACATTTTATGTTTACTCTTACTGGATTAAAATCAAATTATTCATGTTCAGTGACATGTTTGTGTGGTTGTCTCAATTATTTTGCGTTTTACCGTGAAATTCCCCAGCTATTTTAATGGATATGAGTATATGCTGCATTTGTCAACCATATTCCAGTTCCATTCGTGTGATGGTGCATCTGTAGCCACACTTTCCTTTAGAAAAAGAAAATTATTTTTGAGTGAGAAATGAATGATCTCATGTCGAGATAATTATAGATTTATAGTGGGAACAACCTGCCTTTTGTCTGGAACAAAGACAAATGATAAAATGAAAATGTAAGACATTGAAAAGGAATAACGGTCGCGTTTATTTTCTCAAAGTATTGCCGATATGAACCAAAGTCGATGTTGAAATAGGGAAAACATTTTCATATTCACCATGACAAAACTTGGAATAGGACTGAGGGCGCACTTCACGAGTGTGGGCAACCATCGATCAATGTATTATTCTTAAATTGCAAGGCCAAATTGGGTGGGTGTGTTTTTTTTGTTAAACGAATGAAATAAAATGACCTTGAGAATTACACGTCGGTGTGTAGTTGAGAGAAATGCTCTTAAGTTTCTAAAGAAAGTACTTTTCATTGTTCGGGCAAGGACATAATCATGACGTAAACGGCAGATCCTTTAGGGATTAAAAGTTAATCTCACAGGAAAGGAAGTAATGGAAATCTTCAGTTGTTCAGACCGTCGCTCGTAAGACTATAAAACCCCGAATAATCAAAATTATATTATTCATAAAAAAAGTCAAGAAGTTGGAAGTCGTTATGCGCGTGCGCCAAACTTCACCTGCCCAAAATGTAAAACTTGCGGTTTCATGCATGCATCAGACATTGCATGCTGCATAAAACGTATGTAGGCAGGCGCGCTATGTACATGTGTACATGTACAGTACAGATACTGTGTACATTTGAATATCATTGCTGCATTTGGTTGTGTGCAGTCGAGTTGTGTGCGGACAGAGCAAAGGAATTTACCTTCAAAAATGACGAAATTCTAACAGGTATGTGTTCAGTTTTTTATTGAATTGACCCCAAAAGCTGATAAACCTTGTCATTATCTTCACGAGGAGAATTTTTTGAAACTGTCACCTGTTGTAGAACGGAATTATTTGCGTTTGAAAATCGGGAGAAAATGACCGGCATAATTTTGTGCACTCGCCGTGCTGACTGTACTGGCTGACTGACATGAGTGACGTCGCCGCGTGGAAAAACCACGGAAGTTATCTTGGAGAAATTTCCCCTCAGCCGGTTGGCTCGGACATGTCGGAACGCGAACGTGGGCCTGCCAGTCAGTAACCACTTTTACGGAGAGACTGTTACTATGTAAACAGTTTTGTTTGTCTGATAAAATATGGTTAACAGTTTTATTCAATTATTACCTAAGCCTATGCTGTGAACATTATTTTTGGGTAAGTAGACAAGCCTGTCATGCCTGTAGTGTTACAAACCATGCATAGCAAACTAAGGACAGGTTGTGTACAAATTATTGAAACTGTACAATGTACTTCCGGGAAGTGTGAAATGTGTTTTGTGCCAAAATATAAGAGATGGTGTGTCTCAGAGTTGGTTCTTTATTCCTCCAAGTTTGAAAAAAAAAAACCCACAATTTTGCTATCACAGTATTGGTAGCTGCACTGTAATGTTTTGAAAATTGAAAATTTATCAAGAGGTTTAAATTGTGTCTTCAATTTTTAACAAGGTTAATTAACTTTGGCCTTTCATTGTTTCTTGGTCGTATAAAAAAAAAGGAACAATGCAATAAAGTTTAAATGTTGACTCGTGATTTAGACAGCATTTGTCAACCTAGTTGTGCACGAAACATGTGCACGAAATATATATGTGCATAGGTTAACGCTTACTTTATTTCCAACCTCGTTTCCAATAGTAAGCCCAGGATAGGGAACTTTCTTTCTGTATCCTGCTTCGATACTGCAATTGGCTAGAAATGGATTTATATCGTGTACTTGGTGTTGTTATTCACAACGTGCAGTACGTGTTTTTGCGATCATTCATCCACGCCTTCTCGGAAATATTAATTTCCTTTCCAATTTGTCAATAGTAATATGAAATGTGATACTGAATGTTGTCTCGTTAAGATCGTAACAGTTTAATTAAAATAAAATCCTGTTTTCGTAACTCACGCCATGCTCGCGCTGCGACGAATTGATTCTGTTTTTACCCCAGACATCGCATACAAAAACAAACGCAAATGTAACGCACAGGCAGGCACCAGACTATTTCTCATTTGCATACGTGTTCAAAAATCTTGGTTTTGCAAATGATCCAATACCAGGGTGAGAGAGCAGGTAGTGGTGGGCGTGTACTGCTCGACACCCTGGGGACGAGGTTGGCTCAAAACGTACTGCGCATGGCCGAATTATATATTTGATTGTTGGATGGTACCGGTAGGAAGTATGTAGGAGTCGGGCTTCTTTGGTGGTGAACAGAGCTACATGTAGCGGTCGGCACTAGACGTAGCGTTCAAGGGAATTAACGGCGGTCGTTAAAATGCCTTGATGCGCTGCGTGATATCCCATAGCTCACCACAGTGGCCCGGAAGGTGCTAATTGGGGATTAAAACCAGGGGGATTTCCATGCTAACTCCTTCTATTCCTACCTCCATGCTCATACCTAGATGTTTTTGCAGGAACTTAAAATTTCCCCCAATACAGCATTTATGTAATGATGTACAAGAAGTTGCATCAATGAGTTTAAAAGAAGACATAGAATCATGCAATCTTCAAATACCTTTAGTTTAGGACTTACAAATTCTCTTTAAAGAGCAATATTGATGAGACCTTGTGGATAATGAAATGTGCTGACGAAGAAAATGACATCACCCCAACGATCAGCATGACGCTGTCTCCTAAAATGTTATAGATCACGTCCCTTGGCTACTGGTTTGTTGATTAATTTGAAGGTTACGTGCTGATGTTATTGTAATGTAAACTAATGATTCATGCGCTGCCTATGCACGGGCAGTTGTATAGACTATAGGGTTTAATGCACTGATAAACGTGATAAGGCCTATAAAAAATTAAAAAGTCGTTAGTTGCTATCTGTCACTGTCAGTTACGTCTCAACGGACTTGAGAAAAATGTTTATCTACTGGTACATGTGAAAGTACTTTTTACCACATACTTGTACCGGTACGTACAATATACTGTTGTACATGAATGTGTTCATGTTGATGTAGTGTATACATATGTATGTTCTTTCTTGCATGCATGTATTTCGTTAAAGGGGCACTAGGTCCTGAAATCCCCGAAAATTTCATGTTTTGGATTGTTTACTTATCCTATTTCAAACATGTGGTTGAAAGGAAACCAACCTAATGTCTTACCGTTCCTGAGAAAAGACGAAAAAAAACCCGGTTGTTTACATCTGACACGACGGAGTACGAATACGTTTTTCGTATCGTTCTCTAGTGTACGATATACACGTTGTGTGTCTCAGGATCAGCGGTGACCAATCACCAATGCAAAAAAATTGGTTTCTTCAACGTCCGCAAAAGGCAAACACTTTACGCATACGAATAAAATCACAACTAGCATCCAAACGGCTCGAATTTATGGGGTCGCAAAAGTGGACCCCGAAATTCGTTCTCGCACACATAATACAGGAATAACACAAAAACGCCCAGTTTTTAAAGGGTAGTTGTGTGGATGTATATATCCTAGTTTTAAATTTTCTTTCCGATCTTGAAACATAATCTCGTTCAAGCACATTTTGTAGCCCAATTGGGCTGTTCCAGGACCTAGTGTCCCTTTAATAAGAAAGCAAAGTCAATTGACACACATGTAATTTCGTAACAGCGCTGCTTTCATGTTCACCACTTAGGAATAGCTACCGGTAGACTAAGTTGTATACTTATGGAGCAACGAAGAGAGCACGTTCTGTGATTGATGAAAGAGCCAATGTTGCGTACAGTGCATTAGGTTTTACTTCTTGAAGGAAGTTTTTCAGTACGTCTAATTCCAGGCAACAGCGGCAAGCCAGAAAACTAGCCAACAATGAATGATCCTGCTTTATTACACTCGTCAAGTACAAGTGGGATGCTAGGATAGATTTCACAGGTTGCCAGGTAGCAACTGACCACCACCAAGTTCACAGTAGGAGTCCTGTTGGGTTCAATTTGCTGTGGCATGCCTCAACAGTGAGCGACTATTAGCAATGTGGTTGGCCATTACTTATTTGATACACCAAAGCTCGTAAGGAAATGAAGTACCTGTTTTCTTGGCCTTTTCACACTGCCTACCCGTGTTAAACTCTGTTAATTGAACACAGGTCAATGAGGCACATATACCGTCTACATTTCCGCCGGTGTGTACATGTATCGGGTGTAGATTTTGGACTCTGTACCGGGTAGAGCCTCTCAACGCTGGGCCTGACCAGGGTTGGATTTTACTATTCAGGCATGCAACTTTTCCTCGGATCCTCTGATTTCCTCGTTTTTGTTACAGGTTTCTCATAAATGCCATTACAAATTGAAAAACACTGCACAAAGTCTTGTGTGGTTTGGGATTTCCTCGTTTTTTCCCCTAAATTCCCAGTTGTATGCCTGACTATTGTAGAGGGTTATTACTGTGTAAAGATGGATGTTCACATGTTTTTCTTGCTAGTTGTGTAAAAGATGTACACATGTTTTTCTTGAAAGGGGTTCTCCAAATCTCTCTGCTTGACCGGGGTCCGAAAGCGACATTTTGCACAGTGTGAAAGGCCCTGTTTAAAGAGGGCACAAGGTCAATGTTGTGTGTGTTGTGATTGTTGAACAGCTCAGGTATTCTAAAATACATCCATCTGTAACCTTTCACAAAAAACGTAATGGTAATATTGTTTGTATTCGGTCTTGCATGTCCAGTGACCCAATCCATGCCACACTGACTCCATTGTATTGACAGAAGTAGGTATTTTTGATGAACTCACCAACAAGGCAGTGTTGGATGTGGGGTCAGTTTGATTTTGTAGGTCAAACTGAAACCGCACACTTGATGTGTAACCCAAGTTCAGTCCCCCATCTTTCACTGTCCATTAACACTTTCTGCTAGAAATAGCAGGGAGATGAGAAGAGCTAGAGCCTAGGGGAGTAGCTCCGATACGTCAGGGGAGTGCGGCTTATTGGAAACAGATTGCTCTTGTTCGTGGCATTGGCATAATGTTCTGTGGGGAGTTTTGACACACTTTTATCCATACATTTTCATGGGGTGTGAAATACTGTACACTTACACACAGATTACTTACTCAATTTTTGTTTTGTTTTGAGGGGTTGCAGATGTTTCAGGTAACATGATTAAACAGCAAAGTGCAAGAGAAACAAGCTCGATCAGAAATATCTGGGGTCAACGAATTAGTGTTCTTGCATGAGTCATGTGATTGTGCCATGTAATTTCTGGAAGCAGTAGTGTTTTGAGTGAATACAAATCAGGTTTTTCGACCCCCGTGACCCCATGCTTACCTCTGATCCCAGTTTGGTCATGTGACATGTTGGGGCTGGGCTACTGATATTTTGACAAAGTTTGGTTGAAATTGGTTATAATATGTGGGAGCAATAGACAATGTTAACATTGGTTACAAAGTAACGGACTAACGGAGAGACATGATGATTTGTTGAACTGCTACATGTATCCCACAGCTAAAAATGATCTTGTGCTCAATACCAGCTGTAAACAACACTTTAAGTTTTGTGCATTTCAATTAATGAATTTAAATTTACTATAATTAGCACAATATATGTACTGCATTGTATGACATTTTTGCGTGTGTAAATATTTCCTGATGATTTCGTAAGACCATAGTGTGCTTGGGTTATTTTGAGCGGTACAGGGAATAATATAGGAAGGCAGTTGGGGGCAGTAGAGGTTCTAATGGGTTAACCCTAACCCACCTCACTCCTCCAAAATCCTCCTGGCGGTTTTGGAGGATTCTAGAGGATTGAGGATGAATGGTGATTGAATCAAATGAGGATTCTGGAGGATTGAGGATGAATGGTGATTGAAGCACA